CACTATACACTGCTATACACTGCTATACACTACTATACACTACACTACCATACACTGCACTATACACTACTATACACTACAATACTATACACTACGTATACACTACACTATACACTACTATACACTACACTATACACTGCTATACACTACTATACACTACACTACTATACACTACACTATACACTACTATACACTACACTATACACTACTATACACTACACTTTACACTACTATACACTACACTATACACTACAGTATACACTACACTACTATACACAACACTATACACTACTATACACAACACTATACACTACTATACACAACACTATACACTACTATACACAACACTATACACTACTATACACTACTTTACACTACACTACTATACACTACATTATACACTACACTATACACTAAACTACTATACACTACACTATACACTGCTATACACTACTATACACCACACTACACACTGCTATACACTGCTATACACTACACTATACACTATTATACACTACACTATACACTGCGATACACTACTATACACTACACTATACACTACTATACACTCATAATAAAGGATTTTGGGTTAGATCGCGTTATTTATAAATGTGTCGTAACCCTCCACCACCCGACACGGCCAATCAGCAAAAAAAGTGTCACGTTGACAAAAGACAAATAATTCACTACTTTAGCCCACCGGTGTGTTGAAGAGTGAATCCACAACATTTACAGTTTGAGTACTGTGACGTTTCGCTGGTCAATACATCCAGCATCATCAAGCAATTCGCCAGAATGGTAAAGCCTTCGCTTGCTCCCGGTTTTATATAGAGCAGCAGGTGACGTCATCATTTTAACTCATATCAGGTGCAGTGATTAGAGGCGGAGGGGGGGGGTATTGTAATGATATAATCGATTAGTAATCAGTCAATGGTTATGATTAGTAATGAGTTGTAGATTAGTAATTAGTTGTAATGTGTGTTAGTGATTATATGCTATGTTAGTAATCCGTTAATTAGTATGTGTTTCCCCTATAAGGAATTGTAATATGCATTCATATTCTTAGCTCCCTCGGCAAAGCCACGCCGAAGGGAAACAACAGAACAACAAACATATATATTCTATTATTTTATTGCTTCCCCCCAACGCGACTCCACCGAAAGAGCCAAGAACATGAATCACTGCAGTCACGAAAGCTTTAAATAAAAATGTAATGTGTATTATTTAATAATACGCTTCCAGGCCGCACTAAGCCTGTAGCTGTCAGAGCGATTAAAGTTATTCTTATTCCTCTCAATTTCAATGGATTCTCTAATTAGTCTTTGCCAGTAATAATTAGTTTTACACAACACTGCAACATTGTCAAAATCAATTGAGTGTCCTTGTTGACAAGCATGTTCTGCCACTGCCGACAGTTGTGTTTGAGATAATTTAATATTTCTCTGATGTTCTTTTAGTCTAACGCTGATGTTACGTCCCGTCTGTCCAATATAGCATCTGCCACATAAACAATTAATCCGATATACACTATGCATTATTGGAATATAATCGATACCATAACACAACAATCGGCTGATAATGTGTTTAAACTAACAAAAACTAGCCAAATTAATAAATTTTCTAGACTACATAATAAACAAATCCCTACTAAAAACCAAAAAATTAAAAACAAAACAGAACTGAACTTGACTAACACTGTATCAACCGGTGACATGGTCTCTGTCCTTTCTAAAGGCCTTAACTTTGCCATTACCCCACGCACAATTCCAGTGGATGAGATCATTGCTGAGGTAGAATCAGTAGTTAGACTCCTTCCACATAATGAGGCAGAGATGACTCGACATGAGGTTGCCAAATTAATTGAGAATAGCAAAGTCCCAAAAGTAAATATTAGCTCTAACGAGGCAAAAGCCTTAAGAGAGCTGCGTGTAAATAAGGATATCCAAATCCTAGCAGCTGTAGTGATGTCACGAGCCGATTATGATAATAAAATTAGAAATTTACTAGAGGAAAGTACCTACATTAAAATTAAACGAGATCCAACTAATACTTTAGAACGTAAGACCACTGCAATAATTGCAAATTCATTAATCCACTAAAAATGAGCAATACCAAATTAAGCCAAGGGCCTCAAAACCACCTAGACTCTATGGGCTACCGAAGATTCATAAAATCGGCATCCCATTACGACCCATAGTCAGTACAATTGGCTCTGCCACATATCAATTGGCAAAATATATAACCAAACAAATACAGCCCTACATCGGTAGGACATCTTCATTCATAAAAAAATTCAGAACATCTTGTGAATGTGATTAAATATATTTAGCTTACTCCTGATGATATTCTGGTAAGTTTTGATGTGATTTCTCTATTCACTAAGGTTCCAGTGGACGAATCGCTTAAATTACTTGATACACTAGTAAAGAATACCGGTTTACCAAAAGATATTCCGAAACTTGCTGGCCATTGTTTAAATAACACTTACTTCTTATGGAGAGGGGATTTCTTTAAACAAAAGGAAGGAGCAGCAATGGGCTCTCCTTTATCCCCTGCTATAGCAAATTTGTACATGGAAAACTTTGAAATAAGAGCACTTGCCTCGAGCACATTAAAACCATCCTTTTGGTTTAGATATGTGGATGACATTTTGGTTGTCTGGCCACATGGTAAAGACACACTTAATGATTTTCTAAATCATCTCAATGCACAAAACCCGGCCATCCAGTTCACCATGGAAATGGAGGTGAATAACACACTCCCATTCCTAGATATTTTGCTTAGACATGGCCTAAACGGTAAAATAACACACAGCGTTTACAGAAAGCAAACGCACACTGATGCCTATCTGAATGCAGAATCACATCATCATCCAGCTCAGAAATCCTCTCTTATCAAGACGCTCATACATCGGGCTAAAACAGTGTCAGATGGTGAGAGTCTAGTGAGAGAGATCAAACACGTTAAAGACGCACTACGACAGAATGGCTACAATAATGCTCAAATTAACAGAGCACTGAATGCCAAATCACGATCGCAAAGCAATACTGCTGAAAGCGACCAGATTATTAAAACAATAAAAAATTCCATATATCTCAGGAGTAACTGACAAATTAGCCCGTGTTTTGCAAACGCAAAACATTACAGTAAGATTTGGTACAGTACACAAAATTCAAAAACTAGTATCTTGCACTAAAGACGCATTACCTAAATTATCAACAGAAGGTGTATATCGGATTAATTGTTTATGTGGAAGATGCTATATTGGACAGACGGGACGTAACATCAGCGTAAGTCTAAAAGAACATCAGAGAAATATTAAATTATCTCAAACACAACTGTCGGCAGTGACAGAACATGCTTGTCAACAAGGACACTCAATTGATTTTGACAATGTTGCAGTGTTGTGTAAAACTAATTATTACTGGCAAAGACTAATTAGAGAATCAATTGAAATTGAGAGGAATAAGAATAACTTTAATCGCTCTGACAGCTACAGGCTTAGTGCGGCCTGGAAGCGTATTATTAAATAATACACATTACATTTTTATTTAAAGCTTTCGTGACTGCAGTGATTCATGTTCTTCGCTCTTTCGGTGGAGTCGCGTTGGGGGGAAGCAATAAAATAATAGAATATATATGTTTGTTGTTTCCCTTCGGCGTGGCTTTGCCGAGGGAGCTAAGAATATGAATGCACATTACAATTCCTTATAGGGGAAACACATACTAATTAACGGATTACTAACATAGCATATAATCACTAACACACATTACAACTAATTACTAATCTACAACTCATTACTAATCATAACCATTGACTGATTACTAATCGATTATATCATTACAATACCCCCCCCTCCGCCTCTAATCACTGAACCTGATATGAGTTGAAATGATGACATCACCTGCTGCTCTATATAAAACCGGGAGCAAGCGAGGGATTTACCATTCTGGCGAATTGCCCGATGACGCTGGATGTATTGACCAGCGAAACGTCACAGTACTCAAACTGTAAATGTTGTGGATTCACTCTTCAACACACTGGTGGGCTAAAGTAGTGAATTATTTGTCTTTTGTCAACGTGACACTTTTTTTGCTGATTGGCCGTGTCGGGTGGTGGAGGGTTACGACACATTTATAAATAACGCGATCTAACCCAAAAACCTTTATTATGAATAATATTGGTCGCGAAAGCCTACGTGTTAAACTATTATACACTACACTATACACTGATATACACTACACTATACACTGATATACACTACACTATACACTACTATACACTTCAGTATACACTACTATACACTACACTATACACTACACTACTATACACTACACTGTACACTACTATACACTACACTACTATACACAACACTATACACTACTATACTCTACACTATACACTACTATACACTACACTACTATACACTACACTGCTATACACTATACTATACACTACACTACTATACACTACTATACACTATACTATACGCTACTATACACTACACTATACACTACTATATACACTACACTACTATGCACTACACTATACACTACACTACTATACACTACACTATTACACTACTATACACTACACTATACACTACACTACTATGCACTACACTACTTTACACGACTATACACTACACTACTATACACTACACTACCATACATTACACTACTATACACTACACTACTATACACTACACTATACACTACACTACTATACACTGCACTATACACTGCTATACACTATACACTACACTATACACTGCTATACACTATACACTACTACACTACTATAAACTACACTACTATACACTACACTACTATACACTACACTATACACTACTATACACTACACTACTATACATTACACTATACACTACTAGTGAAGGGGATTGACAGGTATGAGTTTGCATCACTAATAAAGTTATTCCATCTTCACTTTCCACCACCCCAACCAACCAAAACACGCACGACCGCTCAAATAAAGTTATACCGATTGCCGCGCATGCGCACTGGAACTTTCCAGCGAGTGTCAGTCCGCGAGCCGAGCGGAGTCGTCCAGAATTCCGCCATGAACCCCGACCTGCTCTCGGAGCGTCAAGGCGCCTCTTTCGACATCGAGAAGCTCACCGTCTTCATCGATGGCGGGGAGGAGCGGACCACCAAGAGACGGCAGATGGGTGAGCCGAGCCAACCTCCCCCCACACCCCGTAACCTGCACGCCGAGTCCCACCCCTTAAACGCCAGGAACATTCTCGTACCCCGACCCCTCTCAGGCCTAGTTGCTCTGCCGGGATTGTCACGCTTTCGCCGGTAGGCGCGAGTAGGCCGAGCAGCTCGGGCGCTGGTGGTCACCACCGGCGCTGTTACGTTTCAGAATATTGTAGTTATACTGGAGGAATCCGATGAGCTGTAAAGTTCTTCCCCTCCCCGCCACAGATGTCCGGTTTGTGGTCGCTGTGCGCGTGAGTTAGTAAGCGGTCACCTTGACTTTGAACTACTGATGGTCGTGCCGTGAACATTTTCAGGACCTCGTCACGGTAACGTGGAATGCGCACGACTGCTTCCGATGAATGGCCGCTGGCTGACCCAGGATACCGACGATGGAACTCGTGCGAGGGGAACCAAATGACGAAGTCTACCGGACATCTGTGATGAAAGAGCTTTGTAGCTCATCGGATTACCTCCGGTATCAATGCGTAGCCTGCGATTATGAATGTTTGGCATACAGATGGACAGTTTGCAGATGGTCACGGAGAGACGGCGCGCGTGTTGTTATACCGAGAGGCAAACGAACACAGTGGATTATATGACATAGTGTAGGGTTATGACATCGTGTTAAGCAAAGTAGCGAGTGGGGTTTGGGCAGAGCGCGCTTGAGCACGGCTGGAAGGGACTTTGGGGGGGGACGATGGTCCAGTTTCATCAATGGAGTGGTGGCCAAGGATTGGAACTCGGTTGCCGAGGGGACGTGAGGTGAGGAGATGGAACGATGATTCAATCGCATCGAGTACAGGTGTCTATGCATGTACTGTACGTTGAACTTCTTTCGCTCCGTACGCAGCCAACCGTGCTAATCGGAGGTACTGGGGGTGGATACAACAAGTTTGTGTCTGCGTGAGTCTGTGGGTTTCTGTGTGAGTCTGTGGGTCTCTGTGTGAGTCTGGGTCTCTGTGTGAGTCTGTGGGTCTCTTTGTGAGGCTGTGGGTCTCTGTGCGAGTCTGTGGGTCTCTGTGTGAGTCTGTGGGTCTCTGTTAGTCTGTGGGTCTCTTTGTGAGTGTTCGTCTCCGCGTGAGTCTGTGGGTCTCTGTGTGAGTCTGTGGCTCTCTGTGTGAGTCTTTGGGTCTCTGTTAGTCTGTGGGTCTCTTTGTGAGTATGTGGGTCTCTGTGTGAGTCTGTGGGTCTCTGTGTGAGTATGTGGGTCTCTGTGTGAGTCTGTGGCTCTCTGTATGAGTCTATGGGTTTCTTTGTGAGTCTGTGGGTCTCTGTGTGAGTCTATGGGTCTCTGTGTGAGTCTGTGGGTCTCTGTGTAAGTCTGTGGGTCTCTGTGTGCGTCTATGTATGTGTTAAACTTCTTTTGCACCGTACGTGCTAATCGGAGGTGCGGGGAATGTGGACAACAAAACCAAACACAAGAAGCAATTCTAAAGAAATTAGTTTGGTCATTCTAGGCGATTTAAAGTGCACAGCCCCCAGTGTCTTCCTAATATCGGAAGGAAGAGCATTCCAGACGACCGCAGAAGCGCATCTATCTGAAAGCGCACGGTACATTTGACCGCTTTTGTTCGATGGCCAGCCAAAAGCTGCTGCGAGAATTAAAAAAAGCCGGCGCCTCGGTGGACTGCTGCATCGCTAGATGGTGTAAGACAGCGCTGTCTCGGAGAGGCGTTCAGCAGTGGATTGATCACGCCTCCTGATGAAGACGGGGTGTTTTTTTTTGTATTGATGCTCCCAGATGAATGCCCCGTTTGAGCAGTGATATATTTTTGAGAGGCACTCGTCCACGGAATGGGAATGGGAATATCGAATTCCCCCCCCCCCCCACTGCCACGGAGCCACTGAGGTTGAGTCGAGATGACGTGCTAATTTTTAGTAGGATGGTGTTGTATTTTGTGAAGGTCAGTTGGCCAAAACGTCGAGACCTTAATTTTCTCACCATTGAAAGCACACAACTCCTGTTAAAGTGATTAAATAACTCGATATTTTACGTGTAAATTCACCGGAGCAGTGACTCGATCATCTACTTCGCAAATGCAATTCTGTTGTCCCCTTTCTGTTTCTACTACTCATTCAACTTTTATTGTTGCCTTGCGAATATAACGTTGGTGGATTTGCCTGCGTTTGAACTCTGTTCCACTTTTGTGAACTTTGAGCACTTTGTTACTGATTTGCCCCCATCCCCGACGGCACTATCATGAATTGCCACGATGTGAGAATCTGGCCCATTTCCGTTCGTTTGCAGAGTGTTTTTTTGTTGCGTTTTTTTTCACGATTTTAATTTGATAAATTACTTAATTTGATCAATTTTGCATCGCAACATCGCCTCCCTACTAGCAGACTGATGCCCGCTTTGAGGCCGGTGTTGCGTACATCATGTACCGCATAGGGACAGCTGCCACGGGGTGTGCCCTTGGTTCGACTGCAACAGGGGAGCAGTGTGATGGTTGAGATGTAATGCAATGAGTTGGCAATTTATCCTTACGTTTTCACCTTCCATTCAAACGGAATCACCGGTGTATAATTTGCAATTACAGAGACTCCTCTGCTTACGAACGAGTTCGGTTCCAGAGGCCTGTTCCTAAATCGATTTGTTCGTGAGTCCAACTGGACGCCTGTCAAATCCAAATGTATTGTACGGCATGTACACTAAACACGGGGAATGGCTTTAAAAGTTGTATAATCTCCTGCAGATGTAGATGCCACTGGTTCTTCACGTTGTGTAGATGTAGATGCCACTGATTATTCGTGTTCTGTAGATGTAGATGCCACTGGTTCTTCACGTTCTGCAGATGTAGATGCCACTGGTTCTTCACGTTCTGCAGATGTAGATGCCACCACCGCCATCCATTGCGCTGTGGTTGAACTTACGACTCTCGGTCCGAACAGGCAACTGGACATGCGGGCACGGGTTCGTTGGGATGTCTGAAAGTTCGTAAGTCGAATGTTCGTAAGCAGAGGAGTCCCTGTATAGTAGATAATTCATTGTTAACGTGCACAATGAAAGAATCGTTTTAAATCCATGGCTGCCTGCCTCCCTTCGTCACGTGGCGAAACGCGCACTGTGCGTACGTGACAAATGCTCCTCTTGTGGAGGTGTGGCGGTGCCTGAGGTGGGGACCAATGTGTGATCCTTTGGTGGGAGGGGCAGGGGTGCCTTGTGTAACTGTAGCCTTGTGTGACAGCAGCAGGGCTGTGTCGTGTCTGCTTTTGTTGGCTGCTCTCTGCCCTTGACCCCCTTCCTTTGTGAGGTGCTTGCACCGATATGGCTGAACTCAATTTCAGTCCAAAGTCCGGGCCAGTATCTTACTTGGCAGATTATCACGATCGACTCTGGCTTCAGGATTGCGCGCGCACAGCGCACACACACGCACGCACACAGAAAAAGGCCAGCAAATGCCATTGGCAACGGTGAGGGTGCGAGGCAGGGTGAGGTTACACGGTGTCGTAACATTACTACTCTCCTAATAGATGTTTTTTTTTGGGTTAGATGGCATAAATAAAATGTGTCCTTAAACCCGCCGCCACCACACGACACAACCAATTAGCAGGGTTTGTCACGTAAACGAACCATGTCAGTTCGTTAGTAGTACAGCACACCGGTGTGTTGGAGAGTAAACCCACAACATTTACAATTCGAGTACGACGTTTCGCCAGTAATTACAACCAGCATCATCAGGCGGCAGACAGATTTTGTCGCGAACGCCTACGTGTTAAAAACTGGCTTATTCTCACCCTGGTTATCAGTGGAGTTCTACACACAGCACAGAGACCTTATTCTCCGATATTATTATTTAGACGCAGTTTTTTGTCTCTATTTAAAAGCAAAATTGGGGGGGGGGGTGGGGAAGGGCTTGCGTCTTATAATCTGGCAGGTGTGTATCCAGATATGCATAACTCTGTTGACATGGGGCACAAGTTTACTTTCTGAAGTGTCTTGTAATCTGGAGAATTCGATACATGCAGAGCCCGTTGGTGAAATCCACTGCAGGATGAGGGCCTCTCCACGCTGTTACGGGTTCTATGCTCCCCACATTTTCACTCCCCACCTTTTCCAACACGCGCTGGTCAGCTTGGTGAAGTTACGGCCACATCACCCGCAAAAAAAACTGACAACTGGTGCGGGGAAAATGCTCGGCTGTGGTGAACGACGTTTTGTAGAGAGGTGCCATCATCCATCAATTCAGCAATTAATTCCGATACTCTTCCAACAATTTCATCAATTCCTCTTCAATTCAGCATCAGCTCAGCAATTACATTAAGACATTAATACCGATACCTTTCAGCTCGCGATGCGTGCATCGAACGGTGTCGCGTGCCTGCGAGTCGTCGTTTTTTTTTCCCCCCAATTCGTGTTCGTCGCACGCGATGGATGCACGTGACCAGCCGCCACGAGAGGGCCCCCGACATTCGCCAGTTAATTCTGAATCTCGAAAACTTTGACGAATCGCCGGCATTGCTTGGCATTGCACACAACTGGAGCGGTTGGGATGACATTCGGCATTGCTTGGCATTGCACACAACTGGAGCGGTTGGGATGACATTCGGCATTGCTTGGCATTGCACACAACTGGAGCGGTTGGGATGACATTCGTTTTGCAAGAAAGTGACTGACGTGTAACTCGCTTACGCTTGAATGCACGGCGTTTTGAGTCGCACGTCGAGTTTAAATGCACGTTAACTTTTAAGCACTTCCCAAACTTCTGTCGAGCGCCGGCGACCTTGTACCTTTTGCGTAACGTGCAAATGCCAACTCTGTGAGCGATAAAAGCACAGATTGCTTCGGCCTTATCGGCGTCGTGCACATGTTGATTCTCGGTCGTTGCACCCACGTGCCCTTTGCCCCTTGGGACCAGGCGGGTTGCAAAAACAACCTCCGGTCATCTCACAAGAGCTGACCTTGACCGAGAAGGAATAATAATCGATTGCCTGCTGGGGTTTTTTTTGTTTTTCAATGTTTTATGGAACCATCCGATCGATTTTTGTCCTGGCTTTTTACATACCAAGTCCCTATGTATGTTTGTATGTCAGGGGTCTCAAACGATATTTTGAGGCCCCCTACTTGACATCAATTATTTATTTATTTTTAATTATTATATTTTTTGCCATAGCTCAGGCTCGTGACAGCTTCCGGTGTTTGTTGACAAGTTGGCCAACGCGAATTAGCAACGTTAGTCACTTGGTTGAAACGTGATTCCGGAGTGACACCAAGTGGAAGGAAAATATATCCTGTCACCCAGTGCAAGGTACAGAGGACTTAGGAAGTGGGCGGACTCAACAAGAGTAATCAGTGACCTAGTAAAGACAACAGAGTGTTGCAATAGGAAAGGGAAAAGAATTACATGGATAGCAAATAGCATGAGATGGGTGGCAAGAACAAACGCCAAATGGTGGTTAGAACCTGAATATTATAAAGAAGAAGTTATAGATTATTATTACAAGAGAAACAAAGACAAGGAAAAAGGACAGATATGTGCAATCGCAAAAGAAAACGAATTTACCAAGAACAATTTAATCAGAAAGAGCAAGAAATTTAAAGATATAAAACATGAGACAATGCACTTGATGTTAAGAATTAAGAGTAACATGGACACCAGAGTTAGCTCAATGGCATCCAGAGAGATTCAGTAGAGCAGAAGGATATGTAGGATGTAAACAAAAAGAAGAAAATCTAGATCACTTTATTCATGAATGTGAAAGGTATAAACACCTGAGAGAGAACACGATTGATGAATTTAATAATGATAAGAAAAGCGAAGTGCTCAAAAAAAGCTACGAACAATGAGAAAGTTTTCAAATACCTCTCAGAATATGTAGAAAGGGCATACTAAATAAGATCCCAAATACTCAGGTATTGGTATAAAAACATGTAAATATATCACCCCCACCTTTCCTGAGCTTTTCAGGATGTTCAAGCGGACCATGTGCCTTTTTGGGAGCACATATCTGTGTGAAAAGCTCTTCTGCAGCATGAACTTCAATAAGTCAAAGTACAGGTCCAAACTTACTGATGATGAGCATCTTCAAGCCATACTGAGGGTCTCAATTGCTTCCTCCCTCAAGCCAAATGTGGCTCAGCTGTGTAGGAAGAGGAAGCGCTGCCAGGTCTCTGGCAGCTAAGGAGTAGGTAAGAGAAGCATACGTTCCGAAGAACCGTTCATGTTCTGAACCGTTGTTAATAAAGATTGAGCAGATTGGATCAGTTGTACTTTTTTTTTTTAATACTTGATGCGGCCCAGCCTCACCCAGACTCTACCTCCAGCGGCCCCCAGGTAAGTTGAGTTTGAGACCCCTGATGTATGTGGAACTTCTTCTGGACCGTACGTTGTTAACTGCGCTTAATCGGAGGTGCGGGAGGCCCCTAATTGCAACGCAACTTTTGTTTTGTTTATATTGGTTCACCTTTACACGAGATATTGTGAACTCCCTGTTATGAACACAGAGAGACCCACAAAGACGGATGGACAGGGCTAATGCATTAACTCTCCTCGGCCTTTGTCGGGGAGCTGTTAATCGCCGGTTGAATCGTAAAAGGTGAAGGGGCAGCCCCTGCAATTGCTCGCTCCTCGCGTCCCTGCTGACGGAAGGGCCCGCGACAGAGCAAGCTCTGAAATGCCTCTCTACGTGGAATTTTAACCGACCTTGCTTTGTTGTTGCTGCTGCCCAGATGTCTTGGGAGAAGGTGGGAGTGCCCACATGTTTCACCCACCGCATGCACACTGCCCAGCTGTGGTATACCCACTATTGCTGCTTTGGGAGTGGCCTGCGGGCGAGATTTGCCCTATTGTTTTGAGCTGCTGCCGCCGGGAGATCCCGTTGCCGTTGCACCGGTAGCAACGTCCTCGCCGTTGGCGCCGTAAGCAAAGCGTGCCACCCGCGGATATATATCGGCGGGCAGTCGCCGTCTTGCGCTTTGCGAGTAACTTTTTTTTTGCCGGCGGCTCTTTTCGCCGGGGCGCGGGAAACGTTGCAGAGGGCCTGGCGGTGAACGACCCCGAGATGCGTCACGACGACCTGAACTTCCTGTCACGGAGCGAGCGCTACGACGTGGCGGTGCGGAAGAGCGCCCTCATGGTGCGCCGGATGCAGCAGAACGGCATCACCGACCCCGAGGAGATCTACTGGTACAAGAGGTAACCGCCGCCATTCACCGCGCCGCCAGCTCGCACGCATCCGCCGAGCCTTCGCCTGACCTCCAACCTGACTTCCAACCTGACCTCCACCGCACCATTCTCACCGAGCAGCCGTCGGGGGTAACTGCGAGTGACCGCGAGCAAGCGTACCCCGTCGTGCTTTCCACGCTGCTTCCACACTGCACGCCGTCTCACCTGGTTAACGCTCCCACCGCGCTCCTACATTGCTACCCCCCTCCCCATTTCTCCACTGCGCCTTTCCTTACTCTAGCCGTGCGTATGTACGTTGGACTTCTTTCGCACCGTACGTAGCTAATCGGAGGTGCGGGGGAAGGACAACAAACCAAATACAAAAAAAAAGCAGTTCTAAAGAAGCGAGTGTTCAATCTCGGTGAATTGAAAGTCCTTGGCTGCAGTGGCTTCCCAATATCGGAAGGAAGAGCATTCCAGACGGCCAGAGAAGCGCATCGGAAAGCGCGCGACACAGTTGACCGTCTCTGTTCGCCCGGCGAGCCAAAAGCTGCTGTTGAGAATGCGAAGGTGGACTGCTGCATCGCTAGATGGTGCAAGGCGGCGCTGGATCAGAGAGGCCTTCATCCAGCAGTGGATTGGCCAGAAGCGGCATGTGAAAGCGCCCGATGCGGTGACCCATCTTGGTAGCTGCCCCGTGCCGCTGCCGCGACGCTCCTCCACGTTCCTCCTCGCTCCGTCGCACCTGGTTCCGCATCGCTCCCACCGCACACTCCCACCGTTCTCCTCCACCCCGTGTCTCACTTCACCCCATCGCGGCGCACTCCCCACCCGCGTTCCCCACTGCACTTGGCGTAGGCCAAGTGCCAGGTTCTCCAAGATAATCCGCGAGTGGAGACCCCTCCCATCAGCAGTGGCCAGAGCAAGCAATAATTGTTTTGCTCACAAATGCAAAAGTTGCTTCTCACAGTTTGGGCAGGCGCTAGCCACAACGCGACACAGGCGCATCACACAAAAAAATACAAAGGGAACTTGCTGTGAAGTTGGCGCTCCCCTCGCGATAATATTCACCCAAAGACAAAGGTTCCCCGTATAGGCTTAAACTGTTGGGGGCAAGTGCTGTTAGCGAGTGGCACCTATGAAGGCCAGCACGGCACGCAAGGGGGTTTGGGGTGGCCAGCACCACGCCCAACCGCCTTTATCTCCCCAGTGGCGATGGTTACACACCGCACCAGGTTATAATTTGAGGCTGAGTCGACCTAGGGGAAGGCCCATGACCGACTGAGACAATCGTTACTGGTGTTCGCCGTGAGCGGGAATCGAACTCGGGGGTCACCATGTTCGTAGCGCAACGCGCTGACGGCTGCACCGCTGCTTCTGCACGCACGCACGCACACAGGCACGCACGCATGCACGCACGCATGCACACAGACACGCACGCACACACACGTGGCAGTGTGGAGCCTCACGGACGAGCGGGTGGCGGCCGGGCGATACGCTGTGTGCAGGGCAGCCCTGGGCAACAGGGGAGACCCTCTCGGGGTGCACTTCCTCATGTTCCAGCCCGTCCTCGACACGAACACCTCGCCCGCCCAGCGGAAGCGATGGCTGCCTCCCGCGCTCAACTACAAAATCCTGGGCACCTATGCGCAGACCGAGCTGGGACATGGTACCGTAACTGGCGTGGGGCGGGCAGGCGGGCCTTTGCTCGATAACGCGCACGCACGCACGCACGCACATGCTTCAAATTACACTGGCAGAACGAACGATCGGCCAACGCGGCTAGGCTTTGGAGTGCTCCATGGGTGTCTCTGAGCTCTGAAGTGCTCCATGGAGCCTCTTAAGCTGTCGAACACCACTTCCTAACCTGATGGCTGCGTACACCTGGGGCTATGGCTCGTCATCTCGGAGGAGCTCGCAAGACTGTTCACCTCGAGGCGACGATCACTCATCAGTGGAGTTCCGCGTGTGTGCCCTAACAATCCTAAAGCTGCATAGTTATCTTGAGTAACTAATTTGGCAAAGCTGTGTCCGGACGTCGAGACAAAGCCACGCGCTCTACCGAGTTTTCGCTCATTTTAAAAATATGAATTTTATACGAACAAACTAAATTGTAACTTTTCTAGCTCGTCGGGAAATGCCTTCAGCATTTCCCGCATTTCCGCATCCATCCGAGCGTCTCCAAGGTGCCGCTGGGCGCGGAAACGACGCGCCGATTACGCCGTTGACCGTTCCACCTGCAGCGCGAGCTGTCAAGTTTACGTCGGCCGCGTGAGAGTCCGGTTCCGCGATCTCTCTCGCTTGACGATCGCCGTCCACGCTCACGTCCCCCCCCTCCCCCCCCCCGCCGCTCGACATCGCTGCGAACTTCCACGCTCGCTCTCTCTCTGCTCCAGCGGTCGAGGATTTTCATCTGATCCCCCGGGTGAACCTTTCGCGCGGTGCGCGGGTCGCCCGTTCTCCTCTTGTCTGTCCCCCATGGTCTGGAAACGGTTTCCCCCCCCCCCCCCGTCTACCTGACTGCCTGCCTCCGTCAGTAAAATAAACGTGCCCACCGTTTTTCTGTACGGAGCGGCAGGTTTCGTCAGCTGGCGGCCCTGCAGCAGATAAACTCGACGACAGGAGACTCTCGATTATCCGCGCACCTGAGATTTTGACGTAAATTAACGACTCGTGAATTTTCCCTTCAGGCCCAAATTATTCATCTTAAAACAGTTGTGCGTACGAAACATTTCTTGGAAAAAATGTTTCGTACAAGTTACGCAGTTTAAACCAAGCAAATATGTGCTCCGGCGAATACAAAATCCACTTGGTCGCCCCTACAGTAACAGTAGTTGCATATCTTTGCAACAGTTTGATTGACGTTGATTGGTGCGGCTCTGCTATCCACTTAGTGGGCCGAGCCTTCTGCAGCGCAGGAGCAGGAAAGTGTTACCCCTGAGCACGCGCATCGATTGGTCTATTCTTTTCTACAAATTTTCGTTTTGTTCATTAACAAACTCAATTTTCTTAACTTAAACATCATTTGTACCCCCTGTATTAGTGTTTTTTTTGGCATAGAAATCTGCCAAAAAAAATGTTATTTTTGGATTAGCCAAGATTTTAAATAAAACATTTTATTTTAATTTTTTCCGGGTAATGCCCACTGAGCTATGTAGCTCCTTTTCAGAAGCGACCTGGCTATCACGAACGATAGCTCAACGAAGTGGGGCTTATCACGCAACGATAAGCCCCACTTCGTTGTATAGCAGGCGAATACTCTTAAACGCGTGGGAAATACCGGAGTACCCGGAGAAAAATCCACGCGACCGCGGGGAGAGAGAACGAGAGAGAGAGAGAGAGATAAGCAAACTCCGAATATGCAGCGGGCGTCGGGGTCGGGATCGGGATCGAACCCACGACCTCCTGCATACCAGGCGAGGTGGTCGACATCTCCTAGCAACTGGCGCCCAGGTGCTTTCACACGCCGCGCGACCGCTCGCCTGACGACCAGGGCTCGCGCGCCGCTTGGCGTTTGCGCCCAGCGCTGGGGTGTTCTCGCCTTGTCCGCTCTGCCTTCCCTATCCCCGCCCCCAGCTTTCTAATCGCCGTGAATCCAGCATCCGTTGTTTTTTTTTAGCCCGCTTTCATAATAACAACAACAACAACAATATTTTGATTTAAAGCTTTGTAAGCCATCTGGCTACCATGAGAGATTCGTTCATGAGGCTATCCACATATACAAGCACAGAGACAATTTCAACCGAGAAGATGGATTCTGGCTTAGCAATCATTGGAAAGATTTGATTAACCATTTCAGGTCTTAATTGATTGTTCACGCTTACAGTGGCTTTCAGACAGCATACATTAATTTTTCGTCTCCCCCCTCCTCTTTTCAGAACATAGATGGACTAGTCCTGCAAACCGACACACCTGATGACAACCGTTTGTGTTATGGTCGAAACGTCGTGAGAATTTTTATTGTTTTATATATATGTTTTATTGTTTCCCTTCAACGTGACTTTACCGAAAGAGCTAAGAATATGAACAACAATATTGATAATTACTTATTGATCCAGACTACATTTTTTTACCAGGAGGGTCCTTCTACGGTGGGGGTTTTTATTTTTTACATTCGGATGTTTTCCGGCCACATCTCGGATTGCTCATCATACCATCGTGGGAGGAAACCGGAACGCGCTCAGGAGAGGGTAACGCTCTATCCCCATACAGACGGAAACAATCACACTTACTCTTTGGTTCTATTCGGTAAAGTCACGTAAAAAAACAACAAAAAACAAAAAATAAAATAAAAATAAATCTAGAATCATCACACTTGCTGTTCCACCTTCTCCTAGCGAGCTCAGAGCATGGCGCCTTGGGGAAGGAGCTTCACAACAATTCTGCTTCACAACAGTTTCACAACATGCGCACTACGATTCACCAGCCCTCCCCGCCTCCAACCGTGCCGAAATCGGGAGGCCACGTGCATAAGCCACCGTCGCCCGGATCTCATTCAAACGATCGTGGCGGGTCCCCTGACGTGGCCCACCGCCGCTGTCACCATCGCGAGTAGCGCCAGGGTCTCTGCCGCCGCCGCCGCCGCCGCCGCCGCCGCCAACGCCAGCGCCACCATCGTGCCGTGCGGTGCCGCTGTGTCCGTAGAGGGTGCTTGCGCGGCAAGGTGGATGTCTTTGGGCTGCACTTCATCATGTTCCTGCCCACGCTGAGAAGCCAGGGCACGGCCGAGCAGCAGCTTGAGTGGATCCCCAGCGCCCTCCAGTGCAAAGTGCGGGGCACCTACGCTCAGACCGAGTTGGGACACGGTACCTGCGACGCACAGCGCGCGACCTGCGACCCCTGCCTCCGCGCGCAAGGGGGGCCGCTGGACATCTGTATAAATAAATAAGTGAATCGTCGCTTCATAAAAAAAATATGATGATTCTGATTCCGTGATTGAAGGAAGACGCAACCCAAAAATATGAATCGCACGGTTCGATCGTTTTAAACGCACCACGTTCGTCGGCAAACACTGCCTGAAATGAATTAATATATAACAGAAGACGTTTTGGCAGTGGTCCTTCTCTCATTGAGCAGTGTGCTGTGAAAGAAGAGCCACCGGCAGAAACGTCTCGTGATCGAGCTATAAAACGAAAACGATTTTTTTTATTTTACCAGGTGAGGCGGCCCGCCCACTGAGCTACGTAGCTCTCTTTCAGAATCGACCTGACTATTACAAAATGATGGCTCGATAGAGTGGCTTCTCAGGTGAAATTGATAGCAGCCAAATGCACAAAACGCGTGACGTCGATTCTGAATGCGGAGGGAAAAACCGGAGGGCCCGGGGAACAATCCACGCGACCACGAGGAGACAGACGCGCAAACTCCCAATTTACCGGCGTCAGGGTCGGGAACAAACTCACGACTTCCTGCATACCAGGAGAGGTCGTTAACATCTCTCTACCGTGGGTGCACTCCTGGGCTGTGTACACCCCCCCCCCCCCCCCCGAACCTGCTCCCCTGGGCAGCCCGACACAAAGTTTGAAGCTTTAATAAGAGGATAAAGGGGTTTAAAAGTCACGGTCTTGTGTATTCAAATGAGCGACTGCCTTGCCGTACGTTCAAATCCGAATGGGAGAGAACTCTACCCTCTAGAGGCGGTGCAGATTAGGAAGCCGGGGCTGGGAAACGGCTGTTTTGAGCCGACGAGATTTGGCGTTTTGCCGGCGGGGGGGGGGGGGGGGGCGGGGAAATGTAATTCCTCATCTCCGGTGGCCCGGTGAGATACGAACCGAGAGGTGAATCGGCGATCCTCTTCCTCGTAGTAGCGGGCGTGAGCGGCCGCGGTGCAATCGGTTGATGCACTAGGAAAGCGGACGGTTGTTTCTGGGGGAGGGGTGGTGGGGGGGGGGGTTTTTGGGTAGCGTCTTCCGAGTATTTATCAATCATCTGCGACAAATCGAACGTTGCGCTGATTTGCCGCTCAACGATTCCGGGTCCCGATTCACGAATCGATTCTCCAACGTCCGGCCCGTGACTTGTTTTTGGCCTCCGTTGAAGCCGGCGGCTTCGTAATAAATCTTGTCTCCCGCTCATCCGCGCCCGCTGGCGTTAACGCTAACGTTATCGCGCAAACGCGCGCGTGCGATTCCCGTAAAATCGTAACCATGCACAAGATTTTCTGTTCGTATCGCGGCTCCGGTGTGCCAGCGTCGTCACGGCACCCGTCGATATGAATGCGTCGTGAAAACCCGCCACCACACCGACACAGCCAATTGGCAAGGTTTTGTCACGCAACCGGAACGTGCCAATTCGTTACTAATTCAGCACACCGGTTGCGTGTTGGAGAGTAAACCCAGAACATTTGCCATTCGAGTACCGTGACGTTCCGCCGGTAATTGCAACCAGCCTCATCAGGCGACAGCCAGAGTTGTGTTGGGTTTACTCTCCAACACACAACCAGTTAGTGCTGAACAAGAAACGAATCTTGATTTAAAGCTTTCGTGACTGCAGTAATTCATATTCTTAGTTCTTTCGGTAAAGTCACGTTGAAGGGAAACAACAAAATAATAAAATATATATAAAACAATGAAAATTCTCACGACGTTTCGACCATGACACAAACGGTCGTGAGAATTTTTATTGTGTTATATATATTTTATTATTTTGTTGTTTCCCTTCAACGTGACTTTACCGAAAGAACTAAGTATATAGAAACGAATTGGCACGGTTTTTTGTTTGCGTGACAAACCTTACCGATTGGTTGTGTCGGGCGGTGGCGGCTTTAACGACACATTTATATTCACGCTAACCCAAAAAACTTCTCATGGATAACATTGGTCGTGAAAGCTCCCGTGTTAAACTGGAAAAACCACGTTGTAACATCACCCCGCCCCCCCTACCCCCTCTACTGACAGACTGATGCCAACTTGCAGGCCGGGGGTTTGCGTCACTCTTGTTTCCGCACAGGGGCAGCTGCCCAGAGAGGGTCACCCACACTCTTTGGTTCTATTCGGTAAAGTCACGTAGGTAAAAAATATATATATATAAAACAACAAAAATCACGACGTTTCGGTCACAACACAAGCGGCCTTCATCAGGTGAAGGGACCAGCCTGTCTCGAAGACTGCGCTGGAGTGAAACGGAGCCAAGCTCAGACTACGACCTTTAAGGGTCACCCTTGGCAAAATAAAAATAGGAAGGAGACTACAGCTGGGTATCGGAATGATTGTGGGGAGATGTGATGTAGCATTCTTTGTGACATATGGGCATCTATGCCACCTCGGTGCATGCGACAATCCTTATTCCTCTGTTATCATCATTATTTTTACTCCCGAGTGTTTTTGTGGTTCAAGAAAACGCGGCGCAACGGGTTTAACCGAGCTGGCCTTTATTGCCCTTCGCGTCGAAAACAAAAAATTAACGAAATCTCCGTGATTCTAGATTTGAAGCTTTCGTGACTGCAAGGATTCATACCCTTTGTAGTTTTCGGTGAAGTCACGTAGCTAATAAATAAATAAATCGGTTAAATCTCAACGTTTACGGGCGCAACACAAGCGTCCTTCTTCAGGCGGGGACAACGCAGCGAAAGCACGGACGCTTAAGCGCGTCTCGGAGATGGTTGTGACGAGGGATTATCTCCGTGGTTTGAAACGTCCCATGTAACGCAACGCTCGGGGCGCTAACCACTGCACGGCATTGTGGGACGAATACCCGTGGTGCCGTGCCAGCTCAACGGAAGGTCTGGACGCCCGGCGCCGCTCGCCGCGTGGACCTGGGGTTGCTTCCTCGTCGGCGATCGTCAGTGTGATGTAGCCCACTTCAAGGCCCACGCGGTGGCACGTGACCCCCGGACGCGTGTCCTAGTGCTGCTGAACTTCTTTCGCACCGCACGTATAGCCAACCGTGCTGATCGGAGGTGCGGGGGAAGGACAACAAGCTAACACACGCAAAAAAGCAGTTCTTAAACACATGGGTTTGCATTGTAGACGATTTAAAAGTGTGTAGTTCCGGTGGCTTCCTGATACCGGAAAGGGAGAGTCCACCAGACGGCCGCGCGCAATGCGGTGACCGTCTGAAGGTGCTGCATGCGTGGGGGTGCTTGAGATGGGGTGGGGGGGGAGTGGGGGGCAGGGCTGGGGAGGCGGGGGAGTTGGGGCCAGGGGGAATCTCTATCCTACTTGCTGGCTGCTGCTTCACACGCTTGACTATTGAATGTTTTCGACTAATGACGGCAATGAGAATGATGATGCTGATTGTGTTGACGACGATAACGCTTGAAAGTTTCACATCTATTGTGTCCTCTTAACTGTTCACGCAAGCAAGTGGCACTGATCCCTCTGCTTGCCCCGAACCCACAGAGAGGAAATTCCACATTCCCATGACAAGGGGCAAAAGATCTCTTCCGCACGACGGGTGCTTTCGCAATGTCGCTTTGGCCAGGTGTACGTTGTTGAACGTGTCGCCAACGACAAGCCTGTCAATCGTAGATATTTGCGGTCCCATTTTTAATTCTGTTTGGCGCCTCCACGGACCGTAAACGAGACTCCGTGACTCATCTCGAACGCCGCTACATGTGCGGGAGACACGGCTGGCATTGTGTGGGTGTGTTTGTGGCTTCAGGCACTTGCTGTGATTTGGTCTAATGTGGCCGCATCCCTTCTCTCTCCGCACCACCCGATCACCGCTCTCTCGCCACGTTCACCTGATGAGGCCATCCACTCCGCTTCCGCCCTTGTGCTTGCTTGGCTGAACACTCACTGGCATGGCTGCCTACCTGACTCACCCTGCCTGCCTGATTTATACTCACTGCCTGCCTTATCCTAACTGCCTACCTGCCTGCCTGACTCACCCTGCCTGCCTGATTTATACTAACTGCCTGATTTATACTAACTGCCTGATTTATACTAACTGCCTGATTTATACTCACTGCCTGCCTTATCCTAACTGCCTGCCTGCCTGCCTGACTCACCCTGCCTGCCTGATTTATACTAACTGCCTGATTTATACTAACTGCCTGATTTATACTAACTGCCTGCTTGCCTTATCCTAACTGCCTACCTGCCTGCCTAACCTATCCTAACTTCCTGACTGACTAACCTGCCTACCTCAATTCCTACCTGTGAACTTCCTTACCCCCCCCCCCCTCTTGCCTGTTACCTGACCTGTCCCGCTCCCCCCCTCCTTAACTCTGCTACCTGTAACCTTAAACGTCAAATGGCCTGCTCTCACACGCCTGTAAGCTCGGTTACCTTCCCAACCTGTCCACTTTACCTCCCCTCCTGCTTCCCACCTGACCTGCCATGCTCCTCGCCTTATCCGCCCTGTCGCCTTACCCGTTACACCTGTCGGCTTCCCGGCTCGCCAACCTGCCACCTCGTCCGCTCTTGTGCCCGTCACCTCACCTGCCCCTCCTACCTCTCTGGGCCGTCCTCTTAACCTGTTGCTCGACCTGCCGTCAAACGCCCTGTCGCCAAACCGCGCTCTCGCCTCTCTCGCCATCATCCATGCCCTCCACTCGCTTCCCCCTGCCCTCCTCTACGCGCCACCCCCTGCCCCGCACCCCTGTCGCTCCGCCCCTCGCTTGCAATTCCTCCCGCCCCAGAGCTTGCCACCGGAACAGGGCGGAGCCCCTGGACCTGCACCTGGGCATGTTCCTGCCTACTTTGCTGCACCAGGCAACGCCTGAGCAGCAGGAGCAGTTCTTCATGCCAGCCTGGCAGCTGAAAATCATCGGCACCTACGCCCAGACCGAGATTGGGCACGGTAACCTGCTGCCCCGCCGGCGAGCCGCTCCGTCCGCAGATGCCTCCCCCACCCCACCACCACCACCACCACCACCCCCCCCCACTCCTCATCGTCAGCCAAACCCAGCCCTCTCCTGGGTCTGTGCACCAGCACTGCTACAGTTGGAAATGGGGAGGAATGCCAAGACTGGTAGAGAAGGGAGTTTAAACTGCCCAGTGGGATGCGAGCCGAGCCCTTACCGCTCACCTTAACCAACACTAGCCAACCGTACTTTATGCCTACCCTTACCTCTAACTTAATCACATTGGCCAACCAGACACTAGTCCTACCCTTACCGCTCACCTTAACCACACGAGCCAGCCGTACTTTATGCCTACCCTTACGTCTAACTTAATCACACTGGCCAACCAGATACTAGTCCTGCCCTTACCGCTCACCTTAACCAACACTAGCCAACCGTACTTTAAGCCTACCCTTACGTCTAACTTAATCAAACTGGCCAACCAGACACTAGTCCTACCCTTACCGCTAACCATAACCACACTAGCCCACCGGACGGTAGGCCTATCTCATAGGACAAATCAGATTGGCCAACCAGACAATAGCGCCACCTTTGTCCGTATCTCTAACATTGTCCCTACCTATGGTGCTTTGCCGCTTGCAGCAGCCCAAGTGGAAACGCCTCTTCCCGCTAGTGCCACTGTGGCTAGGAGATGTTAACCACCTCGCCTGGTATGGAGAAGGTCGTGGGTTCGATCCCGACCCTGACGTCTGCCGTATATTTGGAGTTTGCGTGTCTCTCTCTTCCCGTGGCCACGAGAATCGGCGTCACGCGTTTTAGAGTTATTTGGCCGTTGATATGAATTTCCACGCGATGGTGATGATTGGTTGAGCTATCATTTGTGGCCAGGCCGCTTCTCAAAAAAGAGTAACGTATAGCTCGTTGGGCCTTCATCCGGAAAGAAAAATGTGTTTACCTAGGTTATATTGCCGCCAGGGGTTTTTAAGGACTACGTTTTTACCGTGACTCTTGCCCGGGCCCGGCGATCGTCTCACCTCGGAGGCTACCGAGCAGGGGTTGACCCCGATCGGTACTTGCATGGCTGACCGCCATCGAGGCTTTGCCAGGCACTGTGTGGGCGTGGGCATAGCGGGTGGCAGCATTGCCGTGCCCTCGAAAGGCAGTGATGGGTTGTATTCCGTCTCCTCCGGTTGCCTCCCACGGCAAAAATCTCTTGAATGGAATTGGCCAAACATCACAAAGCAGCAGGCTCCTAAAGATAAGTGAGAATCAGAATCAGAAATATTTATCCTGGAGGAATTCGATGAGCTATGAAGCTCTCTTTGACGGTACGGTCCAGTCTTGAGACATCGAAGCTTTCCTGCGTATAAGACATCATTTGTCAATATTGTGTACAACAATAAAAGGCAAAATCCTTAATCGAACACTCTTTCCATGCAGTTGTAGTGCCAATCAACAGCTTTTTATCTCCGTTAGTCTATGACCATCTTTGGCTGAAGGCTACTTCATATATGGTCATGGTTGAAATGGCCCCATGCCAATAAAGAATGTCTCGTCAACTCGAAGCTCTTGCAAAGCGTCACGAGTATACGGCGCGCTGTCCAGCAACAAAGTCGGTCAAATCTGCGAGCCTGGAGAAGGGCCGTTGCCTAAAACGCCGGGTCATCTTATACGTCCGCTGTAATCGGGTAGTTCGTGGAGGTTGTGACATTTATCGAGACTTGTACTTCTGCTGCACCGGCGGCTCGGTCCCTAAAATGTACACAGGGTGCCAGCGATGGCCTCATCCTTTGGCTGTGGAATTCCGATCGGACAGCTCCTTGAACGACAATACGTAAACTTGCCAGCGTTCTTTTCTTTATTGTACAGCGGTCCCTCGGTTTACAACGCCATCGATTACCAATGTTACGGTGGACGATGCGCTTGCCCATTGTTAATGTTAACGCTGCATTTTCGATGTACGGATGCGTGCTTGCGACAGCACACGGACCCGCAAATTTCGGCCAATCGGAGCGCTCCCATAAGTGGACTCGGTAACAGACCTCGGCCAATCGGCGACCCCTGCCCCCTTTCATGAGCGTTTTGATAGCAGCCGTGGCCTAGCTTTTCAATGGTTGATGGTGCTTTGTTCATGGAAACGGCTCTCTTGAATACTTAGTGGAGGTTTTTTTTTTTACTTTAAAATTTAATAATATCAATGACAATTTAGTTAAACAATTAAGTTCATTTCCTGCCACCCCAACTTCTCAATCAACTCCTTAAGCCATCTATCTTCTTAGCTAAAGTAAAAACCTTTACTCTGTGCACCTTTTCATGCTCTGTTTATTCATTATTTATCCATGGTTCTATTAGCGTTACATGTTTTAACGTGCCCTCATCACGTTTATTTATTTACGAAAAAAAAGTTGCTTGTTAAAATATTGACAGGCTATGTTATTAGGGTGAAAAAAAACTTCGATCGTCTAGGAATAAAAAATTAAGCCTTCAGCGTGCACTTCCTCTGTTCAATTATCGATCATCTCAATGAACGATGGTTTTTCGTTGAACCAATTCATATATCGTTAACCGACGGGCCCACTGTACACACCTCATACCTCTAAACCCCCTCCCCCGATGTTCCCTGCTGTGGCATACCATGTCAACCCATACGGTTTACCCGTATTCTTTTACAGGGAAATTGAGGATTCAGGTCCGTACGGTGGCGTACAGCCGTTTCAATACGGGCAACAAACATAATTGTCCCCTTGGTTCTTTCGGTAAAGTCACGTAGAAGGGAAACAATAAAATGATTTAAAAAAATATAAAAAACAATAAAATTCTCACGACGTTTCGACTGCAACACAAGCAATCGTCTTCAGGTGTGAAAACCCACAGCAAGAATATTTGAGTGTTTTCTTGCTGAAAATTTGAGTGTTTCCTTGCTGTGGGTTTCACACCTGACGATGATTGCTTGTGTTGCAGTCGAAACGTCGTGAGAATTTTTTTTTTATATTTTTTATTATTGTATTGTTTCCCTTCTCTGTGATTTTACCGAAAGAACCAAGAATATGAATCCCTGCAGTCACGAAAGCTTTAAATAAAAAAAAAATAATAATAATTGTCTATTTGTTTGTGTTTCTCCCTTGTGATGGGACTTTGTAGGATGGACGTTGAGATTTATAAGGGACACGGGGGTGACCAATAAGGTTTGAATTGGTCTGTAATAAGGTAGGGCAATCTTGATTTGAAGCTTTCGTGACTGCAGGAATCCATACTCTTTGGTTCTTTCGGTAAAGTCACGTAGATAATTGTTTTTTTACCCTTTTATCTGGAAACAAAACTGACGCCTTTTTTTACGAGAAGTCATGTTTGCATTGACCACAATATCTGCGGTCGGAACGCAAACAAAAAACAACAACTCTGATCATGTATGTGGCACTGTCCTTGAAATTGATTGGTCCACACCCGCGACAGCTTTCCTTAGAGGCTTCGTCTCACACGTTGGTGTTGGACCAGAAGACGCCAAAAGGCCCACAACTCAAAGACAATGCCACCATCAGAGTATGAGAGCTCGGGGTAAAAAAAAAAAACAATTCTCATATTTTGCTACTGCCAAAGGAGGTTCCAGTGGGGTAAAGTCACGTAGTTAGAAATAAAATAAAAGAAATCACATCTCTAGCCCCGCCCATGTACCCTACCTATATAGTAGATGTAGCCTCGTGCCACGGCAGCTCTCTCGCCTTATTCAGCAGTTGTTCCTTGCTGTGGTTGTCCCACCTGATGACGATTGCTTGTGTTGCGATTTGTTTAATTTTATTTCATTTCTAACTCCGTGACTTTACCGAAAGAACCAAGGAGTAAGGAGGTAGGGCACTGATCAGGTGTTGGCAGAAATGTAGTGGTGAGTGTAGTGGTGAGTCTACTAGTGGTGAGCGTCCTACTGGTTATTGTGTATTTGTGTTTGTGTTTTTCCCTTGTGATGGGACTTTGTAGGATGGACGTCGAGATTTATAAGGGGCACGTGGGTGACCGAAACGGTCTGAATTGTTCTGGAATAAGCTAGGGGCCACTGACAAGGGGTTGACAGGTTTGCCGTGGTGCTGTCGGTGCGCGCACAAACCCATCGAGGATTTGTTGTGTTTCGGAGAATCTCTGGCTACTCAAAATAACGGCGAGGTTTTCGTAGCCAGCGGCCGACGTGGAAGGGGGGAAAGGGTCCGCATTCGGGGCGAAGGTCCAAGGCAAGTTTTATAGCCCCAAGTGTCACCGAGCGTCGATGTTGCGAATTCGGTGGTGGGGAAAAAGGTCTCCAGCCCACGGGTGAGGTAGTAATCGGAATCGTCAGAATCTCGATTCGGACCGCCAGGAGGAGAAATCCGACGAGCAATGAAGCTCTTTTTTTTTCTCTTCCTCCCATCCACGGATGTTCCAGTTATGGGCGCGGGGTCAGCAAATTATTACAGCGGCAAATAAGAAGGAACACAAAAAAACCGATAGGAATGCAAAATAGAAAAAAATGTAAGCAGGGTCACTAAATCTAATAGCGCGATTTATTTATTTATTTCTAAAACCAAATATTTTTTCATTTCGGTGCGATTGATCACACCTGGGCAAGGCAGCAAAAACAGCACCAAGACAACGCCACACATCAGAAGTATCAGCCCCGCGATAAGGTGGCCACGTGACCGTTGAATCGCAGCCGAGATGCTACGCCATCCTCAGGCGATGGCGTAGCATCTCGGCTGCGATTGTTCCGGGCGCCACGCTTCCGTTGCGTGCCGTTGGGGCGTCGGCGTGCCCCGCAGGACCACGAGTTTCAACCGCCCAGTTCAAACGAGCCGTTTGGTTATGATTGTTTAACGACGGATGACGAGGAACAAAGGATCGCCCGCCACCTTCGAGGCTACGCTGGCTGAATAATTTGCGGAGTAAATTTGGGGATAACGTGGACCGCGACGCCGCCGGCACACTGATGGCCTCCTCTTTTGCGAACGGCGTCACGGGATCTCCGGCGTCCAGGGTGAAGCGCACGGAGTATACATATCTATTTTTTTTTTATTGTTTAATATACCGCGGCGACAACCGGGTCGGCCGCTGGGATTGAACCGTGAACCTCCGGAACAAGCGGCGGACGCCGCGAGGTCATGTCGCCGGCAACGTCGCCACTCGCGCGGTTGTTGTTGTGGTGGTCGTCGTTGGTGTTGTTGTTGTGCATTAACCCAGTGGTTGTCAAGGTGAAAAGGAGGCTGAGTCACGTGCCAGGCGTTGGGCATCACGTCAATGATAGGGTTCGATTGCCTCGTGTGGTTAGGATATAGTGGCAAGGGTAAGGTTAGGGTCGTTTTCGCTAGGTATAGGTAGGGTTAGCGGCTGGTTCGCTAGTCAGATCCAGCTATGGGGGTGAGGGTGCAGCTCGTGGTACCCTCTCCTTATCCCTGTGCCTGTCTCATCGCATTTTTAGTTCACCGGGTCACATCACGGTGCCATTGTCGAGCCTGTTCCCTGCGTTGCCCGCGTGCATGAAGTGCGTCTGCGCGTCCCACATCCTGCATCATGCACAAGCGCCTCCTCGTTGCGGGAACGCCATGGGCCTCGGTTTAAGTTTGCCTGCTTAAATCTCGATTTGAAGTTTTCGCGACTGCAGGGATCCACACTCTTTGGCTCTTTCGGTAAAGTCACGTAGTGGGTAGAAAATTAAAAAAAAGGTTTGCCTGCTTAATTTCCCAGTTTTCCCCGCTTTCCCCCTCTCAATCCACTCGTGCTCACCCCTCCCCCCCACCACCCACCCACCCGCCTTGTCCAGTGCTCTCTGTTTGCCGGAGAGAGCTCTGGCCAGAGCGCCGGTTGCGGTGTAAATAGATTGGGTTCAGGGTTCAGCTGTACCGAAGGTTTACCCGAGCACGGTACGAAGGTGGCATGTTCATTCGCCTGCCATGATGTCTCCGAAAAGTTCGCGCAGTGAGCCCGGCACCGCTAAGATCCTAACTTGGAATCCGGGTTTCACCCACCCGTGATTTTTTTGGTTTGTTTGTTTGTTTGTTTTTATCTGAATAGATAAGCAGACGATGCTGTCCGCTGCACATACCCGGCTCTCAAATACAAATAAAAAAATATAAACGTATTTTTTTTTTTATTACGCAACGTGTTGGTCCGCAAGGCCTCCCGGTAGCGCATACGTTTAGCAGCGTTGATTCCCGCGCAAGCCAAAACCTCTGGACTGGCTTTAACATGCGGTGTCTTCTCGGCAAAGAGATGCGGCATGGCGATGCGGAGAGACGAGCGTTGGAGAAAGCGAGTGATGAGGCACCTGGAGACGAGACGTACGGATCCGCGGGCGGCACCGTTACGACGCGGCGACATCGCGTGGCCGCGTCGCGACGCCTGCACGCACGTGACGTCACGACGACGCCCGGGCGCGTCGCGACGTCGTGGATGACGTCACGACGCCCGGGCGCGTCGCCGTGACGACTGCAAACGCTGAAGAGCTTCCGCCCCCCCCCCCCCCCCGCCGCTCCGCCCCCCCGCGCAAAACGATTTTCGCTTCGCCTGCTCGGTTGGCCCGCTTCGCGCCTTCGCCGCTTGGCCCCGCGCCGCTGCCGCCCGCTTGGCTTGGCCGTCGCTCGCGGGCGTTGGCGGGTGGCCCCGTGGCCCTGGATCTTAACGGAGGCGGCGTCGCTCGTGCTCGGGGAGCGTTCGATTCCGCCCGCCTTGCTGCCGTCGGGGCTTGCAGCAGCGATACGATACGTTCAAAAAAATAAGTGAACGCGACGTATCGGAATCCACGCTCGAATCGAATCTGGTACTCCCGAGTCGTGTGGCAGTCCATCCAATCGCCTGGCAACAATTTCGTTGGCGCGCAGCCAGGGGCGGAGCCAGGATTTTGACTTTGCGGGGGGGGGGGGGGGCTGACTTCAATATTCTGAGATATCCACAGTGTGTTTGTGTTTTCCAATGGGCGCCACAAATGCACGAGGCAAATTTTATTGGATTTGAACGTGGAGTTTATTAATAGGTCGGAGCCGCCGACGCGGCTGATAAGTTCGAAAGGCTGCCGCTCAAGCAGCCTGCAGGGCAGCACACAAGGTGGCAGCCTGCAGGGCAGCACACAAGGTGGCAGCCTGCAGGGCAGCACACAAGGTGGCAGCCTGCAGGGCAGCACACAAGGTGGCAGCCTGCAGGGCAGCACACAAGGTGGCAGCCTGCAGGGCAGCACACAAGGTGGCAGCCTGCAGGGCAGCACACGAGGTGGCAGCCTGCAGCATTTTGCAGCAGCCGGATATCCGGTTATCCCGATTACCGACTTTACCCAAAATTTCAGGGGGGGGCTGAGCCCCCCCCCCCCCTGTGGCTCCGCCCCTGCGCATAGCCTGTGCCAAAACTATGCCCGACAATGCCATCGTCATGATCATCATCATCATCAGCATCATCATCGTCCCCCTGTTGGGTCAAGGCCACGACCACGCGCACCCGCACGTCGCGCGTACGACCCGGCAAGCGTGTGTGCCCGCACACGTGGTGCGGGCGCTCGTGAGCGGGCACACAATCGCACGGTCGCGCCCGCTGCGCCGGACGGGCGAGGGGGAAGCGGCTCCAGCCCGCCGCGGACTCGCGGGCGGGGATGTGCGGCGGCGGCGGCGGCGGCGTTATTATTGCGGCGACGGCGTTGTTGTCTTGACGGCACCCCCCCCCCACCCTCCCGCCCCCCCACCCGTCCCGCAGGCACCTTCATCCGCGGCCTCGAGACCAACCGCCACGTTCGACGCCGCCACACAGGAGTTCGTGCTGCACAGCCCGACCGTCACCTCCATCAAGTGGTGGCCGGGCGGCTGTGAGTGCTCCCCCACCGACCCCCACCCCCCACTTCCCCCCCCCCCCCCCCCCCCCCCCCGCTGCTGTTGACGTGTAAACATCACGAGCAGACGTTTCGAGAATCCACTTCCGGGTAGGCCGGAGGGTCGTTTGACCGTACGTCCCCACCCGCTCCGGTCAACACGGGTTGTTGAAGGCTGGGAGCGTTGGTGCACAGTACGACGTAGGTGGATGGATCGATTTTATTTATTTACTTCAGCTGCCAGGGCCACAAGGAATCCGTCGGACTCCATGGGGGCCACGCGACGGGACAGATCGCAGCCACGCAAAGCAGCCTGTGGCGCCGATTGCGAGTCGGAGCGTTCCTCCTCCTCGTGGCCACTTCTTAATCACGTTGCTCTCTGAAGAGAGGGGTGGTGGTGGTGGTGGTGGGGGGGGGCTTCGTTGGGGGGGGGAGGGCAAGCTTGGTGGTACTTCATCGTTAAGCGGCAAGAGTTAAGACTTGATGGTAGGTTTACTCAAATTGAAAACTGATTTATTGAGAACTTTTCGATTTAAAGCTTTCGTGGCTGCAAGGATTCGTCTTCTTTGGTTCTTCCGGTAAGGTCACGTAGAATGAGAATAAAATAATAAAATAACACAATAAAATTCTCACGACGTTTAAGTCGTGAAAGGTACAGAGCTGTCGGACGACAGGTCTGTACCTTTCACCTGAAGACGGCCGCTTGCGTTGTGGCCGAAACGTCGTGAGAATTTTATCGTGTTATTTTATTATTTTATTCTCATTCTACGCGACCTTTACCGAAAGAACCAAAGAAGATTTATTGAGAACTCTTCGGTTTGTTGGCCTTCCCTTGCCCCCGCACCTCCAATTAGCGAGGGTTGGCTACGTACGGCGTGAAAGAAGTTCAACACACACCCATACGTACATACGTACGCGGTCATCACACACATAGCGGTTCCCAGGCTCGTGGCCTGCCTAGTCTGATGAGCTCCGTGCACTCCGGGGTGCGTTGGTCAAAGGCATCATCCACACGATGATAAGCCGTTTTGCATTTATAAGTAACACCTTGGATTTGCGAGCATAATTCGTTCCGGAAACGTGTTTGTAATCCAAAGCACTCGTATATCAAAGCACTCGTACATCAGTTGTGATCACGTGATGCTCGGCAGTACAAAGCGTGTACACGTACTACTACTCGTATTGCTAGACCCTCGCTCGTTTATCAAATTAATGTTTACTTACAAATGTCTGCTCGTCTTGCAAAACACTCGCAGACCAAGTTACTCGCGATCCAAGGTTTTACTGTATAAGTAACGATGGCAAACTCACGGGGTAATATTTGGCTCGGTCTACGATTGTTTAAGGGCGCTTCATAATTTAAATTTAAATTATTACCTATGTATGGTGAATTTCTTTCGCACCGTGCGTAGCCAACCGTGCTAGTCGCAGGCCTAGAGGCGTGCTCCCATCTCTGTTAGGACGGCCGAACGACCCGATCGGCCTGGGTTTTATTGGGAATTCATCGGTGAGTAAAAAATTACGTCTGAAAAAGTGGCAGAGTATGTTGTAACCGGGTGTGCACGGGCGAAACTGTTGACCAAACAATGTTATTGGGATGAGAGCAGAACCAATGGAGTTCATCATTGTACGTTCGTTAAGAGGGTCAAAGTTATAACGATTGTGCATAAGTGAAGGGAGGCAAACGCAACAGGAGGGTGTGGTCTACGCCACATCGGTGAAGGTTATCAACAGAGGTCAAAGTTTTGAGTGCGTGCGTGCGTGCGCGCGCAACGCTTGTGTGTGTGTTCACTGAGTGTCGTGTGTGTGTGTGGGCGTGCACATGAGTGTGTGTGTGTGTGTACTTGCATAGTGGGGAGCGGTAGTGGTGTAGTGGTCAACGCACTGCGCCACGACCCCACCGACCGGAGTTCGATTCCCGCTCACGGCCGACACCGGTGACGATGATCTGAATCGCTCCTGGGTCTCCACTAGGTCGACTCAGCCTCAAATGCGTGCCTGGTGCGGTGTGTGTAAACGTCGCCACTAGGGAGACAAAGGCGGCCGGGCGTGGTGCTGGCCATCCCCACCCCCTCGTGTTTTGCGCCAGCCTTCATAGAGTGCTCGCTAACAGAACTTGCCCCAACAGTCTGTTAAGGCTATACGGGGGGGAGGGGGCGGATCTGTCTTTGGGGAGCGGTGGTGCAGCGGTTAGCGCACAGCGCGGCAAGCCTGGCGACCGGAGTTCTATCCCAAGTCGCGGCCAACATTCGCGATGAACATCCGGAACCGGTCCTGGGCCTCCTCACCTGGTGCGACGCTTTGTAAACATCGCCACTTGGAAGACAAAGGCGGCGGCCGGGCGTGTTGCTGGCCACCCGGCCCCTCGTGTACCGTGCTACTCGCGAACAGCACGTGCCCCCAACGGGTCCTTGAAGCGTGCTTAACGGAAGCATTGCGGGAGACGGAGGCGGCTCCGGCGCGTGGCGCGCTAGCCACCGTCGCCCGTCTTGGGGTGCTGCTCGCTTAACGGCGCTTGCCCCAGCGGTCTGATGAAGGCTCTACAGCAGGGGTGGGGAACCTTTTTTTTTCTGCCAAGGGCCATTTGGATGCTTGTATAACGTCATTCGCGGGGCCATACGACATTATCAATTGAAAAATTAGCCCGTTATATTCGGTCAAACGTTTAATGAACTCGCCCCTAATGCGATGGGGCCTGGGACACGCTTCTCTTTGGCGAGGCGTGGCGATGATGTTAGCCGGCTATTGACGATGTTGTCACTACTCGCAACTGCTTTTCCAGGTTTTGCTCTCCCTAGATTTGTTGAATTTCGAGTTCCCGCCTGCGGTTGCCTTGGCAGGGCCAGAGACCCAAATGATTTCGCGGGGGCCTCACACGGCCCGCGGGGCCGGACGTTCCCCACCCCTGCCCTACGGTGAAGGGGGGGGGGGGTTATCTTATGTTTCTCTTTTGATTAAAATGTTTCTTGCGACCTGTCGCGTGTGTTAACGCGTGCCAGGCATCCGATGCTTTGTGGCTCACCAGGGCACCTTCAAAGTGAACTGAAACTGCAGCGATGTTTTGCCTTGGCAGTGGGCAAGACGTCAAACCACGCGGTGGTGCTGGCCCAGCTGTACACGCGCGGCAAGTGCCACGGCCTGCACGCCTTCATTGTGCAGCTGCGCGACATGGAGACACACCAGCCGCTGCCCGGTAAGGGCCCGTCGTCGTTGTCGTCGTCGTTGTTGTTGTTGTTGTTGTTGTTTCTCCGTTGTTGTTGTTGTTGTTGTTGTTTCCTCCGTTGTTGTCTGCCTATTGTTGTTGTCATCAACCACCATCGTTGTTGCTTCCCCCCTCTTCTTCATCTCTCCACCATTGTTGTTGTCGTCTGCACCATTGTTGTTGTTGTCTCCACCATTGTTGTCGTCTGCACCATTGTTGTCGTCTGCACCATTGTTGTCCTCTCCACCATTGTTGTCGTCTGCACCATTGTTGTCGTCTCCACCATTGTTGTCGTCTGCACCATTGTTGTCGTCTGCACCATTGTTGTCGTCTGCACCATTGTTATCGTCTGCACCATTGTTGTCCTCTCCACCATTGTTGTCGTCTGCACCATTGTTGTCGTCCTCCCGTTGTTGACTCCCCTTGGCCACAGCCATGGCGACAAGGTCTTCACGACCTCGCCCGGTGTACAGGACGTCGTGGGTTCGATCCCGACCCCTGACGCCTGCTGTATATTTGGAGTTTGCGTGCCTCTGTGGTGAGATGTTAACTACCTCGCCTGGTACACAGGAGGTTGTGGGTTTGATCCCGACCCTGACGCCTGCTGCTGTATATTTGGAGTTTGCGTCTCTCTCTCTCTCATTATCATCACGGTGGCTAGGAGATGTTAACTACCTCGCCTGGTGTACAGGAGGTCGTGGGTTTGACCGCGACCCGGGACGCCTGCTGTATGTTTGGAGTTTTGCGTGTCTCTGTGGTGAGATGTTTACTACCTCGCCTGGTACACAGGAGGTCGTGGGTTTGATCCCGACCCAGACGACGCCTGCTGCTGTATATTTGGAGTTTGCGTGTCTCTCTCTCTCTCTCATTATCATCACGGTGGCTAGGAGATGTTGACTACCTCGCCTGGTGTACAGGAGGTCGTGGGTTTGACCGCGACCCGGGACGCCTGCTGTATGTTTGGAGTTTGCGTGTCTCTCTCTCCCCGTGGCCGCGTGGATTTATCTCCATGTTCCTCTTTTTTTTATTCCCCCCCGCCGCATTTAGAATCGACGTGCATTCTTAGAGTTAATTTGGCTGCTGCCGCAGATTTCCACGCGATGATGAGCTGCTTTCGTTGAACTATCATTTGTGATGGCAAGGTTGCTTCTAAAAAAAAGGGAATACGATGATTCTGGATGTAATCACCAGTGAAACGTCGTACTCAAACTGTAAATGTTGTGGATTCACTCTTCAACACACCGTTGGGCTAAAGCAGTGAACTATTTCGTCTTTTGTCAACGTGACGCATTTTTTTACTGATTGGCCGTGTCGGGTGGTGGAGGGTAACGACACATTTATAAATAACGCGATCTCGCCCCCCAAAAAACGTTTATTATTAATACATCGCTCTGTTGGGGCCCGTGAACTGGTTTAAAAAGAGCTGCACAGCCCATCGGATTCCCCCATGATAAATTAATATTCTAATTCTTTTCTTGAACGGAATTCATATCGTGCCTTAACCAAGGCCCTTAACGGCGCATCAGCAACGGCGCGTGGGTGGAGAATGCGAGGCGAGTGAGACCGATGAGAGAAAGCAATCGCGGAAAATCTGTGCGAAGCGCGAATTCGGTGAAAGCGAAATTGGTGTCGCGGGATGACGATGGTGGTGATGATGGTGATGGTGAATGGATTGAATGAACGGGGGGGGGGGTTAATGATGAGCGACAGCCGTATGATGAGAATGTTAAAAGGGAACCGTACCGGAGGCGGTGGTTATGCGGGGGGGTGGGGGGGGAGGGGGGGTAGGGGGGGAGATTAAGGGGTCGTGGGGGGGGGTCCGAGCTAGGACACATTAAGCGAGTTTTTGGCGAAGAGGAAGGCGTTGCAAGAAGATCACGCGGCGCCCCGATCGTTCCCACCCCTCCAACCCCCACCCACAGATGGATTGGTCCCCTCTTTTGTATTCCCCCTCCTCCTCCCCCCCCCCCCCCCCCCCCCCCCCCCCCAGGCATCGTCGTCGGCGACATCGGCCCCAAGTTCGGCTACGACGAGGTGGACAACGGCTTCCTCAAGTTTGAGCACGTGCGCGTGCCGAGGAAGAACATGCTGATGAAGTATGCCAAGGTGAGCGGGGCTAAGGGGGCGCTGTCACAAAGCCCCCGGTAAGGTTTGAAATGCGTGGCGAGCCTCGCACACTGATGATGTCTTATCGGCGAAAGTAGCCCCCCAACCCCCCCAACCCCTCCAACCCCCCCCCCCCCCGCTCTGAAAATATGTGAAGGACACCGCAGTGCAGCACCCACGTGGCTCTGTCACGTGACCATCTGCTGGTGCAGCGCGGTTTTTTTTTGACCCGTGGCTACCTGAGAGACACCCTGCACCCGGTTCAGTCTCGTAACGTAACACGCGCCGTGTGTGTCTGTGTTGCTGTTGTTGTTGTTGTTGCGCGGGAGCGAGGACCCGGTGGTGTAGCGGGTTAGCGCTACGCCGCGCTACGAACCCGGCGATCCGAGTTCGATTCCCGCTCGCGGCCAACGCCAGCGACGATTGTCTGAACCGGTTCTGAAACTCCCCTGGATCGACTCGGCCTCAAATTGAGTGGCTGGTGCGGTGTGTTAAACATCGCCGCTCGGGGAGACAAAAGGCGGCCGGGTGTAGTGCTGGGCCACCCACACGCGCCCTGAGTCGGGCCTTCACAGGTGCTGCTCGCTAACAGCACTTGCCCCAACAGTCTGTTCAGGCTGTACGAGGGGTGGGGGTGGGGGGGGGGATCTTTATCTTGTGTTTATTGTCGTGCCTACGTACGCTTGTGCGTGGCGGCGGCGGCGGCGGCGTAGGTGGAGGAGGACGGCACGTACGTGAAGCCGCCCAGCGACAAGCTGACGTACGGCACCATGGTGTTCGTGCGCTCGATGATCGTGAGCGACGCGGCGCGGGCGCTGTCGCAGGCCTGCACCGTCGCCATCCGCTACAGCGCTGTGCGCCGCCAGTCCGAGATGACGCCCGGGTACGCTGCCAGCACCGCCTTGTCGCACGCGGGGTTCGGGGGGGGGTGGCGGCGGCGGCGACGGTGACGTTGACCGGCGGTGGGCGCCGTTCGCCGATCGTTGCCGGGGACGCTCGCGGTTCGAATGCGGCGGCCGTCCTGGTTGTTCTAACACGCAGGCTTTCGCGACCAATATCGTTCCGTCGGGAAGATTTTTGGGTTAGGTCGCGTGAGTGTAAAATGCGGCGTTACTAATTGGCTGGTGGTGCCGTGCTTCAATATGAATGTGTCGTGGAACCCGCCACCACCCGACACGGCCAAATTTGGTGAGGTTTGTCACGTAACCAAAACATGCCAATGCTTGATGAGTTCAGCACTCGCCGGTCGTGTGTTGCAGAGTAAGCGCACCAAAACGTTTACCATTGCAGTACGGTGACGTTTCGCCGGTAATAACAACAACAACAACCAGCCTCATCAGGCGACAGCCAGAGCTGTGGAGAAAATCTTCCGGGTAAATGTTGTGGTGGGTTTACTCTCCCAACACACCAGTGTGCTGTCCTAGTAACGAATTGGCCAGTTTTGTTTTCCTGGTGGCGGGTTTAACGACACACATTTATATTTACGATATCTAACCCAAAATCCTCTATTATGGACGATGTAAGAAGTCTCAAGCGCTGGCATACAGGAAGGGGAGAGGGCAACATCACAAAACGAATCGTTGCCTGGTGGATGACACAAAGTTTGTGAAACTCCCTTCCCCTGGATGTCGCGAAGTGTGCCCGGTACCCTGGCTTGCCAGAAGGTGGTAGAACAAATGTGGACTCTAACCTTTCCACCTTCATGGGATTATCGTGGGTTTTCCCCGGGTGCCCCAGTTTCCTCCCGTATGTAAACAAATTTAACACGTAGGCTTTCGCGACCAATATTATTAACAATGAAGGGGTTTTTTGTTGTTGGTTAGATCGTGTAAATATAAACGTGTCGTAACCCTCCACCACCCGACACGGTCAGTAAGCAGTAAGGTTCATCCCGTAAACAAAACGCGCCAATTAGTTACCACTTCAGCCCACCGGTGCGTTGGGAGAGTAAATCCACAACGTTTACGTTATGAGTAGTACGACGTTTCGCTGGTAACTGCATCCAGCGTCATCTCATCGGGCGATTTGCCAGAATAGTGAAGCAATCCGCCTGCTTCCTGTCTTAAATAGAGCAGCAGGACGACGTCATCACTGAACCCATCAGGTGCTGCAGATATCAGAGGAGGTGGAGGGGGGGAGGGTTATTAAAACAGCCAGCCTCAGCAGCCGACCATCGCTTTCCCACCTGATGATGGGCGCTTGTGTTGCGCCCGGAACGTCGTGATTTATTTTATTTTATACCTACGTGACTTTACCGAAGGAACCAAAGAGTATAGGTTAGTAATCGGTTAATTGGCATGCGTTTCCTCTATAAGGAATTGTAATTGTAAGATGTATTAAGATGCATTGCTTAATGACACGCTTCCAGGCCGCGCTAAGCCCTGCGGCTGTCAGAGCGGTTAAATTATTTGTATTTCTCGCAATATTCAATGGGATTCTATAATTGGTCTCGGCCAGTAATAATTAAATTTTGATTTAAAGCTTTCGTGACTGCAGTGATTCATATTCTTAGCTCTTTCGGTAAAGTCACGTTGAAGGGAAACAATAAAATAATAAAATATATATAAAACAATAAAAATTCTCACGACGTTTCGACCATAACACAAATGGTCGTCATCAGGTGTGAAAAACCAACGGCAAGATGACCGTTTACGTTATGGTCGAAACGTCGTGAGAATTTTTATTGTTTTATATATATTTTATTGTTTCCCTTCAACGTGACTTTACCGAAAGAGCTAAGAACAGTAATAATTAGTTTTAAACAACACTTCGGCGGTATCACAATCAATTGAGTGTCCTTGTTGCCAATTGGCCGATAAGACCTGAATATCTAGAGAGGACCTCAGAGATTAAGGCGATTGGTTGGTGGCGTCGGTCGGCTCTCCGCCCAGCTTCGCTTACCCTCTGCTTGTCCGTGGTTTCTAAGATTCTGGCTGCACTCGTTTGGCCATCGAGGGCGAGCAAATGCCGAGCGGCGTGTTTTCAAATCGAAATTTTCGTTAAGGAACAAATCCCCAGGGTAACGAAGACGTCGTGACGACCGTTCGGAAGGGTCGCTTTGTACGTGGCACTCCTCTACTTACGAACATTCGACTTACAAACCTTCAGAGGTACAAACAAACCTGGTCCCGTGTGTCCAGTCGCCTGTTCGGGTCGAGGGTCGTAGGTTCGAACCGCCGCGCAATAGATGGCGGTGGTGGCATCCTACATCTACAGAACCCAGGAGAACCACGTGGCATCTACATCCGCAGGAGATTGCACAACTTTTAAAGCCATTCCCTCGTGATCAGTGCACACGAAGTGCAACGTTGTTTGGAATCGAAAGGAGTAAATTCGACTCGCGAACAAAATTGACTTGCGAACAGGCCGAGACTTACCGACTGACGTGCGCGGTCCTTGAAACGTGTGCCGTTTCGCAGGGCGCCCGAGCCCCAGATCCTGGACTACCAGACGCAGCAGTACAAGCTGTTCCCCCTGCTGGCGACCGCGTACGCGTTCCAGTTCGTAGGGGCGTACATGCGCGCCACATACATGCGCATCTCCGGAGACATCAACCAAGGAGATTTCCGAGAAATGCCTGAGGTATCCGCTCCCTTAAGGGAGAAACGCAATGCACTCTCGCCTTTAAAAGCGACACACAGTGCACCTGCCCCTTTAAGAGAAGTACACAATACACCGTCCCCTTTAAAAGTGATACACAATGCACTCGCCTCTTTTAAGAGATATCCACAATGCGCCTGCCCCTTTAAGGGAGATCCACAATGCACCTGCCCCTTTAAAAGTGATACACAATGCACCCGCCCCTTTAAGAGAAAAACCACAGTGCACCAGCCCCTTTAAGAGACACTAACAAGTCATCTTCTCTCGCAGCTTTGATGGATAGATGTGTGTCCTTATATCTGTATGTGTGCGTGTGTGTCTATGTATATGTGCGAGGAGTGGTGGCGCAGTGGTTAGGCCGCTGCGCTACGATCCTAGCGATGCAAGTTTCAATTCCCACTCAAAGCCAACATCGGTCCTGAATATCTAAACTGATGCTCGGCATCGCCTAGTTCAACGCAGCCTGCAATGTTAGTGGCCACCCACCTCCTCCCCCATATATCTACGTATGTTGAACTTCTCTTGCACCGTACAAAAAGACAAAATGTGACCTGTTGGCCTTCATGGGTGCCCACTTACAGCACTTGGGGCACCGCGGTGGTGAGATGTTAACTACGTCGCCTGATATACAGGTTTATATACAGATATACCCTGACGCCTGCTGTACATTTGGAGTTTGCGTTTCTCTCTCTCTCTCATCATCATCATCATCGCGGTGGCTAGGAGATGTTAACAACCTCGCCTGGTATACAGGAGGCTGTGGGTTCGATCGCGACCCTGACGCCTGCTGTACATTTGGAGTTTGCGTGTCTCTCTCGCCGTGGTCGCGTGGAGTTTCCTCCGACCCCCCCCCGATTTTACCCTCCACGTTTGGCATCGGCGTCACGCGTCTAGAGTATTCGCCTGTGGCAAATTCCCACGCGGCAAAGCCACTTGGTTGAGCTGTCATTTGTAGGCCCGGTCGCTTCTAAAAAAAAAAAAAAAAGAGACGCACATCTCAAGTCGGGGCCCTTACCTGCTGAGCAAACAAAAATAACTACTTTACGTTTGGCTCTAACTTGCCACCGACAGCCTGCCCTAAAGGCCACTCGCGCGTCGGGGGATCCCTGCCCGCTCGCGTGTGCCCGCGCGTGAGCAGCTGCACGCCACGTCTGCCGGCCTGAAGGCCTTCACGAGCTGGGCGGCCAGCAGCGGCATCGAGGTGTGCCGCATGGCCTGCGGCGGCCACGGCTACTCGTGCTCGAGCGGCCTGCCCGACCTATACGTCACCTTCACCTCGGCCTGCACCTACGAGGGAGAAAACACCGTCATGATGCTGCAGACCGCCAGGTCCCCTGGCGCACCGCCCCGCCCCCGCACCCCTCCCTCTCTACATCTGAACCCCTTCCGCACGCGTCCGTCCGTCCGTCCGTCTGTCTGTGCGCCTGCCTGTCTCTGCACACCTGTCCGTCTCCGCGCACGTGTGTACCTACGCCTGTCCGTCACTGTATACACACGTGCTGAGGAGCGGAGTGCCGACGGGATGACGCACTCGCCTCGGGAGCAGTGACGTCTCGGGGTGTTTGAGGTGGGGGGGGGAAGGGGGGACGGGTGACGTGGACGAGGTCTTCGCCGGGAGCCGGGGATCGTGAGCGGTAGGGAAGTGGGGACCCAGGGTAGGGGAGAAGTAGCACCAGGCTAGAGGTGGGGGGGGGGGGGGGGGGGGGGGGGGTGAGGGCTACTTCACCCGGCTGGCCGAGTTGGTTGAACCGTCGGTCAGCGCTGTGGGAAGAGCCCGTTAGCCTGGGAGGCGTAGTAAACTAATTGGCGTTTTGTCTACGTGACAAATCCCTTACTAATTAGCCGTGTCGGGTGGTGGAGGGTTACGACACAACAGATTCCCACTACCCTTTCCCCTGGGGAGATTTAGCTTAGCCCAAGTCCTGTGTTAGCCCTTCCCCTAAACCTAGGCGAAAAGCCCGTAATAAACAGTTTGGCGTCAGCCCCAACAGCGACTGCTTTACGTGTCGTCTTTACAACACAACACATGTATGTACCCTGCACATGTATGTACCTGCACACCTGTCTGTCTCTCCACATGTCTACCAACATGCATGCATGCCTACCTGCCTGCCTGTCTGCCTACCTGTGTAGATATTTATCTGCCAGCATGCCTGCCTGTCCGTTTGTCTGCCGTTCTGTGTACCTGCTGACCTGCGTACCTGCTAACTTGCCATTGTCCATCTACGAACGTGCTTGTGTGTCTGTCTGTCTGTCTCTCAGCCTGCCTATCGGCCAACATGCCTGCCCGTCTGCCTCCTTGTCTTCCTGCCCGCCTATCTGCCTTGTCGCTTTACCTGTATGTGCGTTGAACTTCTTTCGCATCATACATAGCAAAACCGTGCTGATCGCGATAACCTGCACCCTGTCCAACTACCCCGTCCACTCGTCTACGGCGTCCACCGTTCTGTGTACCTGCCTACCTGCATGTTTGCCATTATATATCTCTCGACGTAGCTAACCGTGCCGATCGCGATCAATTCTATGCCCCCTTTTCTGCCTTTCAGCCAGCCTGGCTGTTTTACCGCCATGAACTTGCCCGCCTTTGTAACCAGCGTGTACCCTGTCCCACTCGTCGTCCACCCCCCTTTGCGTGCGTGCGTGCGTGCGTGCGTAGGTACCTGATGAAGAGCTACAGCCAGGTGCGCGCCGGCAAGCCTCTGAGCGGGCTGGTGTCGTACCTCAACGAGCTGTCGCACGGCGGCCGCGTGAGACCTCGGGCGGTCGGTGGCGGCGGTGGCGGTGGTGGGGACATTGCCGACCTCGCTGGGCTGGTGCTGCTCTACGGGCAGCGTGCCGCCGTGTAAGCGGCGCACCACGCTTGTGCGGCGAGAGCGAACGACCGGCCGCTCACCGCTTGCCGTTGCCGCGAAAAATGCCGGCGAGCCGGTCGGCCGAGGGGGTGGGGGGGCGGGGGAAGTCCTTTGTTTCGCGTCGCGTTTAGCCACGTGCCCTAAAGCCCCACGGGCTAATACGTTAGCCACGTGCCCTAACGCCCACGGGCTAACGCGTTAGCCACGTGCCCTGACGCCCACGGGCTAACGCGTTAGCCACGTGCCCTAACGCCCCATGGGCTCACGTGTTAGCCACGTTTCCTAAAGCCCCACGGGCTCACGTGTTAGCCACGTGCCCTAAAGCCCCACGGGCTCACGTGTTAGCCACGTGCCCTAACGCCCACGGGCTAACGCGTTAGCCACGTGCCCTAACGCCCACGGGCTAACGCGTTAGCCACGTGCCCTGACGCCCACGGGCTAACGCGTTAGCCACGTGCCCTAACGCCCACGGGCTAACGCGTTAGCCACGTGCCCTAACGCCCCATGGGCTCACGTGTTAGCCACGTTTCCTAAAGCCCCACGGGCTCACGTGTTAGCCACGTGCCCTAAAGCCCCACGGGCTCACGTGTTAGCCACGTGCCCTAACGCCCACGGGCTAACGCGTTAGCCACGTGCCCTAACGCCCACGGGCTAACGCATTAGCCACGTGCCCTGACGCCCACGGGCTAACGTGTTAGCCACGTGCCCTAACGCCCACGGGCTAACGCGTTAGCCACGTGCCCTGACGCCCACGGGGTAACGCATTTTTATTTTTGCCCTAAAGCCCACGGGCTCACGCGTATAGCAACGTGCCCTAATGCTCACGGGCTAACGCGTTAGCCACGTGCCCTGACGCCCACGGGCTAACGCGTTAGCCGCGTGCCCTAACGCCCACGGGCTAACACGTTAGCCACGTGCCCTAACGCCCACGAGCTAACGCGTTAGCCACGTGCCCTGACGCCCACGGGCTCACGCGTTAGCCGCGTGCCCTGACGCCCACGGGCTAACGCGTTAGCCGCATGCCCTAACGCCCACGGGCTCACGCGTTAGCCGCGTGCCCTAACGCCCACGGGCTCACGCGTTAGCCGCGTGCCCTAACCCCCACCAGCTCGCATTCTCCAACGTGGCTGTGTGCGGCCCGTCAAGAGGGAGGGGCCCACTGAGCTACACGGCTCTTGTTCAGAAGCCGCTCGGCTGTAGCAAATGATAGCCCAATGGAGCGGCCCATCGCGTGGAAATTTTACGACGGCGTCGATTCTAAACGTGGGGTGAAAAACCGGAGGACGCGGAGAAAAATCCACGCGATCACGGTAGGGGAGAGCGATGCGCAGACTCCAAATATACAGCAGCAGGCGTCAGGGTCGGGATCGAACCCACGACCTCCTGTATACCAGGCGAGGTAGTTAACATCTCGCCACCGTGGCGCCCCCATATACATCTATTAATCTGACTCTGGGGGTCCGCATTGTATGGTGGGGGTTGCAGGCTGGTGGAGTCGGCCGCGAGGAACATGCAGGCGGAGCTGAGCGCCGGCAGGAGCCCCGAGGAGGCGTGGAACGGCGCCTCCGTGGACCTGGTTCGCGCCTCCGAGGTGAGGGGGAGAGGGGGGCGGAGAGGGGGGTGGGGGGTGGGCGTGGTGCTGGACACCCCCAAACCCCCCTCGTGTGCCGTGCCGGCCTTCATAGGTGCTGCTCGCGAACGGCACCTTGCCCCCCAAAGGTCTGTCACAAGGCTACACGGGGCATCTTTTTCTTTGGCGGAACGAGAGGAAGGGGGCGTGGGAGAAGGGATTTCCATTCATAGCTGTTGCCGTACATTGTTCGCTCGCACTTGTAGAGAGAGAGCGAGCACTCGTAGAGAGAGAGAGCGAGCACTCGTAGAGAGAGAGAGCGAGCACTTGTAGAGAGAGAGCGAGTACTCGTAGAGAGAGAGCGAGCACTCGTAGTGAGAGAGAGCGAGCACTTGTAGAGAGAGAGAGCGAGCACTCGTAGAGAGAGAGAGCGAGCACTCGTAGAGAGAGAGAGCGAGCACTCGTAGAGAGAGAGAGCGAGCACTCGTAGAGAGAGAGCGAGCACTCGTAGTGAGAGAGAGCGAGCACTTGTAGAGAGAGCGAGCACTCGTAGAGAGAGAGCGAGCACTCGTAGAGAGAGAGAGCGAGCACTTGTAGAGAGAGAGCGAGTACTCGTAGAGAGAGAGCGAGCACTCGTAGAGAGAGAGCGAGCACTCGTAGAGAGAGAGAGCGAGCACTCGTAGAGAGAGAGAGCGAGCACTCGTAGAGAGAGAGAGCGAGCACTCGTAGAGAGAGAGAGCGAGCACTCGTAGAGAGAGAGCGAGCACTCGTAGAGAGAGCGAGCACTCGTAGAGAGAGAGCGAGCACTCGTAGAGAGAGCGAGCACTCGTAGAGAGAGAGCGAGCGCTTGTAGAGAGAGAGCGAGCACTCGTAGAGAGAGCGAGCGAGCACTTGTAGAGAGAGAGCGAGCACTCGTAGAGAGAGAGCGAGCACTCGTAGAGAGAGAACGAGCACTTGTAGAGAGAGCGAGCACTCGTAGAGAGAGAGCGAGCGCTTGTAGAGAGAGAGCGCTTGTAGAGAGAGAGCGAGCACTCGTAGAGAGAGAGCGAGCACTCGTAGAGAGAGAGCGAGCACTCGCAGAGAGAGAGCGAGCACTCGTAGTGAGAGAGAGCGAGCACTTGTAGAGAGAGCGAGCACTTGTAGAGAGAGAGCGAGCACTCGTAGAGAGAGAGAGCGAGCACTTGTAGAGAGAGAGCGAGCACTTGTAGAGAGAGAGCGAGCACTCGTAGAGAGAGAGAGCGAGCACTTGTAGAGAGAGAGAGCGAGCACTTGTAGAGAGAGAGCGAGCACTTGTAGAGAGAGAGCGAGCTCTCGTAGAGAGAGAGAGCGAGCACTTGTAGAGAGAGAGCGAGCACTTGTAGAGAGAGAGCGAGCACTTGTAGAGAGAGAGCGAGCACTCGTAGAGAGAGAGCGAGCACTCGTAGTGAGAGAGAGCGAGCACTTGTAGAGAGAGCGAGCACTTGTAGAGAGAGAGCGAGCACTCGTAGAGAGAGAGCACTTGTAGAGAGAGAGCGAGCACTTGTAGAGAGAGAGCGAGCACTCGTAGAGAGAGAGAGCGAGCACTTGTAGAGAGAGAGCGAGCACTCGTAGAGAGAGAGAGCGAGCACTTGTAGAGAGAGAGCGAGCACTTGTAGAGAGAGAGCGAGCACTTGTAGAGAGAGAGCGAGCACTCGTAGAGAGAGAGCGAGCACTCGTAGTGAGAGAGAGCGAGCACTTGTAGAGAGAGCGAGCACTTGTAGAGAGAGAGCGAACACTCCTAGAGAGAGCGAGCACTTGCAGAGAGAGAGCGAGCACTCGTAGAGAGCGAGCACTCGTAGAGAGAGAGCGAGCACTCGTAGAGAGAGAGCGAGCACTTGTAGAGAGAGCGAGCACTCGTAGAGAGAGAGCGAGCACTCGTAGAGAGAGAGCGAGCACTTGTAGAGAGAGAGCGAGCACTTGTAGAGAGAGAGCGAGCACTCGTAGAGAGAGAGCGAGCACTCGTAGAGAGAGAGAGAGCACTCGTAGAGAGAGAGCGAGCACTCGTAGAGAGAGAGCGAGCACTCGTAGAGAGAGAGAGAGCCCTCGTAGAGAGAGAGAGCGAGCACTTGTAGAGAGAGAGCGAGCACTCGTAGAGAGAGAGAGCACTCGTAGAGAGAGAGCGAGCACTTGTAGAGAGAGAGCGAGCACTTGTAGTGAGAGAGCGAGCACTTGTAGAGAGAGAGCGAGCACTTGTAGAGAGAGAGCGAGCACTTGTAGAGAGAGAGCGAACACTCCTAGAGAGAGAGCGAGCACTCGTAGAGAGAGAGAGCACTCGTAGAGAGAGAGCGAGCACTTGTAGAGAGAGAGCGAGCACTTGTAGTGAGAGAGCGAGCACTTGTAGAGAGAGAGCGAGCACTTGTAGAGAGAGAGCGAACACTCCTAGAGAGAGAGCGAGCACTCGTAGAGAGAGAGAGAGCACTTGTAGAGAGAGAGAGCACTTGTAGAGAGAGAGAGAAAGCACTCGTAGAGAGAGAGAGAGCGAGCACTCGTAGAGAGAGAGCGAGCACTCGTAGAGAGAGAGCGAGCACTCGTAGAGAGAGAGCACTTGTAGAGAGAGAGCGAGCACTCGCAGAGAGAGCGAGCACTCGTAGAGAGAGAGCGAGCACTCGTAGAGAGAGAGCGAGCACTCGTAGAGAGAGAGCGAGCACTCGTAGAGAGAGAGCGAGCACTCGTAGAGAGAGAGCGAGCACTCGTAGAGAGAGAGTGAGCACTTGTAGAGAGAGAGCGAGCGCTCGTAGAGAGAGAGCGAGCACTCGTAGAGAGAGAGTGAGCACTTGTAGAGAGAGAGCGAGCACTCGTAGAGAGAGAGAGCGAGCACTTGTAGAGAGAGAGCGAGCACTTGTAGAGAGAGAGCGAGCACTTGTAGAGAGAGAGAGCGAGCACTCGTAGAGAGAGAGAGCGAGCACTTGTAGAGAGAGAGCGAGCACTTGTAGAGAGAGAGCGAGCACTCGTAGAGAGAGAGAGCGAGCACTTGTAGAGAGAGAGCGAGCACTTGTAGAGAGAGAGCGAGCACTTGTAGAGAGAGAGCGAGCACTCGTAGAGAGAGAGCGAGCACTCGTAGTGAGAGAGAGCGAGCACTTGTAGAGAGAGCGAGCACTTGTAGAGAGAGAGCGAGCACTCGTAGAGAGAGAGCACTTGTAGAGAGAGAGCGAGCACTTGTAGAGAGAGAGCGAGCACTCGTAGAGAGAGAGAGCGAGCACTTGTAGAGAGAGAGCGAGCACTCGTAGAGAGAGAGAGCGAGCACTTGTAGAGAGAGAGCGAGCACTTGTAGAGAGAGAGCGAGCACTTGTAGAGAGAGAGCGAGCACTCGTAGAGAGAGAGCGAGCACTCGTAGTGAGAGAGAGCGAGCACTTGTAGAGAGAGCGAGCACTTGTAGAGAGAGAGCGAGCACTCGTAGAGAGAGAGCACTTGTAGAGAGAGAGCGAGCACTTGTAGAGAGAGAGCGAGCACTCGTAGAGAGAGAGCGAGCACTCGTAGTGAGAGAGAGCGAGCACTTGTAGAGAGAGCGAGCACTTGTAGAGAGAGAGCGAGCACTTGTAGAGAGAGAGCGAACACTCCTAGAGAGAGCGAGCACTTGCAGAGAGAGAGCGAGCACTCGTAGAGAGCGAGCACTCGTAGAGAGAGAGCGAGCACTCGTAGAGAGAGAGCGAGCACTTGTAGAGAGAGCGAGCACTCGTAGAGAGAGAGCGAGCACTCGTAGAGAGAGAGCGAGCACTTGTAGAGAGAGAGCGAGCACTTGTAGAGAGAGAGCGAGCACTCGTAGAGAGAGAGCGAGCACTCGTAGAGAGAGAGAGAGCACTCGTAGAGAGAGAGCGAGCACTCGTAGAGAGAGAGCGAGCACTCGTAGAGAGAGAGCGAGCACTCGTAGAGAGAGAGAGCGAGCACTTGTAGAGAGAGAGCGAGCACTCGTAGAGAGAGAGAGCACTCGTAGAGAGAGAGCGAGCACTTGTAGAGAGAGAGCGAGCACTTGTAGTGAGAGAGCGAGCACTTGTAGAGAGAGAGCGAGCACTTGTAGAGAGAGAGCGAGCACTTGTAGAGAGAGAGCGAACACTCCTAGAGAGAGAGCGAGCACTCGTAGAGAGAGAGAGCACTCGTAGAGAGAGAGCGAGCACTTGTAGAGAGAGAGCGAGCACTTGTAGTGAGAGAGCGAGCACTTGTAGAGAGAGAGCGAGCACTTGTAGAGAGAGAGCGAACACTCCTAGAGAGAGAGCGAGCACTCGTAGAGAGAGAGAGAGCACTTGTAGAGAGAGAGAGAGAGCACTCGTAGAGAGAGAGAGCGACCACTCGTAGAGAGAGAGCGAGCACTCGTAGAGAGAGAGCACTTGTAGAGAGAGAGCGAGCACTCGCAGAGAGAGCGAGCACTCGTAGAGAGAGAGCGAGCACTCGTAGAGAGAGAGCGAGCACTCGTAGAGAGAGAGCGAGCACTCGTAGAGAGAGAGTGAGCACTTGTAGAGAGAGAGCGAGCGCTCGTAGAGAGAGAGCGAGCACTCGTAGAGAGAGAGTGAGCACTTGTAGAGAGAGAGCGAGCGCTCGTAGAGAGAGAGCGAGCGCTTGTAGAGAGAGAACGAGCACTTGTAGTGAAAGAGAGCGAGCACTTGTAGAGAGAGAGAGCGAGCACTGGGGGAGGAGGCACAAGAAGGAAGCCCCGCTCGGGTGGGAAAGTCAGCGGGCCAAGGTGTTAGGCCCGGCACTACCAACATTCGTCCAAGATCGGCGGGTCCTCTGCGTGTGTACTGTATGCACGTGTTGAGATGTTTTTTGGCCACTTTAATGAGCGTTCACGCTGTGGGAGGCAAGCGGAGCAGCCGGAGGAACTTGGCAACGTTTGCGCGGTCCACCGACCAGACCAGCCGCCTCCTCGCGGCGCGCTCCGGATCAGAAAGCGCGCGGCAGCCACCGCCGCACGGCCGCCCCGCGCTGTCGTCGCGGTCAACATTTTTTTAACGACTTTGTAAAACGACTCGAGAAAGTAGTATTATTATTCTAAACAGGTCCCTGCAGGGTGGGCTGGTAGGACAAGTCTCTCTGCGCTGTCTATTGCTGATTTCACACCCCCAACGGCACGAGATTTCACTTCGTTAAAGTATTGAAAGGGGACGGACGGACGTACGGACGGACGGACACATTAATCTATTGCAGGCTGGTACACTCGGTTCACAACTTCGTTCCTACCAGTATTAGAGCTCTACCTGCCTTCGCAAACCAAGTGGGGGGAAAACGACGAACTCGCGATGAATTGTCTTGCCTGTGTCGTTGTGTTCCACCCGCCACCCGCCGCCGCCCAGGGTCACTGCTACTACGTGGTGGTGAAGACGTTCGTGGAGAAGCTGGCCGAGGTGAGCGACCACGCCGTCCTCGCCGTGCTCACCGCGCTCTGCCAGTTGTACGCGCTCTACGGCGTCACCCAGCATGGACGCGACTTCCTGGAGGTGCGTGGTGGTGGTGGTGGTGGTGCTCGTGGTTGTGTGGTGGTGGTGCGTGGTGCTCGTGGTTGTGTGTGGTGGTGGTGTGCGGTGGTGGTGGTGGTGGTTGTGTGTGGTGGTGGTGGTGCTCGTGGTTGTGTGTGGTGGTGGTGGTGCTCGTGGTTGTGTGTGGTGGTGGTGCTCGTGGTTGTGTGTGGTGGTGTGGGTGCGTGGTGGTGGTGGTGGAGGTGGTGGAGGTGCGTGGTAGTGAAGGTGGAGATGTGCGGTGGTGGTGGTGGTGGATGGAGGTGTGTGGTGGTGGAGGTGCGTGGTGGTGGTGGAGATGCGTGGAGGTGGTGGAGGTGCGTGGTGGTGGTGGTGGATGGAGGTGGTGGTGGTTGTGGGGAGCGGTAGTGTAGGAATGAATGAATGTCCCGGGCCTTCCCTAAGTAGACTCAGCCTCAAGTGAGTACCTGGTGTGATATGTAAACAATCGCCACTGGGGAGACACAGGAGTCCGGGCGTGGTGCTGGACACCCACCCCCTCGTGTGCCGTGCCAGCCTTCGTAGGTGCTGCTACTCGCTAACAGCACTTGCCCCTACAGTCTGTTACAGGTTATACGGGGGGATCTTTGTCTTTGGTGGAGGAGGGGGGGGGGAGTTACGTGTGGGAGAGGGATTTGCGTTTGTAGCTGTTGCTATCCGCGTTGGTTCTCTCTCGCACGCCCGCGTGCTTCTGTTTAATGCGTCGTAGTCACAGGAATATTTCGCGACCAACAGCTTCCAAATTGGTGGTGGCCTGGGGGGACCTTCACCCAGCAGTTGATAGATCATGGCTGATGATGATGATGAAAGTCTCTGAGCCACAGCAACTCTTCCAATAACAGCCTCATCCTCACTGGCCTCTCCCCTCCACTGGACCCCTCTCTCTACTTAAACCAAAATTGAACTTTAAATTTTTTATTTAACCGGCTACAAGCCCGCTCGGCTATATAATAGCTCTTTTTCAGAAGCGAGCTGGCCACAAGTGATAGCTCAACGAAGTGGCTTATCATTTGTGTGGAAATTTATGACGGCAAAATGATAAAAAAAGGAACGCAGAGAGAAAAAAACGGAGAGGACCCGGAGAGATATCCACGCGACCACGGGGGGAGAGAGAGAGACACGCAAACTCAAAATATACAGCAGCAGCAGCAGGCCTCACGGTCGTGATCGACCCCACGACCTCCTGTATACCAGGCGAGGTAGTTAACATCTCCTAGCCACCGTGATGATGATGATGATGAGAGATAGAGACACGCAAACTCCAAATATACAGCAGCAGCAGCAGGCCTCACGGTCGTGATCGACCCCACGACCTCCTGTATACCAGGCGAGGTAGTTAACATCTCCTAGCCACCGTGATGATGATGAGAGAGAGAGAGAGACACGCAAACTCCAAATATACAGCAGCAGCAGGCCTCACGGTTGTGATCGACCCCACGACCTCCTGTGTTACCAGGGGAGGTAGTTAACATCTCCTAGCCACCGTGATGATGATGATGAGATAGAGAGACACGCAAACTCCAAATATACAGCAGCAGCAGCAGGCCTCACGGTCGTGATCGACCCCACGACCTCCTGTATACCAGGCGAGGTAGTTAACATCTCCTAGCCACCGTGACGATGATGAGAGAGAGAGAGAGAGACACGCAAACTCCAATAAATATACAGCAGCAGGCGTCAGGGGTCGGAATCGGAAACCCACGACTCCCTGCGCACCAGGCGAGGCAGTCGACAGGCGACACGTGACCAACCTCTCCCCTGCCTCCCCTCCCGCAGGCGGGGCTGCTGACGCCGCAGCAGATGGAGGGAGCGAGCCGCGCCGTCAAGGCGCTGCTGTCGAGGCTGCGCCCCGACGCCGTGGCGCTGGTGGACGCGTTCGACTTCCACGACGACATCCTGGGCTCCGTGCTCGGACGCTACGATGGCAACGTGTACGAGCACCTGTTTGAGTGGGCCAAGCGCTCCCCGCTCAACAAGACGCAGGCAAGTGGCGCGTGCGGGCGTGCGCGGGGGCGAGGGCAGTGGCCCGCGAGATCGGAGCCAACAGAAGTGATACGAGACGAGTCCGTAATACGCTTAATTTTATTAAGCGTGAATGTATGAAGCGCGAACTGGTCACAAATCTGGCTGGCGCCTGATGAAGCTGGTTGTAATTACCGGGGAAACGTCACGGTACTCGGATTGTAAATGTTGTGGCTTTGCTCTCCAACACACCGGTGTGCTGTACTAGTTTACTACACTATACACTACACTATATACTATACTACACTACACACTACACTATATACTAGACTATACACTAGTGCTGTACTAGTATACTACACTATACACTACACTATATACTACACTATACAATAGTGTTGTACTAGTATACTACACTGTACACTACACTATACACTACACTATACACTAGTGTTGTACTAGTATACTACACTATACACTAGTGCTGTATTAGTATAATACACTATACACTACACTATACACTAGTGTTGTACTAGTATACTACGCTGTACACTACACTATACACTACACTATACACTAGTGTTGTACTAGTATACTACACTATACACTACACTATACACTACACTATACACTACACTATACACTACACTATACACTAGTGCTGTATTAGTATAATACACTATACACTACACTATACACTACACTATACATTAGTGTTGTACTAGTATACTACACTGTACACTACACTATACACTAGTTTGTACTAGTATACTACACTATACACTACACTATACACTATACTATACACTAGTGCTGTATTAGTATAATACACTATACACTACACTATACACTACACTATACACTAGTGTTGTACTAGTATACTACACTGTACACTACACTATACACTACACTATACACTAGTGTTGTACTAGTATACTACACTGTACACTACACTATACACTACACTATACACTAGTGCTGTACTAGTATACTACACTATACACTGCACTATACACTAGTGCTGTACTAGTATACACTACACTATACACTACACTATACACTACACTATACACTAGTGCTGTACTAGTGACGAATTGGTCACGTTCTGTTTACGTGACAAACCCTTACTAGTTGGCTGTGTCGGGGTGGTGGCGGGTTTAGACGCATTTATATTTACGCGATCTTAACCCAAAGAAACCTGTATCATGATTTAACAAGCAGTAGGTGAAAGCCTACTGCTTGTTAAACTAAAATTACATGGGGGTTGTGTTTTTTTTCTAAATGAAGGGTAACAATAGTGTCACCGGTGCCACGCGCCATTGATCAATCTATAATTTCCGTTACCATGTGTGCTGAAATTCAAAACGGCATTCGTTTGGATTATCCGGCGGTTGCAAATCCGTCCCAGCCGCGTGATCCTCCGACACCTCCATCCACTACCCACCCCCCGCTCCGCCCTGCTGGCTTCACATCATCGTCATCAAGGTCACAATTGCATCCTCCCCTTTCGGTCGTCCACCGTTTGTATCTCTCTCTTCACCCCAGGCTCCCTGCACTACGGCACTACGGCTCACGCTAGAACTCTCCTCCACAGTAGGAGCAGCGCGACTCTCCTCCGACCTCTGCCCTCCTCCTCCTTCCTCCTTCCTCCTCCTCCTCCTCCTCCCTTCACCAAGGAGCCAGGGGCGTCACTGCCGGGCATTGTGTCTCCGTGGCAGTCCCAGCCATCTGGAACGCAGCCACGACCATCATCACCATCATCGTCATCATCGTCGTCGTCGTCATGATCCCCACTGCGGCACATTGGCAGCAGCGGCGGCGGCGGCGGCGTTCAATCCACACCGACTTTTAAAAAGAAACGCTTCAAGGCCCTCCACTTCTTTCTTAAGCCCCGCCCCCCACCTCTTTCTTAAGCCCCCCCTCCCCACTTAACGCCTCCACCTCTTTTTCCCGGCTTGTGAGCGGTGACACTGAGCATGGGGCCCATGGCTCGGGAGGAGCGAACGCTCGTACGCGTGTCCGTGAATTAACGATTGTGCGCGTTACCATTTGCGTTTGCCGCTAAGGGGGACGCCAAAACGGCGGCGGTGACTTTTAACCCGCGGGCCGCCCGTTGCGTTTCACTGCAGGTCCACGAGTCGTTCTACAAGTACATCAAACCCATGGCCTCGTCCAAGCTGTGACGGGGCTGCCCCGGCGACCTGCGCGAGTGGCGACGTGTTCGAGCTCCGTCCCCTTCCCGGTCTCCAGCTGCCGCCGGCGGACACGTGCCCGTGCAGTGGCGACCGGGAGGCTCCGGACCGCGCCAACCCCCGACCCGCTCTCGAGCCAAACGTCGGCGCTCGTCGACCCGCGAGCAACGACGGAAACGCGTTCGACCACGTCGCTTCACCGAGCTCCCCCCCCCCCCCCGCCGCCCCCCCCCCCCCCGGACACACCAAAAAAACGCGCGCAACCGCGACGCTGGCAGACGACCGCGACGCACGCAGCCCGCGGCGAGCCCCCCACAGTCGCGGGGGGCTCGCCGTCCTGGCCCACGGCGCTCGTGGCACAAGGGTGGCATCCGCGGAGACCCAACCGCGTGGCGCTTAGAACGGCAACGCGCCACAACCCTCCGCCGCAGCTCCTCGCCGCGACCACGATTACCCACCCAGCACCCGACCGCCCCAACTGGGCACCTGCGAAAAAGGGGAGTTTTTTTTCTGCAGCTCGTCGGATTCCTCCAGTACATCAATAGATATTCCCATCCTGACGTTGACCGTCACCCACGACGCTCGGCCACGACCGCACGCCGCACCAAACGCCCGCCGCACCGTCCGTACGCAACATCATTCAGGAGAGCCGTCCGCAACCACGGGGTCCATCACACAACAGCCCGTGCGTGTCGCCCCCCTCCCCCCCCCCCCCCCCCCCCCCCCCCTTTGAAAAGGGCCGCGCAGGGAAAATCCCGCCCGCCCGCCCGCCCTCTAATCCTGCAAATCGAGCCGGTGATTTCTCTAGTTTTTTCTATTATCAAAGTGACACTTTAGAAAAATTCGTTTTTAGAAGACGCAGATGACGGCACTCGGCCGGTGCCTGGGTCTTGCCCTGCGTGGCACGGACCCACTCTGCCGCCCCCCCCAACCCCCCCCCCCCACCGCCGCTGCTGCTATTTTTGTGAAATCATAATCTCCCGATCTCCCACCTATCTCCGATCTGCGGTGATGATTGCATCCCCTTCCCCCCCCCCTCCCCGTCTCCGGAGCCGCGAGTCGCCCTTCCCTCTCTGCCGGAGCGGTGAGCATACTTGTACGGCAGCACTAAAGCGGTCGTGATGTAATTATTAACATTGCCTCTCCGACGAGTACTGTAGGGTACTAAAATCACGTTTGCAGAATAAATATACTTTAAATGGGTTGTGTTGCCGCTGTTGTTGTTTTTTTTTGATTGGACATTCAAGTGGACACCCCCAGTGGATATTTCGTTCGCGTGGGTCTCCGTTGCAAGCCGGTTTCGCGCGCTAAACCGCGTGCAGATGGAACGGGTGGAGATTAGTCCGCATTTGCTGTTTACCGCCTCTTCGTGGCGGGCCAGGGTAAAGGGGCACCTCTTCACCGCCCACGGGGAAGATGGAGCAGATTGAGATTAGTCCACACTCTTTGCCACGTAGCCTTTTCCTGGCGAGTCGGGGTGTGTGGGCTCCTCCTTGACGCCCACCCATGGGCAAGGGAGATGGAACGGATGGGGATTAGTCCACACTCTTTGCTTTACCGCCTTCTGGAGAGCCGGGGTATTGCATCACTTTGACGCCGACCCCCCCCTGGGGGGGGGGGGAGATGGAACGGATGGGGATTAGTCCACACTCGTTGCTGTACCAGCTTCCTCTAACGACGACCACCCACGGGCAAGGGAGATGGAACGGATGGGGATTAGTCCACGCTGCTGTACGGGGCCGACCACAAATGACGTCACGCACCTACGGGGGTGGGGGGGGGGGGTCAGACATTTGTGACGATGTGTGACGACGACGGGGGGGAGGGGGGTGTTGAGAAATGTGACGTCACATCAAAATGCGCAACTTTAAATAAATACAGACAACACGTTTTACTTAATTAAATAGACTTTTTAATCAATGTTTTCTCCTACAACATCAGAGTGCAGCGCCACATTAAATACGCACTACAATGACAACAATAGTTTAAAGCGATTTAAAGCATTTTGGGGGGGGGGGGGCAGAGGTTTGTGACGTCATTTGATGGGGGGGGGTCTGACTTTTTGTGACGCCGTGTGACGGGGGGGGGTAAAGAATGGTCCAAAATCGCGTGACGTCATTTATGGCCGGCCCCCTACCGCCTTCTGGCGATCCACGCGAAGAAGGGGGGATCTATGAGATCTGTGCGGTGATCCAACAACCCTTGCTGCTGGACGATCACAGGCAGCAGAGTAGACACCACAAATGTTTTGTGACTGAGATTTAGTTTCTCTTCTTGCAACATCTAATATATGTAATGCTGGACATCATTTTAACGTGGTGGGGGGGGGAAGGGGGGAGAGGGAGGGGAGAGGCAGAGGGGGGGGAGATGGAGTGGGGAGGCGGGGTGAGAGGGAGGGGAAGAGCGGGGGAAAGAGGGAGGGGTGAGAGAGGGAGGGGGGTGAGAGGGGGGGGGGGGGTGAGAGAGGGAGGGGAGATGAGGGAGGGGGGGTCGGGGAGGGAAGGGGGGGTGAGAGGGAGGGGGGGTGAGAGGGAGGGGGGGTGAGAGGGAGGGGGGGTGAGAGGGAGGGGGGGTGAGAGGGAGGGGGGGGTGAGAGAGGGGGGTGAGAGAGGGGGGGTGAGAGAGGGAGGGGGGTGAGAGAGGGAGGGGGATGAGGGAAGGGGGGTCAGAGAGGGAGGGGGTGAGAGGGAGGGGGATGAGAGAGGGGGGTGAGAGGGGGGGTGAGAGAGGGAGGGGGGTGAGAGGGAGGGGGGTCAGAGAGGGGGGGTGAGGGAAGGGGGAGTCAGAGAGGGAGGGGGGGGTCAGGGAGGGAGGGGGGGTCAGGGAGGGAGGGGGGGGTCAGGGAGGGAGGGGGGGTCAGAGAGGGAGGGGGGGGTCAGAGAGGGAGGGGGGGGGTCAGAGAGGGAGGGGGGGGTCAGAGAGGGAGGGGGGGGTCAGAGAGGGAGGAGTTTTGTGAGAGGGCGGGGTTAGGAGAGGTCACGGTTTCGCTGCCGGGTCACGCGGCCTTGCCCCACAGGCTCCGCCGCTCTGCACCGGCATCGTTGTCGAGACCTCGGCATCCCTCCGCGCGGGTCCCCGCCTCCTCCTCCTCCTCATTATTCCGCACAACTCGCGCGTGCGTCTCTCTTCGCTCTTCTCCGTCGTCGTTAAAACATTCCTCCTGTGGCGGCGGCGGGAGTGAGGGCGGTCTCTGTCCGCCTTCGCACGCCCTCCCCGTCTGGATTCGCTCCCCAGTCCCCCGCGTGTTGTCGCAGGGTTTTTTTTAGGCAAGCCGCAGGCTTCCCTCGGTTCAATTTCCACAAGTAGGCCCCACCCTCCCCCCTCATCCTCTCCCGCGTCGGAGACTGTTGATCCGTTTTTAAACACAATAATAATAATCATAACGAATTTGACCATCGACAAGTCGTCGCCCGGTCCACTCGTCTCTCTCGCAGGTCAGGTGAGCCTCCTCCTCGTCCGCCCTCGTTCTGTGCCCTCTGCTCGGCTTTATCCCATCCACTCACCCGACGATGTAGTGGGGGGTGGTGGTGAGAGTGGTTGGCGTGGTGGTGATGGTGAGAGTGGTTGGCGTGGTGGTGGTGGTGGTGAGAGTGGTTGGCGTGGTGGTGAGAGTGGTTGGCGTGGTGGTGGTGAGACTGATTGGCGTGGTGGTGGTGGTGGTTGGCGTGGTGGTGGTGGTGAGAGTGGTTGACGTGGTGGTGGTGGTGATGAGAGTGGTTGACGTGGTGGTGGTGAGAGTGGTTGACGTGGTGGTGGTGGTGAGAGTGATTGGCGTGGTGGTGGTGGTGAGAGTGGTTGGCGTGGTGGTGGTGAGAGTGGTTGGCGTGGTGGTGAGAGTGGTTGGCGTGGTGGTGGTGGTGGTGGTGAGAGTGGTTGGCGTGGTGGTGGTGAGAGTGGTTGGCGTGGTGGTGGTGAGAGTGGTTGGCGTGGTAGTGGTGGAGTGGTTGGCGCGGTGGTGGTGGTGAGTGGTTGGCGCGGTGGTGGTGGTGGTGAGAGTGGTTGGCGTGGTGGTGGTGGGAGTGGTTGGCGTGGTGGTGGTGGTGGTGAGAGTGGTTGGCGTGGTGGTGGTGAGAGTGGTTGGCGTGGTGGTGGTGAGAGTGGTTGGCGTGGTGGTGGTGAGAGTGGTGGTGGTGGTGAGAGTGGTTGGCGTGGTGGTGGTGAGAGTGGTTGGCGTGGTGGTGGTGAGAGTGGTTGGCGTGGTGGTGAGAGTGGTTGTGGTGGTGGTGGTGAGAGTGGTTGGCGTGGTGGTGAGAGTGGTGAGAGTGGTTGGCGTGGTGGTGAGAGTGGTGAGAGTGGTTGGCGTGGTGGTGGTGGTGAGAGTGGTTGGTGTGGTGGTGGTGAGAGTGGTTGGCGTGGTGGTGAGAGTGGTTGGCGTGGTGGTGGTGAGACTGATTGGCGTGGTGGTGGTGGTGGTTGGCGTGGTGGTGGTGGTGAGAGTGGTTGACGTGGTGGTGGTGGTGATGAGAGTGGTTGACGTGGTGGTGGTGAGAGTGGTTGACGTGGTGGTGGTGGTGAGAGTGATTGGCGTGGTGGTGGTGGTGGTGAGAGTGGTTGGCGTGGTGGTGGTGAGTGGTGAGAGTGGTTGGCGTGGTGGTGAGAGTGGTTGGCGTGGTGGTGGTGGTGGTGAGAGTGGTTGGCGTGGTGGTGGTGAGAGTGGTTGGCGTGGTGGTGGTGGTGGTGAGAGTGGTTGGCGTGGTAGTGGTGGAGTGGTTGGCGCGGTGGTGGTGGTGAGTGGTTGGCGCGGTGGTGGTGGTGGTGAGAGTGGTTGGCGTGGTGGTGGTGGGAATGGTTGGCGTGGTGGTGGTGGTGGTGAGAGTGGTTGGCGTGGTGGTGAGAGTGGTTGGCGTGGTGGTGGTGAGAGTGGTTGGCGTGGTGGTGGTGAGAGTGGTGGTGGTGGTGAGAGTGGTTGGCGTGGTGGTGGTGAGAGTGGTTGGCGTGGTGGTGGTGAGAGTGGTTGGCGTGGTGGTGAGAGTGGTTGTGGTGGTGGTGGTGAGAGTGGTTGGCGTGGTGGTGAGAGTGGTGAGAGTGGTTGGCGTGGTGGTGAGAGTGGTGAGAGTGGTTGGCGTGGTGGTGGTGGTGAGAGTGGTTGGTGTGGTGGTGGTGAGAGTGGTTGGCGTGGTGGCGGTGAGAGTGGTGGTGGTGAGAGTGGTTGGCGTGGTGGTGGTGAGAGTGGTTGTGGTGGTGGTGAGAGTGGTTGGCGTGGTGGTGGTGGTGGTGGTGAGAGTGGTTGGCGTGGTGGTGAGAGTGGTTGGCGTGGTGGTGGTGAGAGTGGTTGGCGTGGTGGTGGTGGTGGTGAGAGTGGTTGGCGTGGTGGTGATGGTGAGAGTGGTTGGCGTGGTGGTGGTGAGAGTGGTTGACGTGGTGGTGGCGGTGGTGGTGAGAGTGGTTGGCGTGGTGGTGTGAGAGTGGTTGGCGTGGTGGTGGTGGTGGTGAGAGTGGTTGGCGTGGTGGTGGAGTGGTTGGCGTGGTGGTGGTGAGAGTGGTTGGCGTGGTTGTGAGTGGTTGGCGCGGTGGTGGTGGTGAGAGTGGTTGGCGTGGTGGTGGGAATGGTTGGCGTGGTGGTGGTGGTGAGAGTGGTTGGCGTGGTGGTGAGAGTGGTGAGAGTGGTTGGCGTGGTGGTGATGGTGGTGGTGAGAGTGGTTGGCGTGGTGGTGGTGAGAGTGGTTGGCGTGGTGGTGGTGAGAGTGGTTGGCGTGGTGGTGATGAGAGTGGTTGGCGTGGTGGTGAGAGTGGTTGGCGTGGTGGTGGTGGTGGTGAGAGTGGTTGGCGTGGTGGTGGTGGTGAGAGTGGTTGACGTGGTGGTGGCGGTGGTGGTGAGAGTGGTTGGCGTGGTGGTGTGAGAGTGGTTGGCGTGGTGGTGGTGGTGAGAGTGGTTGGCGTGGTGGTGAGAGTGGTGAGAGTGGTTGGCGTGGTGGTGGTGGTGGTGGTGAGAGTGGTTGGCGTGGTGGTGGTGAGAGTGGTTGGCGTGGTGGTGATGGTGGTGGTGAGAGTGGTTGGCGTGGTGGTGGTGGAGTGGTTGGCGTGGTGGTGGTGAGAGTGGTTGGCGTGGTTGTGAGTGGTTGGCGCGGTGGTGGTGGTGGTGGGAATGGTTGGCGTGGTGGTGAGAGTGGTTGGCGTGGTGGTGGTGGTGAGAGTGGTTGACGTGGTGGTGGCGGTGGTGGTGAGAGTGGTTGGCGTGGTGGTGTGAGAGTGGTTGGCGTGGTGGTGGTGGTGGTGGTGAGAGTGGTTGGCGTGGTGGTGGTGGTGGAGTGGTTGGCGTGGTGGTGGTGAGAGTGGTTGGCGTGGTTGTGAGTGGTTGGCGCGGTGGTGGTGGTGAGAGTGGTTGGCGTGGTGGTGGGAATGGTTGGCGTGGTGGTGGTGGTGGTGGTGAGAGTGGTTGGCGTGGTGGTGAGAGTGGTGAGAGTGGTTGGCGTGGTGGTGATGGTGGTGGTGAGAGTGGTTGGCGTGGTGGTGGTGAGAGTGGTTGGCGTGGTGGTGGTGAGAGTGGTTGGCGTGGTGGTGATGAGAGTGGTTGGCGTGGTGGTGAGAGTGGTTGGCGTGGTGGTGGTGGTGAGAGTGGTTGGCGTGGTGGTGGTGGTGAGAGTGGTTGGCGTGGTGGTGGTGATGGTGAGAGTGGTTGGCGTGGTGGTGGTGGTGAGAGTGGTTGACGTGGTGGTGGCGGTGGTGGTGAGAGTGGTTGGCGTGGTGGTGTGAGAGTGGTTGGCGTGGTGGTGGTGGTGAGAGTGGTTGGCGTGGTGGTGAGAGTGGTGAGAGTGGTTGGCGTGGTGGTGGTGGTGAGAGTGGTTGGCGTGGTGGTGGTGAGAGTGGTTGGCGTGGTGGTGATGGTGGTGGTGAGAGTGGTTGGCGTGGTGGTGGTGGAGTGGTTGGCGTGGTGGTGGTGAGAGTGGTTGGCGTGGTTGTGAGTGGTTGGCGCGGTGGTGGTGGTGGTGGGAATGGTTGGCGTGGTGGTGAGAGTGGTTGGCGTGGTGGTGGTGGTGAGAGTGGTTGGCGTGGTGGTGAGAGTGGTTGGCGTGGTGGTGATGGTGGTGGTGAGAGTGGTTGGCGTGGTGGTGGTGGTGGAGTGGTTGGCGTGGTGGTGGTGAGAGTGGTTGGCGTGGTTGTGAGTGGTTGGCGCGGTGGTGGTGGTGAGAGTGGTTGGCGTGGTGGTGGTGGTGGTGGGAATGGTTGGCGTGGTGGTGAGAGTGGTGAGAGTGGTTGGCGTGGTGGTGGTGGTGAGAGTGGTTGGCGTGGTGGTGGTGAGAGTGGTTGGCGTGGTGGTGAGAGTGGTGAGAGTGGTTGGCGTGGTGGTGGTGTTGGTGGTGAGAGTGGTTGGTGTGGTGGTGGTGAGAGTGGTTGGCGTGGTGGTGATGGTGGTGGTGAGAGTGGTTGGCGTGGTGGTGGTGAGAGTGGTTGGCGTGGTGGTGGTGGTGGTGAGAGTGGTTGACGTGGTGGTGGCGGTGGTGGTGAGAGTGGTTGGCGTGGTGGTGTGAGAGTGGTTGGCGTGGTGGTGGTGGTGGTGGTGAGAGTGGTTGGCGTGGTGGTGGTGGTGGAGTGGTTGGCGTGGTGGTGGTGAGAGTGGTTGGCGTGGTTGTGAGTGGTTGGCGCGGTGGTGGTGGTGAGAGTGGTTGGCGTGGTGGTGGGAATGGTTGGCGTGGTGGTGGTGGTGGTGGTGAGAGTGGTTGGCGTGGTGGTGAGAGTGGTGAGAGTGGTTGGCGTGGTGGTGCTGGTGGTGGTGAGAGTGGTTGGCGTGGTGGTGGTGAGAGTGGTTGGCGTGGTGGTGGTGAGAGTGGTTGGCGTGGTGGTGATGTGAGTGGTTGGCGTGGTGGTGAGAGTGGTTGGCGTGGTGGTGGTGGTGAGAGTGGTTGGCGTGGTGGTGGTGGTGAGAGTGGTTGGCGTGGTGGTGGTGATGGTGAGAGTGGTTGGCGTGGTGGTGGTGGTGAGAGTGGTTGACGTGGTGGTGGCGGTGGTGGTGAGAGTGGTTGGCGTGGTGGTGTGAGAGTGGTTGGCGTGGTGGTGGTGGTGAGAGTGGTTGGCGTGGTGGTGAGAGTGGTGAGAGTGGTTGGCGTGGTGGTGGTGGTGAGAGTGGTTGGCGTGGTGGTGGTGAGAGTGGTTGGCGTGGTGGTGATGGTGGTGGTGAGAGTGGTTGGCGTGGTGGTGGTGGAGTGGTTGGCGTGGTGGTGGTGAGAGTGGTTGGCGTGGTTGTGAGTGGTTGGCGCGGTGGTGGTGGTGGTGGGAATGGTTGGCGTGGTGGTGAGAGTGGTTGGCGTGGTGGTGGTGGTGAGAGTGGTTGGCGTGGTGGTGAGAGTGGTTGGCGTGGTGGTGATGGTGGTGGTGAGAGTGGTTGGCGTGGTGGTGGTGGTGGAGTGGTTGGCGTGGTGGTGGTGAGAGTGGTTGGCGTGGTTGTGAGTGGTTGGCGCGGTGGTGGTGGTGAGAGTGGTTGGCGTGGTGGTGGTGGTGGTGGGAATGGTTGGCGTGGTGGTGAGAGTGGTGAGAGTGGTTGGCGTGGTGGTGGTGGTGAGAGTGGTTGGCGTGGTGGTGGTGAGAGTGGTTGGCGTGGTGGTGAGAGTGGTGAGAGTGGTTGGCGTGGTGGTGGTGGTGGTGGTGAGAGTGGTTGGTGTGGTGGTGGTGAGAGTGGTTGGCGTGGTGGTGATGGTGGTGGTGAGAGTGGTTGGCGTGGTGGTGGTGAGAGTGGTTGGCGTGGTGTTGGTGGTGGTGAGAGTGGTTGGCGTGGTGGTGGTGAGAGTGGTTGTGGTGGTGGTTGGCGTGGTGGTGGTGGTGAGAGTGGTTGGCGTGGTGGTGGTGGTGGTGGTGGTGGTGGTGAGAGTGGTTGGCGTGGTGGTGGTGAGAGTGGTTGGCGTGGTGGTGGTGAGAGTGGTTGGCGTGGTGGTGAGAGTGGTGGTGGTGGTGGTGAGAGTGGTTGGCGTGGTGGTGGTGAGAGTGGTTGGCGTGGTGGTGAGAGTGGTGGTGGTGGTGAGAGTGGTTGGCGTGGTGGTGGTGGTGAGAGTGGTTGGCGTGGTGGTGGTGGTGGTGGTGGTGGTGAGAGTGGTTGGCGTGGTGGTGGTGGTGAGAGTGGTTGGCGTGGTGTTGAGAGTGGTGAGAGTGGTTGGCGTGGTGGTGGTGGTGGTGAGAGTGGTTGGCGTGGTGGTGATGGTGGTGGTGAGAGTGGTTGGCGTGGTGGTGGTGAGAGTGGTTGGCGTGGTGGTGGTGGTGGTGAGAGTGATTGTGGTGGTGGTTGGCGTGGTGGTGGTGGTGAGAGTGGTTGGCGTGGTGGTGGTGGTGGTGAGAGTGGTTGGCGTGGTGGTGGTGGTGAGAGTGGTTGGCGTGGTGGTGAGAGTGGTGGTGGTGGTGAGAGTGGTTGGCGTGGTGGTGGTGGTGAGAGTGGTTGGCGTGGTGGTGAGAGTGGTGGTGGTGAGAGTGGTTGGCGTGGTGGTGGTGGTGAGAGTGGTTGGCGTGGTGGTGGTGGTGGTGAGAGTGGTTGGCGTGGTGGTGAGAGTGGTGAGAGTGGTTGGCGTGGTGGTGAGAGTGGTTGGCGTGGTGGTGGTGAGAGTGGTTGGCGTGGTGGTGAGAGTGGTGGTGGTGGTGAGAGTGGTTGGCGTGGTGGTGGTGGTGAGAGTGGTGAGAGTGGTTGGCGTGGTGGTGGTGGTGGTGGTGGTGAGAGTGGTTGGCTACCAACGTTGTTGTGGGAGGCCCTCATCCAGCAGTTGATTGACAAACGGGTGCCCCCCCCTCCCCCGTGTGTTGCCAGGGGTCGGCCACCTGCTGAGCCGCCCGCGTGGCTCTTGAACGACTGCGGAGTCGCGGCTCTCTGAGGTACTGAGGGAGTCGCTTCTCAGAATGTGGGTTGCCTGACCGTGCGAGTCCAGTTTACCGTGGGAGTCCAGTTTACCGTGGGAGTCCAGTTTACCGTGGGAGTCCAGTTTACCGTGGGAGTCCAGTTTACCGTGGGAGTCCAGTTTACCGTGGGAGTCCAGTTTACCGTGGGAGTCCAGTGTACCATGTGAGTCCAGTGTACCGTAGGAGTCCAGTTTACCATGGGAGCCCAGTTTACCATGGGAGTCCAGTTTACCATGGGAGTCCAGTGTACCATGTGAGTCCAGTGTACCGTAGGAGTCCAGTTTACCATGGGAGTCCAGTTTACCATGGGAGTCCAGTGTACCATGTGAGTCCAGTTTACCGTGGGAGTCCAGTTTACCATGGGAGTCCAGTTTACCGTGGGAGTCCAGTTTACCGTGGGAGCCCAGTTTACCATGGGAGTCCAGTGTACCATGTGAGTCCAGTTTACCGTGGGAGTCCAGTTTACCATGTGAGTCCAGTGTACCGTAGGAGTCCAGTTTACCGTGGGAGTCCAGTTTACCATGGGAGTCCAGTTTACCATGGGAGTCCAGTGTACCATGTGAGTCCAGTGTACCGTAGGAGTCCAGTTTACCATGGGAGTCCAGTTTACCGTGGGAGTCCAGTGTACCATGTGAGTCCAGTGTACCGTAGGAGTCCAGTTTACCATGGGAGTCCAGTTTACCATGGGAGTCCAGTGTACCATGTGAGTCCAGTGTACCGTAGGAGTCCAGTGTACCATGTGAGTCCAGTGTACCGTAGGAGTCCAGTTTACCATGAGAGTCCAGTTTACCATGGGAGTCCAGTGTACCATGTGAGTCCAGTTTACCGTGGGAGTCCAGTTTACCATGGGAGTCCAGTTTACCGTGGGAGTCCAGTTTACCGTGGGAGCCCAGTTTACCATGGGAGTCCAGTGTACCATGTGAGTCCAGTTTACCGTGGGAGTCCAGTTTACCATGGGAGTCCAGTTTACCATGGGAGTCCAGTTTACCGTGGGAGTCCAGTTTACCGTGGGAGCCCAGTTTACCATGGGAGCCCAGTGTACCATGTGAGTCCAGTTTACCATGGGAGTCCAGTTTACCATGGAGCTCCAGTTTACCACGGGAGTCCAGTTTACCATGGGAGTCAAGTTTACCATGGAGCTCCAGTTTATCACGGGAGTCCAGTTTACCATGGGAGTCCAGTGTACCATGGGAGTCCAGTGTACCATGTGAGTCCAGTTTACCGTGGGAGTCCAGTGTACCATGTGAGCCCAGTTTACCATGGAAGTCCAGTTTACCATGGGAGTCAAGTTTACCATGGAGCTCCAGTTTATCACCGGAGTCCAGTTTACCATGGAGCTCCAGTTTATCATGGGAGTCCAGTTTACCATGGAGCTCCAGTTTATCACGGGAGTCCAGTTTACCATGGAAGCCCAGTTTACCGTGGGAGTCCAGTTTACCGTGGGAGTCCAGTTTACCGTGGGAGTCCAGTTTACCATGAGAGTCCAGTTTACCATGGGAGTCCAGTGTACCATGTGAGTCCAGTTTACCATGGGAGTCCAGTTTACCATGGAGCTCCAGTTTACCACGGGAGTCCAGTTTACCATGGGAGTCAAGTTTACCATGGAGCTCCAGTTTATCACGGGAGTCCAGTTTACCATGGGAGTCAAGTTTACCATGGAGCTCCAGTTTACCACGGGAGTCCAGTTTACCATGGGAGTCAAGTTTACCATGGAGCTCCAGTTTATCACGGGAGTCCAGTTTACCATGGGAGTCCAGTGTACCATGGGAGTCCAGTGTACCATGTGAGTCCAGTTTACCGTGGGAGTCCAGTGTACCATGTGAGCCCAGTTTACCATGGAAGTCCAGTTTACCATGGGAGTCAAGTTTACCATGGAGCTCCAGTTTATCACCGGAGTCCAGTTTACCATGGAGCTCCAGTTTATCATGGAAGTCCAGTTTACCATGGAGCTCCAGTTTATCACCGGAGTCCAGTTTACCATGGAGCTCCAGTTTATCACGGGAGTCCAGTTTACCATGGAAGCCCAGTTTACCGTGGGAGTCCAGTTTACCGTGGGAGTCCAGTTTACCGTGGGAGCCCAGTTTACCGTGGGAGTCCAGTTTACCGTGGGAGTCCAGTTTACCGTGGGAGTCCAGTTCACCGTGGGATTCCAGTTTACCGTGGGAGCCCAGTTTACCATGGGAGTCCAGTTTACCATGGGAGTCCAGTTTACCCTGGAAGACCAGTTTACCATGGGAGACCAGTTTACCGTGGGAGTCCAGTTTACCGTGGAAGTCCAGTTTACCATGGGAGTCCAGTTTGCCATGGAAGACCAGTTTACCGTGTGAGCCCAGTTTACCATGGAAGTCCAGTTCACCATGGGAGCCTAGTTCACCATGGGAGTCCAGTTTACCATGGAAGACCAGTTTACCATGGGAGTCCAGTTTACCGTGGGAGTCCAGTTTACCGTGGAAGTCCAGTTTACCATGGAAGACCAGTTCACCATGGAAATCCAGTTTACCATGGGAGTCCAGTTCACCATGGAAGTCCAGTTCACCGTGGGAGTCCAGTTCACCGTGGGAGTCCAGTTCACCATGGGAAGTCCAGTTTACCATGGAAGACCAGTTCACCATGGGAGTCCAGTTCACCGTGGGAGTCCAGTTTACCATGGAAGACCAGTTCACCATGGGAGTCCAGTTCACCGTGGGAGTCCAGTTTACCATGGAAGACCAATTCACCATGGGAGTCCAGTTCACCATGGGAGTCCAGTTCACCATGGGAGACCAGTTCACCGAGGGAGTCCAGTTCACCATGGGAGTCCAGTTCACCATGGGAGACCAGTTCACTATGGGAGTCCAGTTCACCATGGGAGTCCAGTTTACCAACTGAATCCAGTTTATAATGGGGCAGGAGGCGGCAACCGGCGGCTCCGGAGCAAGCCTGCGGCTCTGAAAGGAACTTCTGCTTCGTGATGTGATCAGTGAAGGGAAGACTACCACCGTCATCCCTTGAATTGTTATTCCGATCTAAGTGAAGGGCCCCATTCGGGTCCCACGTTGTTCCGTGCGATTTGACCCTCGTCCCCATGTGTTGTGACATTTTGAGGGCGGTGTTTTGTTATCGTTGTTGCGGATGTTACCCCCGTGGTTAATTTTAGATGCTACGGTCCAGTCCGAAATCGGCCTTTTAACTCCCATCGACCGTGGATACGGTGTGTAGGAGACGCGTTGCTTAGGAGGCAATCGGCCATCCTGTCGAATGACTCGGCCCCGTTAGGAAAGGTGGAATTGTCACGGCTTGTGACTAGCCGGCGGACGTGGAAACTTCTACATTTCAATCCACTGTCGCGGGTTGCCTTGTGCGGTGTCCACGCGTGCGTCTGCTGCGAACCAAAGAAACCGGAATGCGGTCACATCAGAAACTCCAGCCGGATTGGACGGTTGAAGCAATTGGCGGGACCCCCGGGGGGTCCCATCGCTGCCCCGTGGTGGGAAAAACCCGCGTAACGACACGAGTCTTTGTCGCCTTACCGACGACAAAGCTGGCGGTCAAATCGATTGGCCTCGTCGAGAGCTACCCGGGGACACCCAAGTTTCGTCAAAAGCTGCAAAAATTACGCAAACAACGTGAAATTCACCGCCTGCGGGAGCGTGCGGGGCTCGCCTTGGCAAAGAAGCCGAGGATCGACGGCTGACCGGAGGGCGCCGTCGCCGCGGGCGACTGCGGCGACGACGCCCCCCGGGGCTCGGGTTTGGCCGGTGGGGGTGGCGCCCGTCGTGCCGATCGCCGCACGCTGCTGCTGCTGCTGCTGCTGCCGCTCGTTGGCGCGGTAGTCTGGTGCGGGCGGCGCGTTGCTGTCGGGGTCACGTAGTGGGGCGGACTGAAAAATAATAATTATCGACCCGATTTTTGCCAAGTGATTTCAGTTAACCATAACCATGCCTCGCGTCCCAGGCGAAAGGTTTCCATTGGGGCTCCGCTACGTTACGGTCCGCAGAGGACGCGGCAACAAGAGCTGTCGCGATTTTGTTCCTCGGCTTCCCCAAACCTCACTGACCAGCGTGGTGAAGCATGGATGCCGTCATCCGGGGCTGTACATGTGCAGGGGTGAGATGTTAACAACCTCACGTTAACAACCTCACCTGGAGGTCGTGGTTTTTGAATCCCGGCCCTTGACGCCTGCTGTATATTTGGAGTTGGCACGTGCTCTCTCTTTCTCCTCGTGGTTGCGTGGATTTTTCTCCAGGGTCCTCCGACTTTTCCTTCTCATTTCCACAAGATAAGCAACTTCGTTGGGTTACCGTTTGTGGCCAGGTCGCTTCTGAAAAAGAGCTATACAGCTCAGCGGGCTTTACCTGGTAAAAAACCAAAAAAGGAGATTCATCGTTTTGAATAGAATGGAAACGATTGCTGTGTTTATGATTAATGAGTGAACCCGCACTGACCGGCAAAGATGTTGAACCCCCGTGACCGACAGTGATGGGAGGCTGTAAATCCGTCAGCGGCTTGACAGTGCTTTGGATTATTTTCTTTATTATTGTTGCGCGATTGATGGCACCCACCGTGGATCCTGTTAGACTTGTAGTGATTAAATCACGGAATCATCGAGCCTGGGTCTGCACTGCCCACGTGTGTGTGTGTGTGTGCGTCTGTCTGTGAGCCTTGACCCCTTGTGTGTAGCTGCAGTCGATGAGTTTGGTTTGTGCTGCTCACTGTGTGACCCCAGCCCAGTATTTAGTCACCGGTCATCTCACCCGATCATTTTCAGACGAGGTCATTTTGTCCCTTCACGGTCGGCCGCGACGTCGCTGTGCCGAGCGACTCTCGTCCGCTCGGCCGTCGTCGGCTCGGATCAAACGACAACAAAAAAAAAACCTCTGACGAAAGTTTTCGTCAATAATTCGCGACTGAAATGAAACGCGACCCCTGACCCCTCCTCCTCCTCCTCCTCCTCGCGCGTGCAGGCACCGCGCCCCGCCACTCCCCCGCGCGCCGATGGCGGCGCTCTGCGCGGAGGCGGTGCTGGACCCGCGCGAGGACTTCCCGGCGTGGCTCGGCGCGCACGGCGTGAGCGCTCGCGTGCTCGAGGCGGTCGAGGCCGAGCTCGGCATCGGCGACTACGAGGCGCTGCTGGCGTGCGCCGCCCAGGCGCCCGTGCGCGCCGAGCTTCTCGCCGCCGCCAAGGAGCGACTGCCCTTCGCCTTCTACGCCGCCCTGCGGCGCGTCGCCGAGCAGGTGGGGCGCGGCGCCGGCGGTTGCGGCGGAGGGCACCACGACGGGCCGTCGGACGGATACGCGACCGCCGACGGCCCCTTCTACCAGTCGCTCTTCAGCAGCCTGCTGGGCGCCATCGTGGTGATGCTCAACAACCTGAGCTGCGAGCTGCTTCGATCGGCCGAGCGGTTCACGTCGCTCGAGCGCCTGGTCAACGCCGGCGGCGGCGGCGTCGGCGTCGCCGGCGGCATCGGCGGCGACGCCGACGACATGGGAGAGGAAGCTGACCTCACTCCGTGCAGCACAGACGGTGAGTCGGTCGTTTTACCGCCGTCGGCGTGGGGTAACGGGTGAAGTGTAAAGGGGGTCGCGAGGGGGCGGCCTGCAATTTCCTGCCTGCTTGTCCACCACTCTTGGCCAGGCAGTGCTGAGGCAGTGGGAGTAGCCACACTTTTCACTCGCCTCACGCGACCCGCCAATCGACTTTGGCGTACGCCCATTTTGATGCCGCTGGTTGGATAGAGGCGGGAGAAGGTTCATACGGAAGCTTTTAACCCATTGTTTCGACCGTGCCAGGAGATGGAATCGGCGACCTCTGGCTGTACGACACGATAGTTAAAATCACGTCCGGGGGGCTCGACGCACCCCATCATTCTTCCAACAATGATGGGGCGGAGGTGGGGGGAGGGGGTCGGGTCAAAACAATTGCCGTTTTGTGGGAGGAGAGGCGTCACCCGCCCCCCGCCCCCCCCTCCACGGCACGGGAAAGTGGAATTTCCACCACCCAGCTAAGATGAGAGAGGGCGCTGGGGCGGGGGGCGGGGGGGGGGCGGGGGGGGGCGGGGAGTGGTCGTGAGACGCGGCTCCCCCGCTCCGCTCTGCGCAGAGACGGAGGAATCGATGGACGAGCACAAGTACGGCGGCGAGGACGATGGCGAGGACGCCCTCGGGGTAGCACCGCCCCCCGCAGAGCCCGGGAGGATGGCCGAGGAACTGTACCCAGGTGATGGGGGGGGGGGGGGGGGGAGGGGCTGGTGCTGGTGGTGGTGGTGGTGGTGGCGGCTTCTACAAAGTCGGTCACAGGCGGGAGAGAGCTAATCTCGTAGATGACGTTCGCGACGACGGTAACAAAAAAATAAAAATATTTTTGCCCTTGACCATCGTCGACGGGATGAAAATCGTCAAAATGGTGACGACGGCGGCTCCCAACTACGCAGCAGAGACCCGGGGGGGGGGGGGGGGGGTGGGGGGGGGGCGGGGGGGGGGGGGGCGTCCTCCCCGTCGTACACGGACTGAAATCATTTAGTAGCGTCGTCAGACAGCGCTGTGCACTAAGGTGCACCGAACACGTGATTATCGGGGAGCGATAGTGTAGCGGTTAGCGCGCTGCGCTATGAACCTGGCGACCCGGGTTCGATTCCCGCTCACGGCCAACACCAGTGACGATTATCTGAACCGGTCCCGGGCCTCCCCTAGGTCGACTCGGCCTCAAATGAGTACCTGGTGCGGTGTGTAAACATCGTCACTAGGGAGACAAAGGCGGTCGGGCGTGGTGCTGGCCACCCACCCCCTCGTGTACCGTTCTGGCCTTCATAGGTGCTCGCTAACAGCACTTGCCCCTACAGTCTGTTACAGGCTATATGGGGGATCTTTATCTTTATATTTACTGAGTGCACTGGTGGTTGACTTGATATCCGTGGGTTGGGGTGGGCGGCGGTGGTGGTGGTGGTAATTGCGTGCTCATCACGCAAACTGAGAGTCGACCAAACGTTCGACTGCTTTTGTCCGCTCGTCGAAGACCTCATCGCCAAAATACAAATGCCGACTAAATTCGTACCCGCCGCAACACTAGTCATTGCGGCAGGCCGATTGTAATATTCATCGCTGGGCTTGTATCCCAATTAACTTGACGCAATTGATTACCGATTGTCTATATTCTTGGTTCTTTCGGTAAAGTCGCGTAGAAGGGAAACAGTGAAACAATAAAAACAAAAAAACAAAACAACTTTTTTATTATTTTATTGTTTCCCTTCCGACGTGACTTTACCGAAAGAACCAAGAAACACCCGATTGCCTTGTTACGTTTACACGAGCAATCGGACGGCGAGCTGTAAAACAACGAAGCACAGCCCCTGTTCCTGCACGCCGCGTCCGCTGGGCGAGAGAGGCGATGGACCCTGGGCCTTGGGGCGACGTCGTCGGCGTCGCCAGCCACCGCACTTCCAATCCCGGCCTTCGGGAGGCATATGTCGATCGTGGGCGTGATCACTTACTGTAGACGACATCGGGGTAGCTCGGCGCGCAGAGACTCGCAGGCTGCCAGGGACGCGCCGTCGAGCGGGAGCTCGCTAACGCCGCCGTCTCTCTGCGGTTACAGACGAGGCGGAGGGGTACACGGAGGGCTACTCGGAGGGCTACGGCGAGGCGTACGGACACTCGCCGAAAGCGCATGCTGAGCATGGAGCGCCCCCCCGGCACTTCCCCCGCGTGAAGCATGAGCCGCAGGAAGGTGAGAGAGAGAGGAGAGAGGAGAGAGAGGAGAGAGGCAGTCGTCGGCCGTGGTCTGTCCACTGCTGGGTGTAATCTTGCGCGTCCAGCTTTTTTTTGCACGCGAGCCGAGCCCATCCGCTCTCCCGACGGCGGACTTGCGTGTTGCCTCGGCGAGTCTTGACCCCCGCCCGCCACCGTCATCCCCCTCCGGTCGATGCATCACGCAAGCCCCGCTTCTCCGAAGTCGCAACGTGTTAAACGTTTTCGATTAAGCTACTTGGGTCGCGTTAAATTCGTTACTGGGGATGGCACGCGGAGGCCGGGAGAGTGGCATGAGGGGGAGAGAAGTGAACTGGGGAGCCAAATCCTTTGAGGGTCTTCGAAGTCTATAAACTAAGACAGCTTTTTATTTTTTTTATTTTGCCAGGTAAGGCCCCACTTAAGCTGTGTAGCTCTTTTTCGGAAGCGACCTGGGCATCACAAACGACAGCACAACTAAGTGGCTTAATCACGAGGAAATGTGCAGCAGAATCCAAATGACTCTTAAACGCGTGACGTCGATGCTAAATGGGGAGGGTTAAAACAGGAGGGCCCTGATAAAAATCCACGAGAACCACGGGGAGAGACAGAGAGAGACACGCAAACTCCAAATATACAGCAGCAGCAGCAGGCGTCAGTGTCAGTATCGAACACACGACCTCCTGTATACCAGGCGAGGTAGTTAACATCTAGCCACCGTGATGATGATGAGAGAGAGACACGCAAACTCCAAATATACAGCAGCAACAGGCGTCAGGGTCGGGATCGAACCCACGACCTCCTGCGTACCAGGCGGAGTCATTAACATCTCCTAGCCACCGTGGCGAGTGCGATCTTTTAGTCTATCGGGGGACTGCAGTGGGGAGCCTGTGGAGGGATCGGAGTTGCGGAGGCGATGGGATCCCACCTCGTGCCCGTGTCAAAATCGAAGTTGAATCCCACGCAGGTGAAGCTAACGGGTTGCAAGGCGGGGTTGGGGGGGGCGGGACTGACCGCCAGCGCAATAACTCCGGCGTTGCTCGCCCCCCTCCCCCTCCCCTCCCCCAAAACGCAACCCCCCCCCCCCCCCCCGGCAGGGTTCAGCGAGGACGAGGACGGTGCCTGCCCCGTGCCCGAGCCGAGCCTGCGCTGGCAACGACGCGCGGGCGTCAGGGGCTTGGCGGGCGGACACGGTGGGCCACGCGCCATCGTCAAGAAGCGAACCAGGAGCCCCGAGGGCGACGGGGCCGCCGCTCCGCCGCCGCCGCCGCCGCTGCCGCTCCATGGACAGCAGCACCAGCAGCACCAGCAGCAGCACTTCAACGCGTACGGCGCGGGCAGCAGCCACGGGGAGGCGCCGCTCAACGGGCAGCGCGACGGCTTCGCCAAGGCGGAGGGGCACGTCGCGGAGCACGAGCAGGGAGACTGCGCCGGTAAGGCGCGCAGAAAAGCGTGCACCCGAGTGGGCCCCAAAGCGCCACGGCTACTTAGGAAAACGACCACCACCGGCGCGACTACCACAACCACTATAACCACCACCGCAACTACCACAACCACTATAACCACCACCGCAACTACCACAACCACTATAACCACCACCAGGACTACCCCAACCACTATAACCACCACCGCAACTACCACAACCGTCGTGACCACCACCAGGACTACCACAACCACTATAACCACCACCACAACTACCACAACCACTATAACCATCACCGCAACTACCACAACCGTCGTGACCACCACCAGGACTACCACAACCACTATAACCACCACCAGGACTACCACAACCATCGTGACCACCACCGCAACTACCACAACCACTATAACCACCACCGCGACTACCACAACCACTATAACCACCACCAGGACTACCACAACCACTATAACCACCACAACTGTCGCAACCACCACTGCGACTACCACCACCACCTTGACTACCACGACCGCTGTAATCGCCGCTCGGGTTTCAATTGTTCACTCGGTCACGTGTTGATGTCGTGGTGTATGTTGATGGCATTTATGTGCACCGCATACTACTGCTAAGTGGGGGGTGGGGGGGGGGGGATACAATGGCCACGTTGTGATGGGTCCACGGCCTGACTGTTCCCCACGTCGTGTGCCTTCCCCTGCCCCAGGCGAGGCTTCGGGCCACTGTCCCCACGGCGTCAACCACTCGGACCACCACCACCACCACCAGCAGCACCACCACCAGCAGCAGCAGCAGCAGCAGCCGCACCTCTTCCCCAGCGTGCGCTTCCCGCACAAGCTGCTCAACCACCACTACGCGTGCGGCGACGGCGCCGACCCCTCCGCCGCGCTCCAGCACCGCTCCCTCCCGCGCGCCGACGCCGCCGACGCCGGCGCCGGCGGTGCAAGCGACCTCGACGGGCCGGCCGCGTCGTCGCCTTCGGCGGCTCCCGCCGACGGCGGCGACCTCGACGGGAGCGGCGGCGGCGGCGGTGGCGGCGGCGGGCTGCTGTGGCCGGCGCTCGACGATTACGGGAAGGTGTACCAGTGCGACGACTGCGGCAAGGGCTTCCTCAACCGCAGCTACCTGTACGTGCACCGGCGCAAGCACACGGGCGAACGCCCCTACGCCTGCGACGTGTGCGGGCGCCGCTTCTCCGTCACCTACAACCTGGCGCGGCACAAGAAGACGCACACGGGCGAGAAGCCGTTCGTGTGCCGAGAGTGCGGCCTGGCGTTCCGCCTCAAGCACCACCTGCTGCGGCACGAGAAGAAGCACTCGCTGGCGCTGGACGGGGAGCCGATGGGGCCCGACGGGGCGGCGCTGGACGGGGCGGCGCTGGACGGGGCGGCGCTGGACGGGTCGGCGTCGGCGGGAGAGGCCGGCGAGGGAACGGCGGAGGCCACGGAGGCGATGATGTACGACGTGACTCACCTCCACCCGACGGGCTGATGGTAGCGCCCCATGCCGCCACCACCACCGAGGTGGCCTGCGATTGGGGGTGGGGGTGTGTGTAGTTGTGACCAAGACCAGGATTGGTGGTACCACACGGCGGTGGTATTGGTGGTACCACACGGTGGTGGTATTGGTGGTACCACACGGTGGTGGTATTGGGGGTACCACACGGTGGTGGTATTGGGGGTACCACACGGTGGTGGTATTGGGGGTACCACACGGCGGTGGTGGTGGTGGTATTGGCAATGCGAGACGGAGCCATGCGGAATGTCTACGCGCGCCTGGGGGGGGAGCGGTGGTGTAGCGGTTAGCACTACGAGCCAGGCAACCCCGAGTTCGATTTCTGCTCACGGCCAACACCGGTGATGTTTATCTGAACTGGTTCTGGGCCTCCCCTAGGTCGACTCGGCATCAAATGAGTACCTGGTGTGTGAGCATCGCCACTGGGGAGACGAAGGCGGCCGGGCATGGTGCTGGCCACCCACCCCCTCGTGTGCCGTGCCGGCCTTCATAGAGTGCTCGCCAACAGCACTTGTCCCAACGGTCTGTTAAGGCTATACGGGGGATCTTTGTATTTTTGTTGTGCGCGTGCGTGCAGGGGCTGAGCTGCTCAGTGTAAATAGTTTATCCGGGCTTTGTCGTTTAAAGTTGCGACACCCCCACCCCCCCCCACTTCTCCTCCCCCCTCGTGGTGGTACTAACTAGACATGTAACGATTATTGAGCCCCTCTCTCCTTATGATTCAGTCAGCCGACACGATTCGGAGGCAGTGGGGAGGGGGGGGGGGGATGGTCACATGACTCGAAGCGAGAATTTGCCGGGGGTTTGATTTCCTCTCCCGCGTGTTAAATGTTAACAGCTCCAGTGGCTAGCAGGTCATGTGAATCCAGTTGTGTGTAAGGCATTACATATTGATCAAGAAGGGATTGTCACATTTCCCCCCCCCCTCTCCTAAATTCGATGCGTGTATCACGAGCGTAGGAACAGCTCTGTGTATGGGTACATGCCTCTCTCCCGTGTTTCCCCTGCCCCGATAGGTGCAGCGGTGGTGCTGTGGTTTTATTAATGCAATGCCCCGAAACGTGTTTGTAAAAAAGGAAGGACAGCATAGGAGTGTTTTTAAATGTATTCCGCATTTTATTACGAACGGCAGCATTCACGACTTGGAATTTTGTGATTAAAAATAAAAAGTATTATCTACCTCCTGGTATTAAGTTTTTCCACCTTGTGTCAAGAGGGGTGAGAGTGGGGTGGGGGTGGGGAGCCACCAAAACACTCCTCCACCCTGAGCAAGCCATCCCCCGAAGGGCAAGGGAACATCTCAGGACGTCCGAGAAAGTGTGGGAAAGTCCAGGTGTAGGTGGCACGGGTGGTTTTCCCCATTGACGGTTTTCGGTGATTCACGCTGGCTTCACACAAGACGTTTGAATCTGGCTCGGGGCGGGGCGGGGGGGACAGCTGATACGGTAATGTTCCCCTTAGGTACACTGCACTGAAGAGACACGGCGTCTCCTCCGAGTCATCTTCAATACGAGACACCGTGCGCTTTGCATCCCGACTCGTTCTTTGCACGTTGGCGTGCACGGCACGGCACGGCTCCTGCCGCGGAATCGCAACGTTGCGTCGTCCCTGGCTCGGCATAACCCCACCCCCCCCACGACGCAGCTCGATCGTGCCAAGTGGAACATCTTCGGAATAATCATCGCCGCCGCCGCCGCCGCTCGTCACACGGGCAAGAAGTGGAAGCGTATTCCTCCCCAGGACATCATTCCAAGTCGCCGCCCCCGCGGCCAAGCGTCAGTGGATGGAGTGCGTCTTTTTGTGCCGGTGCAGGTGGTACTTGCGCCCGAAGGTCATGCCACACTCCTCGCAAACGAAGGGCTTCTCCCCGGAGTGGATGCGGCGGTGCTGGTTGAGGTTGTGGATGAGCGAAAACCTCTTGCCGCACTCGTCGCACACGTACGGCTTCTGCTCGCTGTGCCGGCTCTGCCTGTGGCGGCACAGCTTGCTGGGCGTGCGGAAGCTCATGCCGCAGTCGGGGCACACGCGGGGGCTATTGCCGCCGCCTCCGTGCGCCAGCTGCTCGTCCGTGACGACTACGACGTCGTCATCGCCGTACACGTGCGCGTACGCAGCCCGGCACGCCAGCCCCTCGCACTCCACGTCGCTCCTAACGAAGCGTTCCGCTGGGAGCTGCTGCTGCTGCTGCTGCCCCCTGGACCGCTCGGTAGGATCGAGTCTAGGTGCGGCGCTCACGTCGCCCGTTTGCCAGCTGCATGGCGGTGGCGGCGAGCTGTGCCGGTGCTGCTGAGCGTAAGCGCCGTCGCTCCCGTGACCTGTGGGGATGAGAGTGGAGACGTCACCGTCCTGTTGCGGCGGTCGGTGTGTTCGTCCCCGCCCCCCACCCACCCCACCCACCGCCCACCGCCCTACCACCGACACCCACTACGCCGTAAGCGGTGGCCCCACAAACGGACGGGTCCGACTTGCGGTCACGGGGATGGGTGGCGGGGTGGGTGGGGGGGGTGTAGGATTTAAGTTTTGAATTCATTGATTTTTAATAAATTCACGCCGGCGTTGCGATCGAAAACCGACAAAAATAAAAAAATAAAATAAAGTAAAAGCGCTTTGCGGCAAGCAAAAAATAAAATAACGCCTTGTGGGACCGCGGCACGGCGAGGTGCGGGCATGACCACCCTCCTCCCGCACCAGCCTGTTCATTCCCTTGTTGGTGCCGCCGAACATTTTCTCGGGAAGACGAAAACTGCGTACGGTGCAGCAGGGCCTGGCCCCGTTACTTCAAGCGGACCGGGGGGCCTGATTGCGCAACTCGGCAAAGTCACCTTTCCACCGTCACCGTCCTTGCCCGCGTGTTTCCGCGGCGATCGATCAGAGGACACTCTTTATTTTTCAGCAGCTGCCACACGTTCGCCAGTGGCTCTGCACTCTTCGTTGTGCAACTTCAGCCCCGTTCCACCTTCACCCTCGGCCTGTGCTGGGCTGCTTCCCCTACCACAGCTGCGCTCGGGTCCCCTCTTGCGACTCGATCCTCTCGTGGCGACGGCGCCGACGCCGCGTGCTCCCCGGCGTCGGTTTGGACAAACGCGGAGCCAACTCGGCAGGGGGGCCCCCCATCACGCGGCCAGAGGCCCGGCGTAGCGCGTCGGGGGCACCGTCAGTACTTGACGCAGGTCCTGCGGTGGCGGGCGAGGTTGAAGGAGCGCGTGAAGCGGCGCCCGCACTCGGCGCACACGAAGGGCCTCTCCCCCGTGTGGATCCTGCGGTGAATGCGCAGGTCGGACGAGCGCAGGAAGCTGCGGCCGCACTCCTCGCAGGCGAACGGCTTCACCGTGCCGTGCGTCATCTCGTGCCGCCGCAGGTAGCGCTCGCTGCCGAAGCGCTGCCCGCACTTCTTGCAGAACATCGTCGCGCCGCTCGCCTCCGTCGCCGCCGACCCCGCCAGCGCCGCCGACGCCGCCGGCGCCGGCGCCCCCGGCGCCCCCGACGACGACGACGGGGCGGGCCAGGGCGCGGCGGGCGAGTCGTGGCGGCCCCCGCGTGCCAGCGAGCCGCCCGGGCCCTGCGCCGTCACCGCCACGCGCCCAGCGCCGTGGTCCTCACCTTCGGAGCTTTCCAACTTCGGCAGCGGAGGGTGGAAATTTCCCGGCCACCTATCGGGCGGTTCGTGCCCCCGGTCCGCCCAGCTGGCGCCCCGCTCGAGGCTCCCCCAGCGGGGGGCTCGGCCCGGCGTCGCTCCTCCTCCTCCTCCGCCTCCGCCGCCTTCGTCGTTGTCGTCAATGTCGTCGTTGTCGTAGTCCTCGTCGTCTTGCGTCTCCACCGCCCCCTGGCAGAAGGCGCTGGCTTCGTCCAGCTCGCACGCCAGGCTGCCCTCGGCGGCGCCGGCCTTCTCCCCTGTAGGGGGGACAAGGCAGCCGACATCTCCGTGAATAATATTGGTCGCGAAAGCCTACGTGTTAAACTGTCCTGCCAACCTGCCAACCCCCTTGCTCCATATATCCACTGCTGAGACTCTCATCGTCGCCGCGCCTCCATCGGAGCCTGCCCCTGCCCGCCTCGGCTACTGCGATTCTCCCCCACTTCCCCAAACTCCGTACCCCTCATCATCCCTCGCCTCCAAATTCCATACGATCCCAAAATGCAGCAGCAGCCGCCAGACTGACCGACCCCGGGCACACGTAAACATTGAGTCGTTCTCCCCAGCGCTCCCTTGATACCTCCACTGGCTCGCGCCTTTCGCAACGGCGTTCCCGAATCACAACTGTGAAAAAGAGCCTTGCGCAACTCATCGGATTCCTTCAACCTCAATAAATATTCTGATTTTAAACTGCAAGGTCGACCGTACTTGCGCCGCCCGTATCCTGATCTCGCTCCCCTCTGCTCCCCGCACTGCTCCAGCAGGCAGGCCCACTCCTCCAGTACGTCCCCCGTCTCGCGGAAACCTTGGGGGGGGCCCACCGATTTAGGGGCCACCGATTTGGGGGACCACCGATTTAGGGGGCCACCGATTTGGGGGCCGACTTGTGTCAAGCCGTCAGCCCACAAAGCGGTCTAAAATTAAACAGTTTTTTTTTTGTTTTAACCAGGTTAAGGCCGACTGAGCGATATAGCACTTTTTTCCCGAAGCGACCTGGGGACTTGATGGCTGGCTCATCACGTGGAAATTTACAGCAGGCAAATACTCTTTAAACGCACGTCCATCCTCAATGCGGAGGGAAAAAACCGGAGGGCTTGGGAGAACAATCCACGCGCCCGTGTGGAGAGAGAGAGAGAGAGACACACGCAAACACCAAATATGCAAGCGTCTGGGGGTCGGGATCGAACCCACGACCTGTAAACCAGGCGAGCTAGTTAACATCTCACCACCGTGGCCAGCCATCGTCTCGTGCCGGGGGGGGGGGGAGGGGGGGGGGCGGCACCTTCGTGGAGCGGCTCGGTCTTCACACTCGCCGCCCTCCAAGCTTCCGCCACCCCCGCCGCGTCGTCCGCTTCGGCCTCGCCAGCTCCAATCGCGGCCGGTCCCACCGCGGCCACGTCTGCAACGGCACCGCCGGGATCATGCTCGGCGTTCTCCGGGGGGAGTGTTCGTAAGAGGCGCGCGCGTGTGTGTGTGTGTGTCAGCGGGGAGCGGTAGTGCAGCGGTCCGGTTAGGTCCTAGGCCTCCCCCACCCCCACACCCCCAGGTCGGCTCACCCCAAACCAACACCCGGTGCGGTGCGTAAACATCGCCACTGGGAAGACAAAGGCGGCCGGGCGTGGCGCTGGCAACCCACCCCCCCTCCTGTGCCGTTCCGGTGTTCATCGGTGCTCGCTAACGGCACTTGCCCCAACAGTCTTAAGGCTATCCGGGGGGGGGGGGGGGTCTTTGATTTTGTGTTTTAGCTTCGGCTGTTATTTTTTTTTCATTGTTACAATTCTTTTTAGTTTGTTTTCCTTCTCCCCCCCCACCCCCCACCCACAACACCGCCGATGAGCCACGGTTGGCGGCTACGTGCTTAAACGAAAGAAGTTCAAAGTACACGTACATTGTTGTGATCTCGCTAGCTTACTTTGGGAAACACCGTTTCAGGAGGGTCTTTTTGTGGTGGGGGTGGCGATGTCGCTACGTGTGACCCCAATTGAGTAATTCGCAGATACGTTTTTGGCCAATACCAGTTAAATTGTACGTTTATTGTTAGCCACGCGGCGGAAACTGTATAACCCAGTGCAGAACAAACTCCACTCACTCTCACTCTGCAGAACGGGGAGATCATACAAACTCCACTCACTCTGTAGGACAGGGGGAGATCATACAAACTCCACTCACTCTGCAGAACAGGGGGAGATCATACAAACTCCACTCACTCTGCAGAACAGGGGGAGATCATACAAACTCCATTCACTCTGTAGGACAGGGGGAGATCACACAAACTCCACTCATTCTCACTCTGCAGAACAAGGGGAAGATCATACAAACTCCTCTCAGTCTGCAGAACAGAGGGAGATCATACAAACTCCACTCACTCTCACTCTGCAGAACAGGGGGAAATCACACAAACTCCACTCACTCTGCAGAACAAGGGGAGATCATACAAACTCCACTCACTCTGCAGAACAGGGGGAGATCATACAAACTCCACTCACTCTGTAGGACAGGGGGAGATCATACAAACTCCATGCAGAAAGGCACCCGAGTAGGGAATCAAACTCGGGGTTTTCTTGCTCCGAGGCACAGGCTTTACCATCCAGTCTGTGAACACAGCGCCTGCTGACACGGGAATGACATGTGGGTTCCATCCCATCATCCTATTCCATCACAACTAAGGTTGAGTGCGGCGTGCACGGGGAAAATTGCATTTTTTAAATTGTTTTATTTTACCTGCTAAGGCCCACTGAGCTACGTAGCTGTTTTTCAGAAGTGACCTGGCCACAAATGAAAGCTCAACCAAGTGGCTTATCGCGTGGAAATTTATAGCAGCCAAATAACTCCAAATGCACGTCGATTCTAAGTGCGCGGGGGAAAACCGGAGGACCCGGAGAAAAAATCCACGCGACCACAGACGGAGAGAAAAACACGCAAACTTCAAATAAACAGCTGCAGGCGTCGTCAGGGTCGGGATCGAACCCACGACCTCCCGTGTACCAGGCGAGGTAGTTAACATCCCCTAGCCACCGTGTGCGCACTCGCGGGCTGTGTACCCTCCTCCTCCTGGACCCCACGACCCCCGGGGCGATCCGACACAAATTTTGAACAACACGACCTCCCGTACACACCAGGCGAGGCAGTCGACATCCCCTAGCCACCGTGGGGCGGCCGCGAGCGAAGCTGCGAGCCGGTCACTCACGGGCATCGGGTGGCTCGAGGGCACCGTCGTGGAGGCCCGCCGAGCTGACGCCGCGTGACCACCGCACCACCGCCGTGCCGTCGGGGGCCGCGCCGTCCTCGTCCATGTCCAGGGCCGACGCCTCCGCCGCGTCCTCTCCGTAGCCGTCGCCGTCTGGTGCACCGCGACCGGAACAAGTGAGGCAATCTCGCCGTGCCGGAGGCAGCGAGCGGCGCTCTACGTACGCGCCGGCCGGTTGGGGCTGGGTTGTCGGGTCACGTTGGGGCCCGCGCGGTTTTGGGGTTCGGTTATCAACTCGTTGGTGACCGCGTGCCGTGAACGTCCCCCAAACGAAAGCCACGTACCGATCCGCGGCAGCAGGGCGCGAACGCGTCGCCGGCGTTTGCCCCAACAACACGACCGCGCGTATTCCGGTGGAACAAGCGGACTACTCCACCCGCGGGGGGAGGAGGGGGGCGGTAGCCACACAAAAGAGGCGGCGCGTGGCTGACCGCCGCCGCCGCCGCCGCAATTACAATCGGCCTTCGCCGACACGGGAGTGCGACGTATGCGGGAGGCTTATCCGGGTCGTGGCAATCGGCCGCCGCCGCCCGTCCGCCCGTCCGCCCGTCCGCCCGTCCGCCCGGCGCCTCGTACCCTGCACGCTGTGGCCCGGCGAGGACAGCCGCACGTCCCGGTCCTCGTCGGCGCCGTGCCCGTAGAACGTCGCCGCGTCCAGGAGGCGGAACCGCTCGGCCGAATGCGACAGCTCGCGGCTCAGGTTGCTCAGCATGTGGACGATGGTGTCGAGCAGCGAGCCGAGGAACGGGTGCAGCGCCAGCACGTCCGACGGCCCGTCGTGGTGCCCTCCGCCGCAACCGCCGGCGCCTCCGCCGCAACCGCCGGCGCCGCGCCCCACCTGCTCGGCGACGCGCCGCAGGGCGGCGTAGAAGGCGAAGGGCAGTCGCTCCTTGGCGGCGGCGAGAAGCTCGGCGCGCACGGGCGCCTGGGCGGCGCACGCCAGCAGCGCCTCGTAGTCGCCGATGCCGAGCTCGGCCTCGACCGCCTCGAGCACGCGAGCGCTCACGCCGTGCGCGCCGAGCCACGCCGGGAAGTCCTCGCGCGGGTCCAGCACCGCCTCCGCGCAGAGCGCCGCCATCGGCGCGCGGGGGAGTGGCGGGGCGCGGTGCCTGCACGCCGAGGAGGAGGAGGAGGAGGAGGGGTCAGGGGTCGCGTTTCATTTCATTCGCGAATTATTGACGAAAACTTTCGTCAACAGAGAGGTTTTTTTTTTGTTGTCGTTTGATCCGAGCCGACGACGACCGAGCGGACGAGAGTCGCTCGGCACAGCGACGTCTGCGACACCCCCGCCGGAAGATGACAGCGCGACCGACTGTGAAGGGACGAAATGACCTCGTCTGAATATTATCAATTGAAATAACCGGTGACTAAATAAAGAGTGGGCCGGGGTCGCGCAGTGAGCAGCACGGTGGCGACGGCACGGAGACGTCGGGGTTAGTCGGAGGCGACATTTTTACCATCACCAGGGAAGGGCCCACTGAGCTATGTAGCTCTTTTACAGCGCAAATTATAGCTCGGTGAAGTGGCTTATCGCTGGGGAAAATTATCGCAGCCAAGTAACTCCTTAAACGAGTGGCGTTGATTCTAAATGTGGAGGGGAAAAACTGGAGGACCCGGAGACAAAATCCACGCGACCACGGAGAGAGAGACACGCAAACTCAGAATACACAGCAGCAGGCATCAGGGTCAGGATCAAACCCACCACCTCCTGTATACCAGGCGAGGGAGTTAACATCTCCTAGCCACCGTGATGATGATGAGAGAGACACGCAAACTCCAAATATACAGCAGGCGTCAGGGTCGGGATCGAACCCACGACCTCTTGTGTACCAGGCGAGGGAGTTAACATCTCCTAGCCACCGTGATGATGACAGAGAGACACGCAAACTCCAAATATACAGCAGGCATCAGGGTCGGGATCGAACCCACGACCTCTTGTGTACCAGGCGAGGTAGTTAACATCTCCTAGCCACCGCGACGCCCTTACCTCTGGTACAGGCTTGGGCATCAGCAGCAACAGCTGAGCGACCACAAGAACGCAGAGACTGTGTTGAAGTGAAGGTCACACGTTCCGTGTATGTTTCAACAAAGGCATGCACAGTCCAAAGACAAAGGTCCTCCGTATAGCCTTTAAGAGACTGCTTGAGCAAGTGCCGTTAGGGAAGACACCTCTGAAGGCCGCCATGATTCATGATGGGTGGGTGGCCGGCAACCCAACTTGGCCGCCTTTGTCTCCCCGGTTGCTTATGTTCGCACACCGCACCAGGTGCTCATTTTAAGGCCGAGTCGACCTAGGGGAGGCCCGGCACCGGTTCACCGTCGTTGGCCGTGATGAGTGGGAATCAAATTCGGGTCGCCGGGTTCGTAGCCGAGCGCGCTAACCACTACGCTCTCCAAAGTTCACACACACACGCACGCGGGAATTCTGAAAAACTCTGATGAACGCCAGCGTCGGCAGTGGCAGCACGCAACTGTCCCAATGATTCTCACATTTCATGACGGCACTGCCCAGGATTTGTGGCTCGCGACACGTCGACCGGTAAAGGACAATACATATTTCAGATGAAGCGTCCATAAACCGCAGCACTGCTGACTCTTCAAATGGCTTGCGTGATTTGCCCTCGAGCAACCTGCCCACGAGAGAGCACAGCGTCACTTTCGCTCGCAATCTTTTTGTTGAATTCAACTGTGGGCGTCCCCCCGTGGCGGCCTTCCCCTCCACGTAGGCTGCCGAGTGGGTGCCGTGCAACGCCCGTGACGTGTGCAACCGTGGGGGAGAAGGGAGGTTCAGCAGCTAACTTGAGCCCCCTGCGATGCACGCAGGGGGTTATAATCCAGCACAAGAGATAAACCGGGCGAGAAATATCCACACAGCCCCTGGCGCTAGCCAAAACTCTGACCATGACCATAGATAGCTCTCTCTCTCTCTCTAGCCCCAATACTATTCCTGACTTTAACTCTAGCCCTGGTGATACCCCTGACTGTAACCATGACCACAGGTAACCCTGACTCTAGCCCTGGTGATACCCCTGACTGTAACCATGACCACAGGTAACCCTGACTCTAGCCCTGGTGATACCCCAGTCTCTAACCATGACCACAGACAACCCTGACTCTAGCCCTGGTGATAACCCTGTCTCTAACCATGACAACAGGTAACCCTGACTCTAGCCCTGGTGATACCCCAGTCTCTAACCATGACAACAGGTAACCCTGACTCTAGCCCTGGTGATACCCCAGTCTCTAACCATGACCACAGGTAACCCTGACTCTAGCCCTGGTGATACCCCAGTCTCTAACCATGACCACAGACAACCCTGACTCTAGCCCTGGTGATAACCCTGACTGTAACCATGACCACAGGTTACCCTGACTCTAGCTCTGGCGATACCCCAGTCTCTAACCATGACCACAAATAACCTTGACTCTAGCCCTGGTGATACCCCCTGTCTCTAACCATGACCACAGATAACCCTGACTCTAGCCCTGGTGATAACCCTGACTGTAACCATGACCACAGATAACCCTGACTCTAGCCCTGGTGATAGCCCAGTCTCTAACCATGACCACAGGTTACCCTGACTCTAGCTCTGGCGATACCCCAGTCTCTAACCATGACCACAGGTAACCCTGACTCTAGCCCTGGTGATAACCCTGACTGTAACCATGACCACAGGTTACCCTGACTCTAGCTCTGGCGATACCCCAGTCTCTAACCATGACCACAAATAACCCTGACTCTAGCCCTGGTGATACCCCCTGTCTCTAACCATGACCACAGATAACCCTGACTCTAGCCCTGGTGAGAACCCTGACTGTAACCATGACCACAGATAACCCTGACTCTAGCCCTGGTGATAGCCCAGTCTCTAACCATGACCACAGGTTACCCTGACTCTAGCTCTGGCGATACCCCAGTCTCTAACCATGACCACAAATAACCCTGACTCTAGCCCTGGTGATAACCCTGACTGTAACCATGACCACAGATAACCCTGACTCTAGCCCTGGTGATAGCCCAGTCTCTAACCATGACCACAGGTTACCCTGACTCTAGCTCTGGCGATACCCCAGTCTCTAACCATGACCACAAATAACCCTGACTCTAGCCCTGGTGATAACCCTGACTGTAACCATGACCACAGGTTACCCTGACTCTAGCCCTGGTGATAGCCCAGTCTCTAACCATGACCACAGATAACCCTGAATCTAGCCCGTCTCTAACCATGACCACAGGTAACCCTGAATCTAGCCCTGTCTCTAACCATGACCACAGGTAACCCTGAATCTAGCCCGTCTCTAACCATGACCACAGATAACCCTGACTCTAGCCTTGGTGATACCCCCGACGCTTGCCGTGTCCCGTCACGATGTCCCCGACGCTGCCAGTCCTGCCGCCGAGTGGACACGTTAAATGTAACCGCGCTCAGCTACGAGACCAGGGTGCGTGCTTGATCTTTCCCCACTGGTCACCTCCACGTATCCCGTTGCACGTGCCATTGGCCAAATGCATCGCCACAGGATTCAAAAAAATGGAAAGAACGACGATAGCAATCATGATGCAACGGAGACTGCCGCTGCGATATGGGCAACGCGAGAAGCACAATGCCTTCTTAACAGATTTCCGGCGAAAGCAAGGGCGCTAGTTGTAAGAGAGCAGAGGCAGAGGGGCGTCCGTGGTGCAGTGCAGCTCGAGACGTTCGTTAGCAAGAGTGTGGCCTTAAAATGAAAAAAATATATATATACATACAAAGTAAAACCTTGGATCGCGAGTAACTTGGTCTGCGAGTGTTTTGCAAGACGAGCAAAACATTTGTCAATCAATATTAATTTGATAAACGAGCGAGGGTCTTGCGATACTAGTAGTACGTGTACACGCTTTGTACTGCCGAGCAACACGTGATCACAGCTGACGTACGAGTGCTTTCGATTACGAACACGCTTCCGGAACGAATTACGCTCGCAATCCAAGGTGTTGCTGTGATGGGCGACGTTTCGGGCAAACAGTCCTTCGCTACGCACCAAGAGGCCAGAGAGACGTGCGTGGTTACGAGTTACGCTGCAGGGCCTGGCACACCACCGTGGCCCTCGTATGTCGCCATGGTGGATGGGGTATAGGGTGACCGACCCCGAGGCATTGGAACGAAGATGACCGACATTAACAGAATAAGCTCGTCTGTGTTATAAATAGATGGAGGAGTCTCGCGTTGTCCATGACCCGTGGACCCAAGTGCCTCCATAAAGGCTGCGAGGGGGGAGATTGGAATTTTTCGTTGGGATGTGCGTGTGGTGCCGGGGTGGTGGGGGGGGGGGGTCTTTGTCACGCTACGAACCCGGCGAGCCGAGTTCGATTCCCGGCTCACGGCCTCCAACGCCACTGACGATTATCTGAACCGGTCCTCGGCCCTCCCCCGAGGTCTACTCGGCCTCACTCAAACGAGTAGCCTGGCGCTGTGCGTGAACATTGCCACTGGGGGAGACAAAGGCGGCCGGGCGTGGCCGCTGGCCACCCACCCCCCTCGTGTGCCGTGCCGGCCTTCATAGGTGCTACCCACTAACAGCACTTGCCCCAACAGCCTGTTAAGGCTACACGGGGAACTTTGGCTTCGTGGTGCCGGGAGTATCTGTGTTCTGCTCACCCTCACGAGGGCAGTAAGTTCTCTCTCTCTCTCTCTCATGCCCAACGTTGTTGTTTTTTAACTCCGCAAAGATCCCCGGGTCGGCTTCACTCACGCTGTACAGATGACTCCCCGACTTACGACGTCTCGATTTACGACACCCCCCCCCCCCCGCTCTTACGACTTCTTAGTAAGACCCCCCACCCCCAACAGCAATGACCAAAACTCGAATCTACAACTACCAGATGGCGCTGCTTTGCTCTTCTGCCGTGTGTTGCACTGATAGGCCGACAGTATCTTTCTCAACGCTGTTCACTAATTTGTAAATTTTCGTCAAATTTTGAAACATTTTTCTAACTTTCGCTAACGTTATGCACGTGCAGAAACGTACTTATGGATTTTCAAATGTGTTTTTTACTGAATAAATGTTGATAAAGGTTATGTTATGATAATAGGTTTTCCCCTTTTTTCTGGCAACAAAACAGTTGTGTTAAGATGTTAAAACACCAAACTGAAACCTTTTGACGAGGAATCACGTCTGCATTAACCGCAATGCCTGTGGTCAGAATGCAAACAAAAAAAACATCCTCTGATAATATATGCATTGCATATATACTGTATATGCATTGCATATATTTTCAGAGTAATCAATGCATTCATTAATCATAATAAAGGTTTTTGGGTTAGATCAAGTAAATATAAATGTGTCGTAACCCTCCACCACCCGACACAGCCAGTAAGGGATTTACATCATGAGGCCCCCTTTGCCAGTAGCAAAATATAATAATAGGTTTTTGACCCTTTTCTCTGGCAACAAAACTCAAACCTTTTTGCGAGGAATCATGTTACTGCATTAACGACAACGCTTGTGGTCAGAATGCAAACAAAACACACACTCTGATAATCTATGATGATGCGTATGTCTTCGAAACTGATTGGTCCACACCAGAGACGGCTTTCTTTTGAGCCTCGTCTCAAAACGGTGCTAGACCCCAGAGGACGCCAAACGGCGTCAAAAAGGCGTCCCCCTCTGGTCTAACGGTCGCACGTTAAGTTACGATAAATGCTGGGGGTTTTTTTTTTCCACCATTTATTTTCGTGGCCAATTTTGGTATTTTTTTACGGTACGCAACGGGTTTTCCAGGAACAGAAACCCCAATGTAAAACACTGCACCCTATGGGAGACGAAGATTTCGACTTACGACCGTCATCCAGCAACAAATTTAGGTCGTAGGTACACGGGGGGGGGGGGGGTTGCGCTACGTACTAGGTGCGGCGTGGTAGGAAACATCGCCGCTAAGGTGACAAAAGGCTTGGCCGCGCGTGGTGCTGGCCACCCCAACCGACTCTCGCGTGCTGTGCCGGCCTTCGTAAGATGCTCGCTAATAGTGCAGCACTTGCCCCAACAACAACCTGTTAAGGGGAATCTTTGTGTGTGTCTTGAGACGTATCTGCATTCAGACGAATATATAATTTTATTTCATTTTATATAATTCAACTGTGTAAATGTGTAATTATATGCAGTACTGCATAGGTGTATGCATGAGTGCATGTGTATCCGCCTATTTGTGAACAGTACTGTAAAGTAATTAGCGCGATGCTCTAGGAACCCGCCATCTGAGTTCGACTCCTGGGGTCACGGCTGGCATCAGTGGCGATTGTTTGAACCGGCCCTGCGCCCTCCCCTAGGTCGACTCAGCCTCAAATTTGTAACCCACTACGGCGTTTAAACATCGGTTCGGAGGAGGACAAAGCGGGGCCGGCGTGCATCTGGCCCACATAACCCCTCTCGTGCTCAGTTGCCAGCTTGAATAAGGTGCTCACGAACGTAGATTTTTTTTATTAGAATAGGTTTTTCCCCCTTTATTCTGGCAACAAAACTGAAACCTTTTTTACGATGTATCATGTCTGAATTAACCACAATACTTGTGGCCAGAACGGAAACCAAAAAAAAACTCTGATAATCTATGATGATGCATTGTCCTTGAAACTGATTGGTCCACACCAGAAACAGCTTTCTTTTGAGCCTCGTCTCAAAACGGTGCTAGACCAGAGGACGTCGAAAGGCGTACAAGCTCAAAGTCGAGGAGAAACCCTATAATTATATTTTGGTACTGGCAAAGGAGATCTCATGATGTAGATTTTTATTATTTTGAGAAACAGTCTACGGCTACAGATGGGATAAGTCTTTGTTCTGTATTGGTAGAAGCTACACGGCACAAAGACAAAGATCCCCCGTATAGGCTTGACAGACTGTAGGGGGGGCAAGTGCTGTTAGCGAGTAGCAGCACCTATGAAGGCCGGCACGGTGGCACACGAGGGGGTGGGTGGCCAGCACCACGCCAGGCAGCCTTTTGTCTCCCCGGTGGCGATGTTTACTACACACCGCACCAACTACTCAATTTGAGGCTGAGTCGACCTAGGGGAGGTGGGAGAGACCCCGGGACCGGTTCAAATAATCGTCACCGGCGTTGGGTGGCCGTGAGCTGGGAAACGAACCCGGTTCGCCGGGTTCTTAGCGCAGCGCGTTAACCGCTACGCACGCACGCGCACAACGCACGCGCGCGCGTTACCGTTAGGAATCAACGCGCGACAGACGATACAAGCGATGTATTGGCGAACGACCCACACATACGGGTGGGGGGTGGGGGTGCTATATCCCCCCGCGGTATATCAGGCGGCAACACCACTCCCTTTGTAATCACTCGCGGGCGGCGGCTCCGGTAATCACCCGAGATTAGCGAGGCGCAGCGCGTGGGGTTGGTGTGTGGGTGGGTGAGTGGATGTGTGGGTGGGTGTGTGTGGTGGGTGTGTGGGTGGGTGAGTGGGTGGGTGTGTGTGGTGGGTGTGTGAGTGGGTGGGTGGGTGTGTGAGTGGGTGGGTGGGTGTGTGAGTGGGTGGGTGGGTGTGTGAGTGGGTGAGTGGGTGGGTGAGTGGGTGAGTGGGTGGGTGAGTGGGTGAGTGGGTGGTGGAGTGGGTTGGTGAGTGGGTGGGTGGAGTGGGTTGGCGAGTGAGTGGGTGGGTGAGTGGAGTGATGAGTGGAGTGAGTGGGTTGGTGAGTGAGTGGGTTGGTGAGTGAGTGGGTGGGTTGGCGAGTGAGTGGGTGGGTGAGTGGGTGGGTGAGTGAGTGGGTGAGTGGGTGGGTGAGTGGGTTGGTGAGTGGGTGGGTTGGTGGGTGGGTAAGTGGGTGGGTGAGTGGGTGGGTGAGTGGGTGGGTGAGTGGGTGGGTGAGTGGGTGAGTGAGTGGGTGGGTGGGTGAGTGGGTGGGTGGGTGAGTGGGTGGGTGAGTGAGTGGGTGGGTGGGTGAATGGGTGGGTGAGTGAGTGGGTGGGTGAGTGAGTGGGTGGGTGAGTGAGTGGGTGAGTGAGTGGGTGGGTGGATGGGTGAGTGGGTGGGTGGATGGGTGAGTGGGTGGGTGGATGAGTAAGTGGGTGGGTGGATGAGTGAGTGGGTGGGTGGATGAGTGAGTGGGTGGGTGAGTGGGTGGGTGCGTGAGTGGGTGATTGAGTGGGTGGTGGGTGGGTGGGTGAGTGAGTGGGTGGGTGAGTGAGTGGGTGGGTGAGTGGGTGGAGTGGAGTGGGTGGGTTGGTGAGTGGAGTGAGTAGGTTGGCGAGTGGAGTGAGTGAGTGGGTGAGTGGAGTGAGTGGGTGAGTGGGTGGGTGGGTGAGTGGGTGGGTGGGTGAGTGGGTGGGTGGGTGGGTGAGTGGGTGAGTGGGTGGGTGAGTGGGTGAGTGGGTGGGTGAGTGGGTGAGCGGGTGGGTGGGTGGGTGAGTGGGTGAGCGAGTGGGTGGGTGAGTGGAGTGAGTGGGTTGGTGAGTGGAGTGAGTGGGTTGGTGAGTGGAGTGAGTGGGTTGGTGAGTGAGTGAGTGGGTGAGTGAGTGGGTGGGTGAGTGAGTGGGTTGGTGAGTGAGTGGGTGAGTAAACACGGGGGGAGGGGAGGGTGGTGATAGTACGGGGAGATGAAGAGGTGAGGGGTGGGGGGAGATGAAGAGGTGGGGGGGGGGATGAAGAGGTGGGGGGGGAGATGAAGAGGTGGGGGGGAGATGAAGAGGTGGGGGGGGGAGATGAAGAGGTGGGGGGGGGAGATGAAGAGGTGGGGGGGGGGAGATGAAGAGGTGGTGGGGGGGGGGTCCAACCGTCACTTCTGTAACGCGGCAGACCACGGGGCTCCCCGGCTCTCCACACAACAGACTCGGCGTGTCAATCGCGAATAGTAACCCGCGGTCCTCGTCCAGAGGAACGTGGAGTTGACGCGATTACAACCCGCTACCCCCCTCCCCCTACGCCAAATACCACCTGGGAACTATCGAGGCCTCCCCCGTCGGTACCAGCTACCGACCGCGGTCCTGCCTCCCAGGCAAGGCGAGGCGACGTCCGCCACTTATTGAGCCATCGCGTTCAGGCCTCGGCGAGCTGAGCGAGGGCCGCCAATTAACGACCGCGAGCCGGACTCGCCGCCCCCCTCCTCCCCCCGACATAATTACCTTGCTGCAAGCAGGCTTTGAGGCTTTGCACGAGTCGTCGGACGGGAGCTCCCCCGCGAAATCGCCGCTCTGGCCTAGCGACACTGCCGGGAGCCTCGCCTCCTCGCGCGTATGAAAACAAGGCCGCAGAGGGGGGGGGGGTGGTGGGTGGTTGGGTGTGCTTGGTGGTGGTGGTGGTGATGATGAGGTAAGAGATTCGAGGCGATCGGTAGGGACGCGGGAACTTCACGAGGGGAGCGGTGCGCGATAGAAGCGTGGTGTGGGTGGGTGGGGGGCCCTCGTTGAGGCCTCGTGGACCCCAGGAGTAGGCAGCTGCAGCCTCGATTAGCGTGGAGCGGTGGTGGTGGGGGGGGGCGGCACGCCTAAGGGTGCGCGGCGATTTGCGCGGATTGATCCCCTGACGAGGCGGCTTGGCGAATGCGTCCCAGGGTCCGCGGCGATTTGCGTAGCGGGTTCCTGAACAGCGTGGCCGGATGGGAAGATGTGTTTATTGCTGTAGGAATCCGATGAGCTATAAAGCTCTTTTAAAAAAAAATAAGATGTGCTAGGGCACGGCTTTTTCTGAACAGGCCCCGAGTGCACGATGGTCGCTGTGGCGTGGATTTAGGAGACTTATTTTGTGTGTCTATCCTCACTAAAGTCTTATGAGTCTCTTCCAGGAGATGGACCTGCCAGATTGTTTTGCCATGTCGAGGGGCCGCCCATAAATGACGTCACGCGATTTTTGACCCCCCCCTTCCTCGTCACACTGCGTCACAAAAAGTCAGACCCCCCCCCCTCAAATATGACGTCACAAAGCTCTGCCCCCCCTCTCAAAAAAAACATTTCCGTTTTGAAAATAAAACATGCATCAAATCGCTTTAAACTATTGTCATTGTAGTGCGTATTTAACGTGGCGATGCACTCTGATGTTGTAGGAGGAAACATTTATTTTAAAAGTCTATTTAATGAAGTAGAACGTGTTGCCTATATTTATTTAAAGTTGCGCATTTTTACGTGACGTCACATTTCTCAACTCCCCTCCCGCCTCGTCACAAATCGTCACAAATGTCTGACCCCCCCCCCCCCCCTAGGTGCGTGACGTCATTTATGGACGGCCCCAGATTGCAATTGAGCAATCTTCGGGTATATATTTGTTTTCCTTCCAAATGTAGCAAATATGGATTACCCAGTTTCATTTACAGTATTTTGGTGTAGCCCTGTGAGCCATTCGGCTCTTGAATCGGGTGCAACCGCAACAAACAAAAACATGAACAAGAAAAAACATCTTACAGTGACTATGAGCAAACAGAAAAGTCCAGGAAAAAAACAGCAAAAATCTTCCAGAAAAAGCACCGTACACGAACGCTGTGTGCAAAAAAATCCCAGTGGGATGCAAGTCAAACAACAACAACTTCCACAATGAAGCCGACAGCGCGTAGTGTCCTTTTAATGTTTAATACGGCACCGCACTAATAACCGGGGCGGCCGCTGGATTTGAACCGCGAACCTTTGCAACAAGCTGCAAAAGCGCTACCGGTAGGGCCATGTAATGGTGGTTAATTGTAGAGTTTCCGGATTTAAAAAAATACATCACAATGAAAACAAATAATCGTATTTGGCACGTGTAAATACGATATGGGGCAGATTTATTTTTGGCGAATGCCCATTTTCGTTCAGAATCAGAATCAATATTTGGACTGGTCCTTTTTTTTGCCTGTGCGTACACAACGCGTCTGGGACACATTGTTTCCAGCGAGTCGATGCGGTCAAAATTGTATAACCACCATAGATAATTATACTACACTGCCCCCATAAATCACAATATCTGACCATAATTCATCAACCCACGCTGACCAGAGTGGTGTGGGGATAAGCGCGTTGACGTCACAAGTGCTTGAGTCTCGTGGCGTCATTACGCAGAGCCAAATGCCCGTCCGCACGTTGGGTCTTCGAGGCAACGCGGTGACGTCACTCGCCCTTGCCGTCGCAACGTCACCGCGCACAGCACGGTTCCGTGCCACACATTGGGCCTGGAAGCAGCTGTGGTGACGTCACTTCTTCGTGGCGATCCTATATCATTACGCACAGCCAATTTTCTAGTCTGCCCGTTGGGGTGTCGAAGCAGCGTGGTGACGTCACTCGATCTTGGCGTCGTGACGTCACCATGCATAGCAAGGGTTTCCGTGCCGCACATTGAGCCTGGAAGCAGCCGTGATGACATCACTACGGCATTTATGACGTCACTACGCACAGCCAATTTATTTTCCGCGCACGCTCGGCTCTCGGGACAGCGCGGTGACGTCATTCGCTCTTGCCCTCGTGACGTCACCACGCACGGCAACGAATTTCTTGCGCTGCAGCCGCGATGACATCGCGCCGTAGGACATGCGCCGGATGTTAGGGGCCGTCCATAAAGACGTCACGCACCTGGGGGGGGGGGAAGGTCAGACATTTGTGACGATGTGTAACGACAACACGTTCTACTTAATTAAAAATACTTTTAAATAAATATTTTCTCCTACATCAGAGTGCAGCGCCACATTAAATATGCACTACAATGACAATAGTTTAAAGCGATTTGAAGCATATTTTATATATTTTTTGGGGGGAGGGGGCAGAGCTTCGTGACGTCATATTTGGGGGGGGTCTGACTTTTTGTGACGCCGCGTGACGGGGGTGGGGGTCAAAAATCGTCCAAAATCGCGTGACGTCATTATTTACGGACGGCCGCTTATCGCGGCACTTGCCGCCGCGTGGTGACGTAGGCCGCCGCCGCCACGCGGTGACGTCACCCGACGTCGCGTGTAGACGTCTGCGCCGCCTCGTGGTGACGTCACCGCCGCCGCCGCGCGTTGACGTCACCGCGCCCGCGTTCCCCGCGCGGAAAGCGAGAGACACGGCCGGGCAACGTGAACTCGGCAGGCGAAGGCGGCGACATCGACAAGGACGTTGATTATTCCCCTTCAGACAAACAACAACGACCACAACAACAACGACGACGAACTTCGGATTCCGTAAAGTAATCAAGAAGCCTCCCAAGCAGCGATGGACGAAGCGGACGTCGCTGCGCGGACGAGCCACACATTGACGTGAGTGGTAGTGCAGGGAGAAAGGGCGCCCACAGATAGACACCGAGTGGTAGTGCAGGGAGAAAGGGCGCCTACAGATAGACACAGTGGTAGTGCAGGGAGAAAGGGCGCCCGCAGATAGACACTGAGTGGTAGTGCAGGGAGAAAGGGCGCCCGCAGATAGACGCTGAGTGGTAGTGCAGGGAGAAAGGGCGCCCACAGATAGACACCGAGTGGTAGTGCAGGGAGAAAGGGCGCCTACAGATAGACACAGTGGTAGTGCAGGGAGAAAGGGCGCCCGCAGATAGACACTGAGTGGTAGTGCAGGGAGAAAGGGCGCCCGCAGATAGACGCTGAGTGGTAGTGCAGGGAGAAAGGGCGCCTACCGATAGACACTGAGTGGTAGTGCAGGGAGAAAGGGCGCCCACAGATAGACGCTGAGTGGTAGTGCAGGGAGAAATGGCGCTCACAGATAGACACCGAGTGGTAGTGCAGGGAGAAAGGGCGCCCACAGATAGACACTGAGTGGTAGTGCAGGGAGAAAGGGCGCCCACAGATAGACGCTGAGTGGTAGTGCAGGGAGAAAGGGCGCTCACTGATAGACGATGAGTGGTAGTGCAGGGAGAAAGGGCGCCTACCGATAGACGCTGAGTGGTAGTGCAGGGAGAAAGGGCGCCCACACATTAACGTGAGTGATAGTGCTGGGAGAAAGGGCGCCCACAGATAGACACTGAGTGGTAGTGCAGGGAGAAAGGGCGCCCACAGATAGACACTGAGTGGTAGTGCAGGGAGAAAGGGCGCCCACAGATAGACGCTGAGTGGTAGTGCAGGGAGAAAGGGCGCCCACAGATAGACACTGAGTGGTAGTGCAGGGAGAAAGGGCGCTCACCGATAGACACAGTGGTAGTGCAGGGAGAAAGGGCGCCCACAGATAGACACAGTGGTAGTGCAGGGAGAAAGGGCGCCCACAGATAGACGCTTAGTGGTAGTGCAGGGAGAAAGGGCGCTCACAGATAGACGCTGAGTGGTAGTGCAGGGAGAAAGGGCGCCTACCGATAGATACTGAGTGGTAGTGCAGGGAGAAAGGGCGCCTACCGATAGACACTGAGTGGTAGTGCAGGGAGAAAGGGCGCCCGCCGATAGACGCTGACTGGTAGTGCAGGGAGAAAGGGCGCCCGCAGATAGACGCTGAGTGGTAGTGCAGGGAGAAAGGGCGCCTACCGATAGACACTGAGTGGTAGTGCAGGGAGAAAGGGCGCCCACACATTGATGTGAGTGGTAGTGCAGGGAGAAAGGGCGCCCACAGATAGACGCTGAGTGGTAGTGCAGGGAGAAAGGGCGCTCACCTGAAAAATAACCTCAGTGGGCTTTGCCTGGTAGGATAGGGATGTTTTAGTGTTGTGTTTATGTTTGGGTGATTTGTTTACCGCTTGTACTTTGCAACTGCCATAGTTGTGTTTTAAATTGTTCGTTGTAACGTTCTTACCCGCGAAAAAGAGGACTTTATAGCTCATCGGATTCATCCAGCACAGTATAAATAGAGATTCTGATGATTCTCTGATGTTTCTCTCATACCGTGTCGATCCATATGGTTTAGTCTGTATTCTTGTACAGGGAAGTTGAGTTTTCAGGTCCATACGGCATACAGCCGTTTCAATAGGGGCAAAAATATATTTTTGGTCTCTTTGTGTTTCTCCCTTGTGATGGGACTTTGTAGGATGAACGTCGAGATTTATAAGGGGCACGGGGGGTGACCAATAAGATCTGAGTTGGTCTGTAATAAGGTAGGGCACTGATAAGGGGTTGATAGGTATGTAGTGGTGAGTGTAGTAATGAGTGTACTAGTGGTGAGTGTACTAGTGGTTATTGTGTATTTGTTTGTGTTTGTCCCTTGCGATGGGACTTTGAAGGATGAACGTCGAGATTTATAAGGGGCACGGGGGGTGACCAATAAGATCTGAGTTGGTCTGTAATAAGGTAGGACACTGATAAGGGGTTGACAGGTTTGTAGTAATGAGTGTAGTAATGAGTGTACTAGTGGTGAGTGTACTACTGGTTATTGTGTATTTGTTTGTGTTTCTCCCTTGTGATGGGACTTTGTAGGATGAACGTCGAGATTTATAAGGGGCACGGGGGGGGTGACCAATAAGTTCTGAGTTGGTCTGTAATAAGGTAGGGCACTGATAAGGGGTTGACAGGTTTGTAGTGGTGAGTGTAGTAATGAGTGTACTAGTGGTGAGTGTACTAGTGGTTATTGTGTATTTGTTTGTGTTTGTCCCTTGCGATGGGACTTTGAAGGATGAACGTCGAGATTTATAAGGGGCACGGGGGGTGACCAATAAGATCTGAGTTGGTCTGTAATAAGGTAGGACACTGATAAGGGGTTGACAGGTTTGTAGTAATGAGTGTAGTAATGAGTGTACTAGTGGTGAGTGTACTACTGGTTATTGTGTATTTGTTTGTGTTTCTCCCTTGTGATGGGACTTTGTAGGATGAACGTCGAGATTTATAAGGGGCACGGGGGGTGACCAATAAGTTCTGAGTTGGTCTGTAATATGGTAGGGCACTGATAAGGGGTTGACAGGTTTGTAGTGGTGAGTGTAGTAATGAGTGTACTAGTGGTGAGTGTACTACTGGTTATTGTGTATTTTTTGTGTTTCTTCCTTGTGATGGGACTTTGTAGGATGAACGTCGAGATTTATAAGGGGCACGGGGGGGGGGGGGTGACCAATAAGATCTGAGTTGGTCTGTAATAAGGTAGGGCACTGATAAGGGGTTGACAGGTATGTAGTGGTGAGTGTAGTAATGAGTGTACTAGTGGTGAGTGTACTAGTGGTTATTGTGTATTTGTTTGTGTTTCTCCCTTGCGATGGGACTTTGTAGGATGAACGTCGAGATTTATAAGGGGCACGGGGGGGGGGGTGACCAATAAGATCTGAGTTGGTCTGTAATAAGGTAGGGCACTGATAAGGGGTTGATAGGTATGTAGTGGTGAGTGTAGTAATGAGTGTACTAGTGGTGAGTGTACTACTGGTTATTGTGTATTTGTTTGTGTTTGTCCCTTGCGATGGGACTTTGTAGGATGAACGTCGAGATTTATAAGGGGCACGGGGGGGGGTGACCAATAAGATCTGAGTTGGTCTGTAATAAGGTAGGGGGGGGGGGCACTGACAAGGGGTTGACAGGCATCCTCTCTGGGCTCTGGATGTTTTGTCCGCAGCACGTGGGAGCTGGTGTCGGCCCGCTCCCGCTGCCACCGCCTGCCGCAGCGAGCCCACGGCCAGAAAGACTTCAGCCCAGACGGCTCGGCGGCTCAGAGGGATCGGCTGCAGCGCTGCATGGAGGAGCACTGGCAGCTGATGGGCGAGGAGCGCGTGGAGCGACTGTACGTCCCAGCCAGGGCCAATGCCGATAGCCGCCGTTCGCCACTAAGTGACGGCACCTGTGCCAGGAGCCAGGTGCTCGTTGGGGCCATCGCGTGAAGTTGTCGAGGGCTCGCTGACAGGAGGAGGTCGCGGGGACAGACCCAGCGGGGTGCCATGGGTTGGCCGACTGAGATGACCACTGGTAGATGCACCACCAGCTGTACCCCCCCCCTACTGTGCCAGGCTAGGTGCAGGAGGGGGTCTCGGGACAGACCCAGCAGGTGCCATGGGTTGGCTGACTGAGATGACCGCTGGTAGATGCACCATCAGCTGTACCCCCCCCCTACTGTGCCAGGCTAGGTGCAGGAGGGGGTCTCGGGACAGACCCAGCTGGTGCCATGGGTTGGCCGACTGAGATGACCACTGGTAGATGCACCACCAGCTGTACCCCCCCCCTACTGTGCCAGGCTAGGTGCAGGAGGAGGTCACGGGGACAGACCCAGCGGGTGCCATGGGTTGGCCGACTGAGATGACCACTGGTAGATGCACCACCAGCTGTACCCCCCCCCCCCCCTACTGTGCCAGGCTAGGTGCAGGAGGGGGTCTCGGGACAGACCCAGCTGGTGCCATGGGTTGGCTGACTGAGATGACCACTGGTAGATGCACCACCAGCTGTACCCCCCCCCCCCCCTACTGTGCCAGGCTAGGTGCAGGAGGGGGTCTCGGGACAGACCCAGCAGGTGCCATGGGTTGGCCGACTGAGATGACCACTGGTAGATGCACCACCAGCTGTACCCCCTACTGTGCCAGGCTAGGTGCAGGAGCTCACGGGTCAGACCCAGCGGGGTGCCATTGTTTGGCCGACTGAGATGACCACTGGTAGATGCACCACCAGCTGTACCCCCCTACTGTGCCAGGCTAGGTGCAGGAGGAGGTCACGGGGACAGACCCAGCAGGTGCCATGGGTTGGCTGACTGAGATGACCGCTTGTAGATGCACCACCAGCTGTACCCCCTACTGTGCCAGGCTAGGTGCAGGAGGTCACGGGACAGACCCAGCAGGTGCCATGGGTTGGCTGACTGAGATGACCACTGGTAGATGCACCACCAGCTGTACCCCCCTACTGTGCCAGGCTAGGTGCAGGAGGTCACGGGACAGACCCAGCAGGTGCCATGGGTTGGCTGACTGAGATGACCACTGGTAGATGCACCACCAGCTGTACCCCCCACTGTGCCAGACAAGGCTACCACAGTAGATTCCCACAGTGCCCACAGATTAACATTCCCATTGAGTAAATGTCACCAAATGAAGTAGAACCCCCCTCTTAACGACTGTTATTGACTGTTCCACGTAACCAGTCGTTAAGCGATCTGGTCTTCAAAGCAAGTATAGGAAACGCACGTTAAAGGCGTTCCGCTAGCATAGAAAGTCACCATTTTCACCCAAAAAACAATTACTTTAGAATTATTTAAACAATGGATGTGAATACACAAAGATGCTAACAACATGAAACACATACTATGAAAAGAAACATGGTTAATCAATGCATTCATTAATCATAATAAAGGTTTTTGGGTTAGATCAATATAAATGTGTCGTAACCCACCATCCAACACAGCCAGTAAGGGATTTACATCATGAGGCCTCCTTTGCCAGTAGCAAAATATAATAATAGGTTTTTGACCCTTTTTTCTGGCAACAAAACTGACACCTTTTTTCAAGGACTCACGTTCTGCATTAACCACATCGCTTGTGGTCAGAATGCAAACAAAAACACACACTCTGATAATGTATGTGGCATTGTCCTTGAAATTGATTGGTCCACACCAGAGACAGCTTTTTATTAAAGCCCAGTCTCACATGGTGTTGGACCAGATGACGCCAAAAGGCACACGATTAATGATCAATGCAAACATGATGCCTTGAAAAAAGGTGTCAGCTTTGTTGCCAGAAAATATGGTAAAAAAAACCTATTGTTATTGCAAGAGATTTGTCGTGTAAACAAAACGCGCCAATTAGTTACCACTTCAGCCCACCGGTGTGTTGGAGAGTAAATCCACAACAGTGTGCACAACAGTTTTCATATGGCATTTGGTCCTTTTATATAATGAATGTACGGCGTTACGGGATGCTATTAGCATGAATGACGCGATATAAAACGAGAGTTTATTATATTGGGCGGCAGGATGGGTGCGTTGGTAACTCTCGTGACTCACAGCAAGAGGGGTCCACATTCCCAGCCCGAGTGCCTTTGCGCGTGGAGTTTGTGTGTTCTGTTCCGCACGGAAATTCATCCTGCTTTCCTGTGTTGACGACGATGATAAGGATTGTTGCGATGATGATGATGATGATGGAGGAGGAGGTGGTGGTAATGAAGATTCTAATTACGGCGGCGATAATAATGATTCTGACGTTGGTGGCGACGACGATGACGACGTTGAGCTGCAAGCTGTATTGTGCTGTGCAACAGGGGGAATCTGGTGCAGACCGAATGGATTGCGGAAGAAGAGAAGGTGGAGTTGAAGTCTAAGCCCGTGAGTTGAGGCCCGTAGTGAGCGTTCATGAGCCTATCGCTTCGAACTTTCGCCCCGTGTACAGAGATCCACGCGAACAGCAGAAGCTCTCTCATCTGGCACTTCGCCCGTACGGGAATGCCCTCGTTCACCGGCATCTGGTCGTAGGCGGCGATGCAAATTTTCCTTTGCAAACGCGGACAAAGCTCCGGCAGCCATCCGGCGTCTTCTCGTGCCGTGCGTTGATCGTAGATCCGTCGTCGTTGCTGTTTGCGGGAGCCTCGGGGCGCTGATGCCGAGTGGTGGCGCTCGCGGGAGTCTGTGCGCAACAGCACTGTACTACTGTATACAGTACTGTACTACTGTACACTGTACAGCAGAACCCCTCTTAGCGACCACCCCTGTTAACGACGAATCGCTTACCGACGGGTCTCCATAGAGCCCAATGTGTAGTGTGTAGTGTATGGTAGTGTATAGTGTAGTGTATAGTAGCGTATGGTGTAGTATATAGTGTAGTGTATAGTAGTATAGTAGTGTCGTGTATGGTAGTGTATAGTGTAGTGAATGGTTATCGTATGGTGTAGTGTATAGTAGTATAGTAGTGTCGTGTATGGTAGTGTAGTGTATGGTAGTGTAGTGTATAGTAGTTTAGTGTATTGTAGTGTATAGTGTAGTGTATAGTCGTGTATGGTAGTGCAGTGTATCGTGTAGTGTATAGTAGTATAGTAGTGTATAGTAGTGTCGTGTATGGTAGTGTATAGTGTAGTGTATGGTAGTGTAGTGTATAGTAGTGTAGTGTATAGTCGTGTATGGTAGTGCAGTGTATAGTAGTGTAGTATATAGTAGTGTAGTGTATAGTGTATTGTAGTGTAGTGTATAGTAGTGTAGTGTAGTATATAGTGTAGTGTATAGTAGTGTAGTATATAGTAGTGTAGTGTAGTATATAGTGTAGTGTATAGTAGTGTATAGTGTAGTGTATAGTAGTGTAGTGTATAGTAGTGTATAGTAATGTATAGTAGTGTAGTGTATAGTGGAGTGTATAGTAGTGTATAGTAGTGTAGTGTATAGTAGTGTAGTGTATAGTCGTGTTTTAGTAGTGTAGTGTTATAGTAGTGTAGTGTATAGTAGTGTAGTGTATAGTGTAGTATATAGTGTAGTGTATAGTAGTGTATAGTAGTATAGTGTAGTGTATAGTAGTGTAGTGTATAGTAGTGTAAAGTGTAGTGTATAGTGTAGTGTATATCAGTGTAGTGTATAGTGTAGTGTATAGTAGTGTAGTGTATTTTAGTGTAGTGTGTAGTGTAGTAGTGTAGTGTAGTATATAGTGTAGTGTATAGTAGTGTAGTGTATAGTAGTGTAGTGTATAGTAGTGTAGTGTGTAGTGTAGTGTGTAGTGTATAGTAGTGTAGTGTATAGTGTAGTAGTGTAGTATATAGTGTATATATTGTAGTGCCTCCATAGAGCCCAATATGTTTGTTTACCGACCATTCCCCTGTTAACGACGGGCTGTTGAAAGTACAGTAAAAATGAATGCATTTATTAACCACGTTTCTTTTACTATTATGCGTTTATAATGTTGTTAGTATCTTTATGTATTTATATCCATTGTTTAAATATTATACAGTACGTTTTTGGGGTGAAAAAGGGGTAACTTTCGATGCTATCGGAACGAATTGAGCCTTTGACGTGTATTTCCCGTACTCGCTTTCCAACCATATCAATTAATCACCGGTTTGGTGGAACCAATTACCGCTTCTCTACAATCGACTTAGAGTGCTCTACAACTAAGTTTATTAATTCTCAGATCATAGTTAAAATGTAGGCTTTCGTTTCTCGAAAAGTATTTTAGATTCGGTGAACGATAATTATGACTCTCAGATAACCGGCATATTTGAACAGCCGGCACCATCCATTCCTCATGGATGTCGGATAACAGAGGTTGTGCTATAATTGTGTTTTATAAATTTGGTTAAATTAGCCTTCATATATTTGTTACAGAGAGCCCTGCCAGGTTTCCACCGTCGGGGGTGGGGGGGGGGGTGATGCTTACTTTGTAGATGCCAATTGAGTAATTTGCGGATATTTTTGGGGGGAATATTGGCAAACATTTGGAACCATTCACAATTATTTGTATAACAATCCATGGTGAAATACAGTCACATAGCAGTGTTTCGAATATCAAGTTGATTCTGTGTAACCAGATGGGAACTTAGGAGACCAGGATAGAGTCCAATTTGTGTGGTGGGTGGGTGGGTGGCTGATTGCTTCGATGTGTGAATGCGTGTGCGAGTAGATGTGTGGGTGGGTGGGTGAGTGGCTGAGTCAGTAGGTGAGTGGATTCGTGAGTGAGATGGTGAGAGAGATGACGAGCGAGCGAGCGAGTGAGTTTTTCAACAGCTCAAGAGACCAGGATAGAATCATTTGCAAGAGGGACCTGGGTGACCAAAATTGCAAATAAAAGAAAACAAAGAACACAGAAAATAAGTGAAGCAATCGTAGCAAAAACAAACAAAAAAAAACACTGTCACAACGAGGAATCCTAAAGCAAAATATTTACATTCCCTGCAGAGCAAGATCGGCTCCGGGGGAGGTGGACGGGAACTCAAGTTTGCATGAGTTTAACCCGAACGACTCCCTCCCTCCCCTCCCCTCCCGCGCAGGGCAAGTTCTGGCAGACGATGGGCCACATGGTGAACGGCAGGCAGCTGCTGTACCCAGAGGAGGCCCTCTACCTCCTAGAGTGTGTGAGTGAGCGGTCGCGGGTCCGCCGGATTGTAGCCGCGGCGTCTCGGAGCTTCGCGGTGTTCCACGGCCGTCGTGTTTCACGCTCCCACGGACGTCGTGTTTCACGCTCCCACGGCCGTCGTGTTTCACGCTCCCACGGACGTCGTGTTTCACGCTCCCACGGACGTCGTGTTTCACGCTCCCACCGGTGTTTCATCGCCTACCGTGCGGCCTGCCTCCGAAATGCGCCGCCGTTTTTTGTTTCGTTTGTGTGCGGGTTTCCTCCGGCTTCTCGTGACTCACCACTGCCATCACCACCACCACTACCATCACCACCACCACTACTACCACTACTACTACCACTACTACCACCACCACTACCACCACTACTACTACCACTACCACCACCACTACTACTACCACCACCACCACTACTACCACCACTACCACCACCACTACTACTACCACCACCACCACTACTACCACCACTACTACGACCACCACTACCACTACTACCACCACTACTACTACTACTACCACCACTACCACCACTACTACCACCACCACTACTACCACCACTACTACCACCACTACTACCACCACTACTACCACCACTACCACCACTACTACCACCACTACCACCACTACCACCACTACTACCACTACTACCACCACTACTACCACTACTACCACCACCACTACTACTACTACTACCACTACTACTACCACCACTACCACCACTACTACTACCACCACCACTACCACCACCACTACTACTACCACCACCACCACTACTACCACCACTACCACCACCACTACTACCACTACTACCACCACTACCACCACTACCACCACTACTACCACCACTACCACCACTACTACCACTACTACCACCACCACTACCACCACCACTACCACCACTACCACCACTACTACCACTACTACCACTACTACCATCACCACTACCACCACTACTACCACTACTACCACTACTATCACCACTACCACCACTACTACCACTACTATCACTACTACTACCACTACTACTACCACCACTACCACCACTCCTACTACCACCACTACTACCACCACCACTACTACCACCACCACTACCACCACTACTACTACTACCACCACTACTACCACCACCACTACTACTGCTACCACTACTACCACTACTACTATCACCACCACTACTACCACCACCACTACTACTACCACCACTACTACCACTACTACCACCACTACTACCTCCACTATCACTACTACCACTACCACCACTACCACCACCACCACTACTACCACCACTACTACCACTACTACCACCACTACCACCACTACTACCACCACTACCACCACTACTACCACCACTACCACCACTACTACCACCACTACTACCACCACTACCACCACCACTACCACCACTACTACCACTACTACCACCACTACTACTACTACCACCACTACTACCACTACTACCACTACCACCACTACTACCACCACTACCACCACCACTACCACCACCACTACCACCACCACTACCACCACTACTACTACTACCACCACTACTACCACTACTACTACTACCACCACCACTACCACCACTACTACCCTCACCACTACCACTACTACTACCACTACTACCACTACCATCACCACTACCATCACCACTACCATCACCACTACCACCACTACCATCACCACTACCACCACTACCACCACCACTACCATCACCACGCGCTGTTATTCCGCGTTTACCGATTTACTCTTTCCCAATCAAATAGAAATTAACTCGTTCCACCCTCCTCCTCTCTGACTTATTTAATTGCCCTAACCCTGGTTTCTCTCGCACTATAGTAAACATTTCCTTGCTGTGGAAGGAAATGTTTACTATATTGTCTTTGAGCTGTACGCCTTTTGGCGTCATCTGGTCGAGCACCAATTGGGTCGAGGCTCAAAAGAAAGCCGTCCCTTGGTGTGGACCAATCAGTTTCAAGGACAATGCCACATATATTATCATAGTATGTTTTTTGTTTGCATTTTGACTGCAGGCATTGTGGTTAATGCAGTAAACATGAATCCTTGTAAAAAAAAAAGGTTTCGTGTTTTGTTGCCAGAAAAAAAAGGGGAAAACCCCTATTCTTATTACATTTTGGTACTGGCAAAGGAGGCCTCATGATGACTTTCCATCTCGTTTGCGCGCAGGGCTCCATCGAGTTGAGGGTGCGAGGCCTTCCGCTGTCCATACAGGAGGGCCATGAGCTGGCCCTCGCTACCGAAGGCCTCTCGCTACACCAGTATCAGGTGCGTCACAAACCCCGGTGATCGTCGCTCGGCGCGCGTGTGGTTTAACCGAAGCCGCGTACTTTGAAATCACGGCCGATGTTACCATTCGCGGCCGAATATTTTTAAAAAAAAATTTTAAACCTAAAGCCGCGTTGTAGCGATCCGGCGTCAAATTACCACTTACAAAGTGGTACCTATTTTAACACACTCGGAGGGATGATGGGACCGAGTCAACCCCCAACGTGGATTTGAACCCGGCGAGCCCCCGATTGCGAGCCGCTCGCTCTTGCTGATAGGTAGCCACCTGGCCCGGATCTGTTGGAAAAGGATCCAGAGTGATTTGTACGTGTGTATGTATGTTGAACATTGCTTGGCACCCGTACGTAGCCAACCGCGGTAATCGGAGGTGCCGGGGGAAGTACAACAAACTAGATTTCAAAGTGTATTCCTCCCAGTGGCTTCCGAATATTAGCATGAAGAGCCTACTGGGCAATAAAGTAAAAGCTTGGATCGCGAGTAACTTGGTCTGCGAGCGTTTTGCAAGACGAGCAAACATTTTCTTGGTTCTGTCGCTAAAGTCACGTAGAATGGAAACAAAGTAATACAAATAAAACATAATAAAATAAAATTCTCACGACGTTTCGGCCACAACACAAGTAGCCTTCTTCAGGTGAAGGAACAGAACTGTCGGGACGACAGCGCTTCAATGAACGCCGCTAATATTCGTAGCGTATTTTAAGCTAGGTGAGAAAGGGGTTTACAAATCAAACAGGATAATTTAGCATTGAAATAGCTGAGTGATTAGCTTGTGACTGGTCACAGAAATAGCTATGTTAAAGTCAAAGTTTACATATCAACAGAGGCATTTAGTATATGGATGCTAAAAGGCTGCAACTACCCAACTATCATACGGTAAACCGATGTGAAAAAACTAAGTATAAATTACATCAATATAATAAATGTACTCAATATATTCTTCAATAAGCTGAGCTATTAACACAAATCAACTGGGTATACACTACACTATATAATGAATACCGTATAGTAAACCAATAAAAAACTAAAATATAAACTACCTCAATGTTATCAATAGACTCTGTCCAATCAGTTGAGGTAGTGTATAATTTGTTTCCATTCTACGTGGTGACTTTACCGAAAGAACCAACAAGATGAATCCCTGCAGTCACGAAAGCTTTAAATCGAGAGCTAACATTTGTAAGTAAATATTAATTTGATAAACGAGCGAGGGTCTTGCGATACGAGTAGTAGTACGTGTACACGCTTTGTACTGCCGAGCATCACGTGATCACAGCTGATGTACGAGTGCTTTGATATACGAGTGCTTTGGATTACAAACACGCTTCCGGAACGAATTATGCTCGCGATCCAAGGTGTTACTGTATAGCCTCTTTTTTCAGAAGCGAGCTGGCTATCACAAATGATAGCTCAACGAAGTGGCTTATCACCATGTGGAAATTTATAACGGTAGCCAAATAACTCTACATGTGGAGGGGAAATAAGGGGAAAAGTCCACGCGACCACGGAGAGAGAGACACGCAAACTCCAAATAGACAGCAGCAGGCGTCAGTGTCGGGATCGAACCCACGACCTCCTGTACACCAGGCGAGGTAGTTAACATCTCCTAGCCACCGTGATGATGATGAGAGAGAGAGAGACACGCAAACTCCAAATATACAGCAGGCGTCAGGGTCGGGATTCAACCCACAACCTCCTGTATACCGGGCGAGGTAGTTAACATCTCCTAGCCACCGTGATGATGATGAGAGAGAGAGAGACACGCAAACTCCAAATATACAGCAGGCGTCAGGGTCGGGATTCAACCCACAACCTCCTGTATACCGGGCGAGGTAGTTAACATCTCATAGCCACCGTGATGATGATGAGAGAGAGACACGCAAACTCCAAATATACAGCAGCAGGCATCAGGGTCGGGATTGAACCCACGACCTCCTGTACACCAGGCGAGGTAGTCAACATCTCCTAGCCACCGTGATGATGATGAGAGAGAGAGACACGCAAACTCCAAATATACAGCAGGAGGCGTCAGGATCGGGATTGAACCCACGACCTCCTGTACACCAGGCGAGGTAGTCGACATCTCCGAGCCACCGTGGCACCCCAATCATTAATTTTTAATATGAAGGTCACCGAGGTGGAGATTCTGCCTGCTAACTTGGCCGTGAGTGCTAACACCGGCTGCCCCCCTGTGTCTACCCCCCACCCACCAATCCCCCCTGCAGGTGTACGCCCATCTCAAGAGGCTGGGCTATGTGGTCACGCGCTTCAGACCCGAGTGAGTGAGCGTGCTATTACGAATGAGATGCACGTGTGTACGTTGAACTCATTTGGCACCGTACCTCTACCAACAGTGCAAATGCTGGTGTGTGTAGTACACGTCGTGTGTGTCCATGCGTGTGTGTGGTGGTGCCGGCGTGGGGAGTGCTTAGCGCTCTGCACTACAAACCCGGCGACCTGAGAGCTCGACGATTATCTGAACCGAACCTAGGTCTCCCCCAGGTCGACCCGGGCTCAAGTGAATATCTGGTGCTGCGTGTAAAAACATCACCACTGGGGAGACAAAGGCAGCCGGGCGTGGTGTTGACAACCCCCCCCTCCCCCCCCCGCCCACTTCGCGTCCCGTGCCGGCCTCCCTAAGTGCAGCTCGCTAACAGCCCTTGCCCTAACAGTCTATTCAAGGCTATGCGGGGGACCCATGTCTGGGCGGTGCTGGTGCTTGTGCAGGAACGTCGCAGCGAGGAATGAGCGGCAGCCGAGCGAGCCGGCCTCCCGGGGAGAGAAACGGCGCACGTGCGGCGGCGAACACGCAGGGTGAGTGGCGCGTACACGCTGGCGCGTACACGCTGGCGCGTACACGCTGGCGCGTACACGCTGGCGCGTACACGCTGGCGCGTACACGCTGGCGCGTACACGCTGGCGCGTACACGCTGGCGCGTACACGCTGGGGCGTACACGCTGGCGCGTACACGCTGGCGCGTACACGCTGGCGCGTACACGCTGGCGCGTACACGCTGGGGTGCTGCGTGTCGTCGTTTGACACGCGGGCCTCCGTTGTGTTTTTTTCCACCGCACACCGAAGCCGTGCCAAGCCGGCCCAGCTTCAAGGAGGAGCCCCCCGGGCTTCGGTTTTTTTTCCCCCCCACTGCAGAAGCCGATCCGTGCCGCTGTCGTCGCGACGCGGTGAACGAGCGTAGACGCGCGTGGCTGACGCGGCGATGCCGCGTACCGGCAGCGTGTACCGGCTGACGTCACGTGAGTGGCCACCGACGTCCTCGTCCGCCGCCGGGCCGACCTTAGTGGGCTCTCGTTAACAGCACTTGCCCCTGCAAGATGTTGACAGCAGCATAGTGTTTAAAAGTATTTAAAAAAAAAAAAACTATCTTTTACTTTTTTATTTCACCGGGCAAGGCCCCCACCGAGCTACGTGGCTCTTCTTCTGAAGCGGCCTGGCCATCGCAAATGATAGCTCAACGAAGCGGCTTGTTCATCGTCGTGTGCTAATTCACAGCAGCGGGCAAAAACTGTTTTTTTTTTTTAACACGTGACGTCGATTCTAAATGTGGAGGTCAAAAAACCGGAGGGACCCGGTAAACCTCGCGGCTCGTGGATCATTTGACCGAGTTCCCGTGGGCAACGCAGGGCGGACAGCAAGAGAGAGCGCCGCGACGCCGACGACGACGCCGACGCCGGCGCCGGCGCTCACCGGCACCCGCGCGCGGAGGAGCCCGCCGCCGGCTCTTCACCGGCGCCGGCAGAGGGGGAGCAACTGGCGGCACGCGCGGAGACGCCGACTCCCTGCCGGGGCTTCGGCTTCTCCCCGGCCTTGCCGCCGCCGCCGCCGGCGTCGTCGCCGCCGCCGCCGCGGTCGGGGTCGCGGGGCGCGGTGGACGGGGGCCACAGTCCGCGGCCGCTACTGCCGCTGGGACTTCGGGCTCGCGCGGTTCCCGAACGTGGCTCGCGACGACTGCCGGACGAGCCTGCGGGAGCCGCCCGGCCACCTGCTGCCGCCGGGGACCGCCGGGCGCCGGGCCGACGAGGGCCGCTGGGCGGGACGGATCAATCTGCGCAGAGAGAGGTCGGCGGCGATGGCGGCGGCGTCGGCCGTGGCTGACGGCGGAGAGGATCTCGGCAGCGTCTGTAGCAGCGTAGGCAGTATCAGCGGCGGCAGCAGCAGCAGCAGCAGTTGCATCAGAAGTGGAAGCAGTTTTAGTGGCAGTGGGTTTAGTTTGTTGTCCTTCCCCCGCACCTCCGATCAGCACGGGTGGCTAAGTTACGGTGCGTTAAAAGAAGTTCGACGTACATAGGTACAGCCACAGCAGTAGTGACTAGGGTCGTAGCCGCAGCAGTAGTTGTAGCAGTCAAGCAACAGCGACGCCGGTTGCAGTAGCAAGCGGATGCTTTAGCAGTCGCGTCAGCAGGAGGAAGATGTCACGGTGAGGGTCAGAGGCGACCGACTTGTTCGGAGGGCAGAGCGCTGAACCCGGTACAGCGACCATTAGTAACGCCGGGTTCTCAAATCCAGTTTATGGTGTCGGCCCGGTCACCAGTGGCTCGCATGGAGATCCATAGACTTACGCAGAGACCCGTAGACTTAGATAGAGACCCGTAGATTTACATAGAGACCCGTAGACTTAGATAGAGACCCGTAGACTTACATAGAGACCCGTAGACTTACACAGAGACCCGTAGACTTAGATAGAGACCCGTAGATTTACATAGAGACCCGTAGACTTAGATAGAGACCCGTAGACTTACATAGAGACCCGTAGACTTACACAGAGACCCGTAGACTTAGATAGAGACCCGTAGATTTACATAGAGACCCGTAGACTTAGATAGAGACCCGTAGATTTACATAGAGACCCGTAGACTTAGAGACCCGTAGATTTACATAGAGACCCGTAGAATTACATAGAGACCCGTAGACTTAGATAAGAGACCCGTAGACTTACACAGAGACCCGTAGACTTAGATAGAGACCCGTAGACTTACACAGAAACCCGTAGACTTAGATAGAGACCCGTAGATTTACATAGAGACCCGTAGACTTACATAGAGACCCATGGCCTTGCATAGACTGAGTTGTGATTAAGCCGGGTTTCTCAAGTGTTGTGAATTGATGGTCACAAATGGATGTGCAAAACAAACCGATGACACGTTCTGCGCTTAGTTTGGCAAATCCCATGAGCGTTTTGACTGTGACGTGACGAGCGTTACTCTCTGTAGCAGAGTGGATGACAAACGGCTGCCCCCCCCCCCCCCGACTCCCCCACCCATTCTCATGGGACCTCGGGAGCAGTTCTTTGATATCCGCTTCCACGGGCTATTCTCTTGACACAGAATTAAAAATAATCACAGCGTCATTGTGCGGAATGCAAATGACAGCGATGGCAGACGAAGTCGCCTTCACATATCTCTGTCTGATGCACTCGATGCTGCCGAAATTATTTTGAATAAAATAATTGAATAGAAAATATCTTCTTTGGTTCTTTCGGTAAAGTCACGTAGAATGAGAATAAAATAATAAATTGATAAAATAAAATAACACAATAATTTTATTTTATCAATTTATTATTTTATTCTCATTCTACATGACTTTACCGAAAGAACCAAAGAAGATGAATCATTGCAGTCACGAAAGCTTTAAATCGAAATTGAATAGAAAATAATTCGAATAGAATAATTTGCCGATGAAACGCCGAACCGCTCGCGCGTTCCAACGTTCAGCGGTGAACAGGGACTCCCCCCCCCTCCCCTCCCCCCCTCCCCTGCAACTCGCAGAACGTTTCGGAAATGTGGGAAAGAAGCAGCGGGTTAACGTCTCGCCACCAGGAATCACGGCTGGCACCACGAGGAGCACAACCCGCACCGCCGCTGGGACGTGGACCGCGACCCGGAGGCGCGCCACTGCCGAGACTGGGGCGACTTCAAGCGGCTGCTGCTGGCGCGACGGCACGGCCGGCGGGGGCCACCGCGCGGGGACCCCGTCGAGCCGCTGACCAATCCGGCGGCGGCGGCGGCGGCGCGCAGCACGGGTGAGGAGCACGTCGGCAGCGCGCTTTGGGCCCCGCCCGGGATGCGTGCGGTGGACCTCGGGCGAAACCCGAGGTCGACCGTCGCGTCCGCGCAGGGTCCACCCGTCGGCGCGACGGGGGCGATGCCCGCGGCCCTTTACCGAGCCCGTCCACGGAGCGCCGTTGCCGCGGTCACGCTGGCCACTGAGCGCGGAGGGAGGGCGGCCGCGGCCGGCGCGAAGCCTGTCGAGCAGGGCCCGTGACCCTTCACGACAAGAACGATGCAAATTTCAACTTGGAACGCGACGCACACGCGCAGTGTTCGCTCAAGTAGAGAGGGGAGAGAGAGAGAGAGAGGACGACTCGGAGGCGCCAGTAGGAGGAACCACAGACGGGGAAGTGGGGAGATCAGCAGCCACGCGGTGGTCATTCGGCGGCAGCGGTTACCTGAGCTCCGCGGTCCTCTATGTATCGAGGTTGTCATCGGCCGGTTAACGATGAGCGATTTACGTGCGGGTTGAAACTGGGGTGCCAGGAGAAAATCCGCGTGTGCGAGGGGGGAAACGGTCTATCCCGCACAGACAGGGACAGGTACTATGCTACCTCGACATACGTGGGGAAGGGAAGTTACACGGCATTTGTGCGATCCACCAACCCTTACGTCCTCCGTGACAGGCGTGCGCCCCCACCACCACCACCACCACCATCTCCACCACCCATCAACTTACACCCATTCACCACTACCACATCTACCATTACCACAACCAGCACTGCCATCTCCGCCACCACACAAAGGCAAAGATACCCCCCTCCCCCCCCCCCCCCCCCCGCAATAGCCTTAATGTTAAACGCTCGCAATACAGGGCGCTTAAAAAAAAAGATGTTAACACTTCCGATAATTTGCACAAATGGCACGAGAAATGTTCCTCCAGGCATTGGTGTTGACGAAGATAGCGAACGAGTGGGATACTTGTTGACGTTTTAAAGCTATTAACATTACACTTGTCACCATGTTACAGTGTATCCTATCCGTTCTTTCACCATTAAAAAAACTATAGTCACATCTCGGTGTTAAAACTATTTTTGAAGCACCCATGTATAGGCGTGCGGCTACGTACATATACATATGTACTTTCGGGCAAGATTAGTAATGAACCCGCTCTGGGAGAAGCGTGCTTTTTTTTTTTTTACACCTTTCGCAGTGCGTAGCGGCCACCTTGACAAAACGCGAGCGCATTTGAAATCCACATCGCGAAAGGGGAGGCTCGCTCAATCCACTGGCTTTGGCCGGCTTAGTCGTTTGCTGTTGTTATTGTTGTTCATTGTTACTGCCGTTGCCGCTGTTGTTGTTGTTGTTGTGTCGCCAGCCGAGTTGCTGCAGGAGATAAGTGTCGTGGCGCCCATGCACATACTGGAGGAGACGTCGCGGTGAGTGGAGATTTTGCCCGGATCTTTCTCGCGGCGCGCGGAGACTTCGCCGCGATGCGACGCGCTGTGACGCGCTGGGACGTGCTGTGACGCGCTGTGACGCGCTGTGACGCGCTGTGACGCGCTGTGACGCGCTGTGACGCGCTGTGACGCGCTGTGACGCGCTGGGACGCGCTGTGACGCGCTGTGACGCGCTGGGACGCGCTGTGACGTGCTGTGACGCGCTGTGACGCGCTGTGACGCGCTGTGACGCGCTGGGACGCGCTGCGACGCGTTCGCAGCTGCTCGCTGTCGGCACTTTGTACGTACGTGCGTTGAACTTCTTTCGCACCATGCCTGGCCAACTGCTAATCGGGGAAGTGCGGCGGGAAGGACGGGAAACTCGGCACGAAAGGCAGCTTGTGAGAAATGAGTTGTCAGATTAGATTTAAAATTGCGCAGCTGCCAGTGGCTTCCGAAACACCGGAAGGGAAGAAGCGCTCCAGACGGCCGCAGAAGCGAATCTGACCGTCTTTGTTCGATGGTTAGCCAGAAGCCTCTGCGAGGATTACCGGAGTTTGTGTGATGGTTCACGCTGCCTGACCAGATCAGCGTGGTATTGTGGTTCATTTGTAGAAGGCACCTTGTGTGGTGTAATGAGTGCAACCTGATCTCCATATATTTCCATATATATAAAAGGCAGAGTTGTGATTATGCGCGTCTATTCAAAATGTTTAGCGTACTTCACGACATGCAACAAACTTGACATTTGCCATGTGGGTACTTTCCAGACTGTACACCATGCAAAAATTATAAAAATACACTTTTGGGGGGGGGAGCTCAATAATGCATTTATTTTTGCACAGCAAGTGAGTTGTGACGTCATATCTGTCACGTGACCCGCGCACGTGGAAGCGTAACGCATTGTAGTGTAGCGGTTAGCGCGCTGTCTGTGTCTGTCTGTGTGTGTGTATGTGTGTGTCTGTGTGGAAGCGTAACGCATTGTAGTGTAGCGGTTAGCGCTACGCCGCGCTACGAACCCGGCTACGCGGGTTCAATTCCCGCTCACGGCCACCACCGGTGACGATTATTTGAACCGGTCCTGGGCCTCCCCTAGGTCGACTCAGCCTCAAACGGGTAACTGGTGTGTCGTGTGTGAACATCGCCACTGGGGAGACAAAGTCCCGGGCGAAGCCGGGTAGTAAAGCTAGCAATGTATAATTGTGCAGACCTCTGTGTGTGTCGGGCGTGGTGCAGACCGCATGTAGTGCCGGCCTTCGCTGCTGCTCGCTAACAGCACTTGCCCCATCATCGGTCTGCCAAAGGCTACACGGGGAACCTTTATCTCTGTCTCGCCGGCCTGTGCCACACTGTAGGCTGGAGGAGGAGGAGGAAGGGAGCGAGGTGAAGGATGGACGCGGCACGAGTTTCACCATCAGCTACGACGTCTTCTCGGCTGACAACACGGACTTCAAGAAGACGAGGCCGGGCGTCCCCCTCGCCCGCATCTGTGTCTGCGGGTCAGATGCTCGAGCGCAGCTGCTCCTCTGCACGGCACCGCAACACTTGAGGCCACCCAGGGCATCATGGGTACTCACGGCAACCCAGGGCACCCAGGGCACGGTGGGGACCCTGGGCACGGTGGGCATGGTGGCCACACAGGGCGTCCGGTTATTACCGTGGGTGGAACCGTCACAACGGCACGCTCCGTCTGCTTCGCTCACGGCGGAAGTTAAAGATCCCCATGGCGTCGTTCTCAAGGGGAGGCCACCGCGTGCCAGCGGCGTCTGGCTCCAAATTTTCCAAGTTAAAAAAAAACACCCTCAATTATCACTAAATCGGGGGACGATACATAGCAAAGCCTTGCCCTCCACCCTTGCAAATTAGACTTTTTTGGGCCTGGTCTCCAGAGTTCTCTCACCGGGCTAAAACAAAACTTGTCAAACTCGGCAGGGTGAAATATTGAAAAACGTCCGTTCCACCCCCCCCCCCACCAACTCTCCGTGTTAAATGCCGGCAGCTTTGAGGAACCGGTCCCCGATCTCCGGGCGCTGAAGCTGCTGGCGCGACACGGCGGCGGCACCGGCGGCACCGGCGGCGGCACCGGCGGCGGCGGCAGTGACGACACGGTGCTCGTCTTCGGCGTGGTGGATGCCGGGGACGTCTCCTTCTTCTCGTTCTACGACTTCAAGCTGCCCACCGACGTCCTCGGCTGACCACGGGCGTCGCAATGAAACGTGAAGGCCACGCAGTTTTTGTTGTGCCGAGGCAGCTGCCCCCGGGGCCGTTGGTAGCGTAGCGTTTTGGCGGGGGTTCCACTTTCTTGACGCGCACAATTAACGGTGAACTCGTGCGATGGCCGTTTGAAACGAGCGGTGTTATCAGGTAATTCGCCGTGTATGAATCGGCGCTCGCTAAAGATTTGACGACACCTCAGGTGGCACCGATTTCTGATCTGGCTCACGGGCTAATGGTATAAAAAAAAGGGTGCGTTAGCGGCCATCAGGATTAGTTATCCCATAATGCCTTGCATGTCACGTGACATCACGCTAATTTTACGGCTGTCGAGTCCGCTGTTGGAAGAAGTTCTGCACACCGTGCCAAGGTACCGGGGTTGCTTTAGCGCAGGGTTAGCGATTGCTTACGATCGCTCGCTATCGGCTCAGGTTTTGTTCACTACCGATGCTCACCGTAGCCGCGATACAAACCCAGGCCGGCAGGTTTCGTTGTGCGGTGCGCCCACCACTGCGCTGCCGCTCCCTTCGACTTCCCCCATACTACTGCGTGTGTAATGTTGTACAGCTTTAAGACCTCGCTTAGCGCTCAAGACGCGTTCCTGGAGAAGCGAGCGCTTATGGAATCGGCGCTAAAAGGGTCACTACCATTGTTACATATGGGGATGCGTTTCCCGACAGTGTTATTTCTGATCCATGAGCAATACAATATTGGCGGTGACCCCGTAAAACGCTAATGCGTTACGTCTCTCTGCGTTGCGGAGAAAAAACATTTTTGCTAAAAAAATTTTTTAAATCAAAACCTCTCTAAAGCAGTGGCCAGATCAACGTACCGCGCGCCCCTCAGTCAATGACAGCGACGTATGCCGAGCCAATCAGACGCCACCCCCCACCGTGTTGCTCAGCCAATGACAGCAATGTATGCCCCGAGCCAATCAAATCCCACCCCTTGCGTCGCTGAGCCAATGAGAACGCGCGCTGAGCAACTTGGACCCCACCCCCCGCGTCTCAGCCAATGACAGCGACATGCTCAGCCAATCGGCGCCCAACTCTCCCGTGATGCCATTACCACAATTTGTAGTAACAAATTTTACAAAAAATATATTTTTTAAATGGTGACCACTTAGCAAAGAATGAAATCACGGCACGCTTCGGTGTTGATTGGTACGCGTCCCCTCCCATTGGCCGAGCAGCTGTAAACCAAGTTGGTGGAAGGTGCGTTTCCTCCTCGCTCTAGCGCGTTCTCACGCTAAATGCTTCTCAGATTTTTGGATTTGCTTTTCTTTCTTAAAAAAAAATAATCTGCCACAGGGGCGAGATCTGCCTGTGCGTGGATTTGTTTTTTGGACGAGCGCCAAATAGTGAAAACGGTTCTTTAGAAGTGTAAGGTTTTACTTTGACCAACCAGGTGAGAAGAACTGTGGAGACCCATTGTAGCAGTTTGGTGGGAATTTTGCAAGGTGGTGCTCTTTCTTAAATCGACAAAACAACTAAAAACCACACTCGCACATTGAAGTAAACGAGACATTTTTTTTATGGCGACACTCCGGTTCACAAACGTACATGAACGCGGCATTCGCTCACCCACGGTTTTATATCCCCACCACCACCACCCCGCGGGGGTTGCGTTAAACTGCTGTCAGCTAACAGCCAATAAATACCGGGGTTTCTGCCCTTCAACTTTTCAAGCTGTCTGTTGCGTCTTTTCTCTCCGCGTGCCACACTTTTATCCTTTTGAAAAATCGTCGAAGCCTCCGACACCAGGTTTTCCGCAGCAGCCTCAAGGCCAGAGGTGGAGGGGAGGGGGGAGGGGGTGCTGTAGAATCTTGAGCACCTTTCACGGGGGGGGGGGGGGGGAGGGGGCGGAATGGAAACAGTTCCGATGGCCTTCTGCATGGTGACCGCAGCGGTGCAGCCCGACGGTTGCTTCCTCGCGCTGCTTGCCGGAGAGGCCTCGACCTGAAGGAGCCCATAGAGAGCCCAACCACCCCACCCCACCTCTAGTGCAGCGATTCTTCTTAAGCTGGGGTGCATCACGCACCACCCCCCCCCCCTGTGGATGCAAGATGACTTTTCTAGGTGTGCAAGATACGGCCAGATTTTTTAAGGTAAACTGAAACGCAGATTAAGCACGGGAACCTAAGGTACGACGGCTACTCCTGTTTCGTAAAACCTATGCATTAGCACTTAATTACGACTGCGAACAAAAGGCGGTGCGCAAGGGCTGCCGTAAAAAGGTTAAGAAGAATCCACTGCCTCCAGTGGCTGCTTGGGCTACTCCGCCATGTTGCAAATTTTAGAAGACGAAAAATAAATTGACAGCCGCGTTGAAAGAATTCCTCCGTCGGTTCACGATTAGCGCGGCTAGGACATTCGCAGCGATGGATGAACGTCTTCCGCGAGCCGACTTTGCCGAGTCGTCGGGGGGGGGAGGCCCCCCCCACGGTGTGGCGACCGCGGTGCCGGATGAAATTCAGTCGGTCTTAATCCGATCCGTGGGGCCCCCCACCACCACCACCACCGCCGCTCGACTCCAGGCGCATTTGTGGGAGAGCACGTGGGCAGGAGGGGGCATTGGCGAATGTGGCAGAGCGCCTCGATCCGCGCGGAAAGCTCAGTCGCCGTCGTGGACTCGCCGGTCGCTCTTGACGGACGAGTGGATCCTCTTTTGTCTCAGCCGCTCCCTGTTCATTGCTTCCACCCTGCGCGAGCACACGCGGGGGGACAGGTACCGGCGGTGGTGGAATATTTTTTACTTTGTTTCTGTGGCGCGCGCCTCTTGGCTCGCGCGAAACGTTTCCCCCCCCCCCCCCCCGCTTTTGCCCGTTCGTTATCCGCAAGACGCTACATTTGTACGCGTGCCAGAGTTGAACTTCATTGGCACCGTACGTAGCCAACCATGCTTAATCAGAGGTGCAGGGGAAGGACAGCAAACTAAACGCAAAAAGCAGTTTTAAAAAAACAAAAATGAGTGTCACTCTAGATTTTCAAGTACACTGAGCTCCCAGTGTGGCTTCACATGATCGGAAGAGCGTTCCAGACGGCCGCAGAAGCGCTTCTGAAAGCGCCACGCGGTGACGGTGTCTTTGTTCGACGGCCAGCCAAAAAGCTGCTGCTGCTGCAAGGATGACCGGACTTGACGTGATGATGGTTGTTTATGCTCTTTTGACGAGAACAGCCAAGGTATTGGTGGTTAATTTTTTTTCTTTTGCCAAGTGCTTCGTGCCCGTCATGAGTGCGACCTTACAAAGTACACAGAAACGTATTAGATAGATGGTCTTTGCTCCTCGACGACAAACCTGGCAGTACGTGAACATTTTGCTCGCGAAACTCGGCCCCGGCACGCGCGTCAAGCTCCCGCGATCACCCACCCCTTCCAAAACCACCGTCGCCCCAGCGCCATCATCACCTGCTGCGGCGGACGGCCGCTTCCTCGGGGCTGTCCTGCCGGCGCTCGTGCACCAGGGTGGTGACCGCGTCGCCGATGAGCTGCCGCAGCTTAAGCAGGCAGTCGGCCAGGTTGCGCATCTGGTAGCGGCTCACCTGCGACGTCACGATCAGCTCGCCCGAGCGCACGATGCGGTGCTTGTACTGAGCGGTGACAGTTTGGTAAAGGACAAAGGGATGAACGCAAAAAAACTAAACATCTACATCGTAGGGATTTTCCCCACTTTTTTTTCTGGCAACAAAACTGAAATCTTTTTTTTTTAACAAGGATTCATGTTTACTGCATTAAGCACAATAGCTGCAGTCAAAATGCAAACAAAAAAAACATACTATGATGATATACGTGGCATTGTCCTTGAAACTGATTGGTCCACACCAAGGGACGGCTCTCTTTTGAGCCAAAAGGCGTCATCTGGTCGAGCACCAATTGGGTCGAGGCTCCAAAGGAAAGCCGTCCCTTGGTGTGGACCAATCAGTTTCAAGGACAATGCATCATATTGTCATAGCGTGTTTTTTGATGCATTTTGACTGCAGGTATTGTGGTTAATGCAGTAAACATGAATCCTTGTGTAAAAAGGTTTTCAGTTTTGTTGCCAGAAAAAAAAAAGGGGAAAAACCCCTATTATTATTATTACATTGTGGTACTGGCAAAGGAGGTCTAATGTTGTAAAAAAAAATCTACATCTTGAGTGTGAACCGGACCGGCTGAGAACTTCCCACCGTGTTGCCCCTCTCCAATCGCCGAATTAAACTTTGTCTGTTGGTTTATTAAACCAAAAAACAGCAGCCGCAGCAGAGGGCACACGTAAGCACATCCAAGTGTCTGGCCAGGGTCTCCCATGGGATGTTCGCACCCGCTGGGGTAGGCCTGCACTACCTAACCACACCTCATGCTTATTTCGTTCAACCACGTGCGAGAGAACTCCATAAAGAGAGCCAGGATTGAGACTCGCTGCACGAACGGCGAGTGGCTCGCCGACACTTACACAAGGGCGTACATTCGGAATAGGTTTGCAGCGGGCGAATCCACAACCGGCAAATCGCGCGACAAAAACGCCGCCCCCCCCCCCACCCCCGGTCACCTTCTCTTGCAGCTTGTCTCGGATGTCCTGCGGCAGCCAGTCGGCGTTCGCCACGTGGAACCGAACCTCGGCTTTGGTGTTCACTGCGGCGACAGGCGGCGCGCACGCCATCCTCTTGAGAACATAGAATCGTTGCCGAAGAGCACGACCACAGCGGACACGAGCAGGGTCTCGGTCCAGCATTTTACCGTCGCAGGTGGTGCTTGTCTCACCTTTGTTCACGTTTTGTCCCCCGGGCCGGCTGCTCCGGTTGTAGGAAACTTTTAAACGATCTGAAATTAAATGGAAACGCGGCCCACACACGTGCTTCACCGGCGGCAAACTGAAACGATTAACCATTCGGATTGCTTTGCCGGGTGAGGCTCGAAAGAGTGTCCCGCGCGTGGCAATGCACAGCGGCCAAGTAACTCAAAACGCGTGACCGATTGTTAATGTGGAGGGTAAAAACCGGAGGAAAAAATCCACGCGACCACAGGGGAGAGAGAGAGATGCGCAATAATTTTATAATTTTTGCTAAACCCTGTTTGATTTAGTGTGCTCCTCCGACCTCTCTCTCTGTGTCCCCTGATGTGTCTGTGTCAATTCTGTACCTGATGATGATTGCTTGTGTTGCAATCGAAACGTCGTATGCTATTATATCATTTTATTTTTGTATTATTTCTACGTGACTTTACCGAAAAAAACAAAGAGTAACACCAGAGAGGTGTAGTGCTAACCACACCGATCTCGTGCTAACCACACCAATCTCGTGATACCCACCACAGCGGTGTAGTGCTAACCACACCGATCTCGTGATAACCACCACAGTGGTGTAGTGCTAACCACACCGATCTCGTGATAACCACCACAGCGGTGTAGTGCTAACCACTAAACCATTCTGGCAGTGAGCTTCCCCGAGTTGACTGCACAGTAATTGTATGATGACTACGACGATGATGCTGATTCCTGCCAATGGTGAAGAGCATTGGACTGGGGGAGAGGCGGAACTCACCGACTGGAATGTCTCCGGAGTATTCACGGCTCTCTCCGCTGCTCTCCTGCGTCGCACGACAACACCACACCACCCCGCAGCACACCACACAGCATCACACCACACAGCATCACACCACACAGCACCATACCACCACACAGCATCACACCACACAGCACCACACAGCACAGCATCACACCACACAGCATCACACCACACAGCATCACACCACACAGCACCACACCACACAGCACCACACAGCACAGCATCACACCACACAGCATCACACCACACAGCATCACACCACACAGAACCACACCGCACAGCATCACACCACACAGCATCACACCACACAGCATCACACCACACAGCACAGCCCCACACAGCATCACACCACACAGCACCACACCGCACAGCATCACACCACACAGCATCACACCACACAGCATCACACCACACAGCATCACACCACACAGCACCATACCACACAGCACCACACTTGGCCTCGGCCTCCTCCGTTCACAAGAAAGTTACCGACGAAATTCTGTCCCGCTTTAGAATGTTCACAGCGCGGCTTCTCTTGCAACGCAAAACGACCGGGGGGCAGGGTGGGATGGCTTGCCAGGTCATAGTAGTCTAGTGTTTAATGTAGTGTTTAGTAGTGTATAATGTAGTGTTTAGTGTAGTGTTTAGTAGTGTATAGTGTAGTGTATAGTAGTGTATAGTGTAGTGTTTAGTAGTGTAAAGTAGTGTAGTGTTTATTAGTGTATAGTGTAGTGTTTGGTAGTGTATAGTGTAGTGTATAGTAGTGTAGTGTATAGTGTAGTGTTTAGTAGTCTAGTGTATAGTGTAGTGTTTAGTAGTCTAGTGTATAGTGTAGTGTTAAGTAGTGTATAGTGTAGTGTATAGTAGTGTAGTGTATAGTGTAGTGTTTAGTAGTGTATAGTGTAGTGTTTAGTAGTGTATAGTGTAGTGTATAGTAGTGTAGTGTATAGTAGTGTAGTGTATACTAGTGTATACTAGAGTATAGTAGTTTAGTGTATACTAGTGTAGTGTATAATGTAGCGTACAAGAATACGGGCTAAACCCCGATGGGGTTGGCACGGCAATGCCTTCAGTCTCTCGAGCCCTCCACGCCACCTCAACAACGTGGAAGGGCTCCGTCCCGTGAGCCCACCTTGGTGCTGCTGAACGTCGCCCCAACGTCGCCCACGCCGGGCGGGTAGAGCTTGTCCAAGCTGTAGATGCTCTTGTAGGCACCGCAGTTGCGTAGCAGCAGCGGTGCCCTGGGGCACGGCGATAGGCGCAGAGCGAGCGAACGCGCCGTGAGGGCCCACGACATTGCGAGCCCCGAAATCTCCTTCCCTCCCTACCTACCTCCTCTTCTTCTTCCTACTCCCTCCTCCTCTTCAACTGCGCCCTTCCTCCACGTGCGCGCAAGCGAAGGTCGCGGCCGCCATCTTACGTGGGGGGGTGTGGTTGGAGGAGGGGGGGGGTAGGAACCCCGCACCATGGGTGTACACGGGCGGATATGACGTCAACCGGGGGGCGCTGGTGAAGGTCGCGGCCGCCATCTTACGTGGGGGGTGTGGTTGGAGGAGGGAGTGGGTGGGAACCCTGCACCAAGTTTGTCCACGGGCGGATATGACGTCAACCGGGGGTTGCTCGTGAAGGTCGCGGTCGCGATGTTATGTAGGGGAGGGGCAATCCCGTACCAAGATGTCACCGGGTGGCTATGACGTCATCAACGTGCGGGGACGGGGAGGCCGTCCCGGACACCACCCCTTATGTAAGATGGCGGGTTTTTTTAGTGTGCCGCGTTGTGATGACGTCCGGTGGGTGGGTGGGGAGGCGATGGAAGGTCGTGAGGATCGTTTTTTTATGCCATGCACGTAACGCGATTTGTAAGTGTACCAGCAGTAATAATAGTGGCGTAATCATCGTGCGGTAATAATAATAGTCTAGTAATAATACTCGTGTAGTAATAATACTAGTGTAGGCATAATAGTGTAATAATCGAGGGTGTTTCAAAAAGATGGACCCGATTTTAAATCGCTATATCTCTACAACCACGAACCGCCCATGAATGAAATGGATGTTCTGTTTGAGAGGAGACCTGATGGCTCATTGGGAAATCCACCCACACAGATTCCTACTTGAAACCTGATTCCCACCACCACCCGACGCAAAAGAATTCTCTCATCAAAACTTTATACCACAGGGCTCATTGCATTTCGGACCAACACCACCTGACCAGTGAATTAAAACATATACACCTGGCCCTCAAAAGGAATGGATACTCTGAGCGTACCATCCGCCAAGCTGTTTCTCCCTCCATACAGAAACAACCACTTGATACTCCCGATTAAAACCATCACACTACCATATATAGCAGGCGTCACTAAAAAGATCTCCAAAATTCTAAACAAACACAAGATCCAGGTCCGGTTCAATACAGTACACAAAATTCGTGATCTGATCGCATCCGTGAAGGATGTCATTCCTGACTTACAGTACCCCGGGGTTTACAGATTGAGTTGTACCTGCGGTGATTGCTATATCGGGGAGACAAAGCGACATGTCTCTGACCGAATTCACGAGCACAAATCAGATTTGAAACACGGCAGAACGAATTCTTCTGCCGTGGCTGATCACTGTTACAACGCTGTGGGTGATCACGATATCATTTTCTCCGATACCAAGGTTCTTTGCAAACCCACGGGTTTTTTTTTTATCAGAGATTTGTTCACGAGGCAATTCAGATCTACAAACACAGACACAATTTCAACCGAGAGGATGGTTTCAAATTAAGCAACCATTGGAAAGATGTTCTAAATCAAACCAAACATTAAACTAATTTTCAGTGGTACAGTATATTTTTTCAAGTAGTGGTATTCCAATCTTTCGCAGCTGCTTAAATTCCCTTTACACACCATCAATAGGTAAACTCTCCCTCGCCGGTCTGCACATGTTCACCCCCTCTACACCGTTCATCATGCTAAGTCCGCCAATTAAATGCTCATTTTTATGCTAATTCCTTTGTCAAGGCGCTCTGCTTCATCTCACACAGCTTAAAGGTCGCGGTCTGAGCTTGGCTGTGTTCACTCCAGCGCTGTCCTCTAGACAGTCTGGTCCCTTCACCTGATGAAGGCCACTTGTGTTGTGGCCGAAACGTCGTGAATTTTTTTACTTTTTGTTGTTTTTTACGTGACTTTACCGAATAGAACCAAAGAGTATGGATCCTTGCAGTCACGAAAGCTTTAAATCTAGAAATGAAACTCTTACCACTTGAGAGGGCGGGGCATAGAGAGAGGCGGGGCATAGAGAGGGTGGGGCATAGATAGGGCGGGGCATAGAGGAGAGGGCGGGGCATAGAGAGGGCGGGGCATAGAGTTTAAAATTATCACCACGAGATGCCTCTCCCAGCGCACAAACAGCCCCTAGCCTCAGTCATTCTCTAGATGGTGACCCCAGTGAACACAAACAGCCCCTAGCCTCAGTCATTCTCTAGATGATGACCCCAGCACACAAACAGCCCCTAGCCTCAGTCATTCTCTAGATGGTGACCCCAGTGCACAAACAGCCCCTAGCCTCAGTCACTCTCTAGATGGTGACCCCAGTGAACACAAACAGCCCCTAGCCTCAGTCATTCTCTAGATGGTGACCCCAGCACACACACAGCCCCTAGCCTCAGTCACTCTCTAGATGGTGACCCCAGCACACAAACAGCTCCTAGCCTCAGTCATTCTCTAGATGGTGACCCCAGCACACAAACAGCCCCTAGCCTCAGTCATTCTCTAGATGGTGACCCCAGTGAACACAAACAGCCCCTAGCCTCAGTCATTCTCTAGATGGTGACCCCAGTGAACAAACAGCCCCTAGCCTCAGTCACTCTCTAGATGGTGACCCCCAGCGAACACAAACAGCCCCTAGCCTCAGTCACTCTCTAGATGGTTACCCCAGTGAACAAACAGCCCCCTAGTCTCAGTCATTGTCTAGATGGTGACCCCAGCACACAAACAGCCCCTAGCCTCAGTCACTCTCTAGATGGTGACCCCAGTGAACACAAACAGCCCCTAGCCTCAGTCATTCTTTAGACGGTGACTCCGCAAAGCAAGGGGCGTTTTGCGTTCTGCAGTTCAGCAAGACTGAATCCATACTCTTCGGTTTCTTTCGGTAAAGTAACGCAGGTGAAAAATAAATAAAAGTTAAATTAAATCGCGACGTTTCGGATGCAACACAAAAGCGTCCGTCATCAGGCGGGAACAATCAGTGCAAAAAAGCAGTTTGCTGAAATAGGCAAAAGAGCTGCGATTACCAGGGGGGTTAAATAGGTGAGGGGGGGGGGGTGGAGCCAAGGATAGAGAAGGTGGAGGGGAAAGGAGGCAAATGAGACATTGAGGGTCAATAGCCTGAAGAGCAGGGGTGGTGGTACATGGGGCACGTAAGGCAAATTTCTAAATGATGGGACTGAGCAGGGCTGGTGATGCGGATATGAGAGCAAACAACGAAGCAGTTAAGTTAAAAAAAGAATTATTGCTGTGGTTTTCGCACCTGATGATGATTGCTGCTTGTGTTTGCAGTTTGAAACGTCGTGAGAATTGTATTGTTTTATATTTGTATTATTGTATTGTTTCCCTTCTACGTGGTGACTTTACCGAAAGAACCAAGAATATGAATCCCCTGCAGTCACGAAAGCTTTAAATCAAAATTGAAGCAGTTCAGGTTTTAACTGGTCGATAACATCCTTCCAATGATTGCTCAGTTTGTATCCATCTTCCCGGTTGAAGTTGTGTCTATGTTTATATATCTGGATGGCTTCATGAAAGAACCAAAGAGTATGGATCCTTGCAGTCACGAAAACTTCAAATCGAGAAAGGCTGAATCCGTCATTGAGGTGTAAGCGTGGCGTTTCGACGGCGTTTTGGCATTGATACGCCAATGTGAAAGGGGCCGTCCATAAATGACGTCACGCGATTTTGGACGATTTTTAACCCCCCCCCACCTCCTTCGTCACACGACGTCACAAAAAGTCAGACACCCCCCCTCTCAAATATGACGTCACAAAGCTCTGCCACCCCCGCCCCCCTTCCCAAAACCATATTTCCATTTTTAAAATGAAACATGCTTCAAATCGCTTTAAACTATTGTTGTCATTGTAGTGCGTGTTTAATGTGGCGCTGCACTCTGATGTCGTAGGAGAAAACATTTATTTAAACGTCTATTTAGTTAAGTAGAACGTGTTGTCTATATTTATTTAAAGTTGCGCATTTTGATGTGACGTCACATTTCTCAAACACCCCCCCCCCCCGCCTCGTCACACATCGTCACAAATGTCTGACCCTTCCCCCTCCCCTAGATGCGTGACGTCATTTATGGACGACCCCTTAGCGACTAATCTGGATGACCTCAAAAACAGGATCACGGCAGCGGTGACTTCAGTGGAAGAGAATGAACTCTGAGAGGCGTTTGGGACGAATTAAACTCTCGTCTCGATGTTGTCCATATAGCAGGTGGAGGCACACAGAGCATTTATAAAATGGTTAGTAAAACTCGATAACCCATTAAGCCGTTTGTAACTTTTTGTGTAATTGTAACACGTTGCCTTCGTGAAATACACTGCTTTTGAAATTGGGTCCATCTTTTTGAAACACCCTGCAGTGTAGCGATACTAATGTAATAATAGTGTAGCAGTAGTAATAATAAGTGTAGCAGTAATACGTGTGTAGTATTAAGTGTAGTGATCGTAGTGTTGAAATAAGTGTAGTAATACTGTGTAGGAACCTCCTGGTTACTACACCACCAGCCCACAGGGGATTATTGTGTCCATCCGTCCGTCGTGCATCCAAAAATGGGAGGGGTGGGGCTGGGTGGGGAGGGGTTGGGTGGGGAGGGGAGGGTGGGGATGGGCTGGGTGGGGAGGGTGAAGAGGGGCCGGGTGGGGAGGGAGGGGCTGGGTGGGGTGGGGCTAGGTGGGCAGGGGCTGGTCACCCCGTGGTGCCCTTATAAAACTCAACGTTTAACCTACTCGCGCCGGCTTGTGCCTGCCCTCACAGTCTGGCATATTGTGCGGAATACACCACGTGGTGGTGCCGTTGACCCTGGCCATTGACCGAGCAACCCAACGTTCCTACTACCAGCTCCCTCTGCAGGAGAATGTGTTAATAACTTTTTAATTTTGTTATCGCGTCATTCACGCTAATAGCATCCCACGACGCTGTACATTAATTTGACATACAAGGACCAAATCCAACACAAGACAAAGGTCCCCCGTGTAGCCTTCACAGACTATTGGGGCAAGTGCTGCTAGCGAGTAGCACCAATGCAGGCTGGCACGGTGCACGTGGGGGTGGGTGGCCAGCACCACCACACCCGGCCGCCTTTGTCTCCCCACCCCCTAGTGGCGATGTTTACTACGCATCGCACCCGGTACTCATTTGAGGCTGAGTCGACCTAGGAGGTGGCCGAACACCGGTTCAGATCATCGTCACTGGTGCTGTTGGTGGCTCGTGAGCGGGAATTGAACTCAGGTCGCCGGCTTCATAGGTGCAGTGCGCTAACCGCTAACCCTACCGATAATCGCCCATTCGCCAAGTAGTGACGGTGATATCACCACGGCGCCTGTGCCAGGATAGGTGCACTTTGAGGCCACGCGAAGTTGTCGAAGGCTCGTTGACAGGAGGCGGTCACGGGACAGACCCAGCAGGTGCCATGGGTTGGCTGACTGAGATGACCACTGGTAGATGCACCACCAGCTGTACCCCCCCCCCCCCTACTGTGCCAGGCTAGGTGCAGGAGGTCTCGGGACAGACCCAGCAGGTGCCATGGGTTGGCTGACTGAGATGACCACTGGTAGATGCACCACCAGCTGTACCCCCCCCTACTGTGCCAGGCTAGGTGCAGGAGGTCACGGGACAGACCCAGCAGGTGCCATGGGTTGGCTGACTGAGATGACCACTGGTGGATGCACCACCAGCTGTACCCCCCTACTGTGCCAGGCTAGGTGCAGGAGGTCTCGGGACAGACCCAGCAGGTGCCATGGGAAACAAAAACAAATTCTATTATGGATCGCACTGGTCGCGAAATCCCTACAAGTCCGTGTTAAACCGACTGATCCATGTTTCACTTCACTCTGTTGCTCACAACGAAGCTCCCTCCGTAACCCTATAACACACCGTGTCAACCGATACGGTTTACCCGTATTCTTGTACAGGGAAATTGAGTAGAAACAAATCTAATTGTGTTTCTCCCTTGTGATGGGATTTTGTAGGATGAACGTTGAGATTTTTATGGGCACGGGGGGTGACCAATAAGATCTGAGTTGGTCTGTAATTAGGTAGGGCACTGATAAGGGGTTGACAGGTTTATAGTGGTGAGTGTAGTAATGAGTGTAGTAGTGGTGAGTGTACTAGTGGTGAGTGTACTACTGGTTATTGTGTATTTGTTTGTGTTTCTCCCTTGTGATGGTTCTTTGTAGGATTGACGTTGATATGTAAAAGGAGCACCGGGTGACCAATAAGTTCTGAATTGGACTGTAATAAGGGGTTGACAGGTGTGCTATAACACCTGTGCTGTGTGTGGTGGTGGCCCATCAACCCTGTGACGGTACTAGAACCCAGGACGTAACATCCCCTCCCTTGCTGAGCTTCGCGAATGTGGTGAAACCTGGCGGATTTAAGGGCTATTTGGTGGTGAGGACATAGCTTTGCAAAGTTGTAACCTTAAATGCTTGAAACAGGGCACAAGACCCTCCTCCTTTTTTATTTAAGCAGCTGACGTGCATACATCACATATGTTAATTCGTCTGTAAATATACCTGCCAAAATGTGCATGTGCATATAATATTGTAACATGATATATAATGTTATATAAATGCATAGGTTAACTGTTCGCATTCGCGTTCACCATGAGAACCCAAGCGCATCGTGGGTGGCTGAGTGACTTCGGCCTGGCCATCAGGGCCTCACGGAGCAAGCCGGCGGCTCTAAAAGTGACAACCACGCACGTCTTGGTAAGACCTCACTGCAACAGGCCCGACTCGGCGAGAGATATTGGAGGGTCCATCTCTAGCCTCCATTGACTGCCTCCCCCCCACTATCCACCACCCCGCCCCACCCCCCCCCCCCCCAAATTGTATTTTTTTTTTAATAAAAAAATGTATTTCAGAAAAATGGTATTTCATTGATATTTGCTCCAGAGAAAATAAAATCTTGGAATGTTACGGGAGGGGAGCGCCTTCCACTAATGACTCCTTCCCCGGGATGTTTCTCGACCCCACCGACACAATCGGTTGAATTTCCCGGCGAAGCGTCACGGTGACTTGCTCTCGTTAAATGTTGTTGTGGGTTTTACTCTCCAACACACGGCCGGTTAGTGGCTGAACTCTGAAAAAAATAAGAATAGGTCCATAATAGGGGGTTTTGTGGGTTATATCGTGTAAATATATAAATGCCGTGTCGTTAAACCCGCTACCACCCGACACAGCCAATTAGTAGTAAGGTCTGTCACGTTAACAGAACGCGGCCAATTCGTTGCTAGTACAGCGCACCGGTTGTGTGTTGGAGTGTAAAGCCACAACATTGGATGAATGTTACAAAAAATATTAAAGTTGTGACTTTGCTCTCCAACACACCGGTGTGCTGTACTAGTAACGAATTGGCCACGTTCCGTTTACGTTACAACCCTTACTACTAAATTGGCTGTGTCTGGGTGGTGGCCGCCCTCATTTTGCTCTGGGCTCGTGTCCCGCATGTTTCATCGCTCACTCGGTTAGAGTGACTAGCGGCAACGCAACCGTGCGCTCAAAAGTTTCCGTTCGTGTTGGGTCGTCTTTGAGAGAGTTGTCGTGACCCCAAGTTACCGACGGACGGATGGACGGACAACGTGACGGACGGACGGACAAAGGTGCGCATTCAGCATTTTGCAACCTTAGTTGGAAAGGAGTTTTGATCCTCTTTGCGAGAGCAATTTGGTCGTCACGTTACAGAGAGACAGACGGGCAGACACGTAATGCGTGAACGCTTTCAACCTTTGGTTGGAAAACGTCGATGAAAACGGCGCACGTGAATTCCCTTCAACACGTAGGCTTTCGCGACCAATATCATCCGTGTTACAGGTTTGTTTGGGGTTAGAATCGCGTAAATATATAAATGTGTCGTGAAACCCGCCACCACCTGACACAGCCAATTAAGGTTTGTTCTCCAACGCACAACTGGTGTTGCTGTACTAGCAACGAATTGGCCACGTTCTTTTTAAGTGACAAACCTTACTAGTTGGCTGTGTCGGGTGGTGGTGGGCTTAACGACACATTTATATATTTACGCGATTCTAACCCAACAAAAACCGGCATTTTGGGAATTCCCTTCTCCGTGTCAGGGCTCCGTGTCGGGGCTCCGTGTCGGGGCTCCGTGTCAGGGCTCCGTGTCAGGGCTCCGTGTCAGAGCTCCGTGTCGGGACTCAGTGTCAGGGCTCCGTGTCAGGGCTCCGTGTCGGGGCTCCGTGTCGGGGCTTTGTGTCAGAGCTCCGTGTCGGGGCTCCGTGTCGGGGCTCCGTGTCGGGGCTCCGTGTCAGGGCTCCGTGTCAGGGCTCCGTGTCAGAGCTCCGTGTCGGGTCTCAGTGTCAGGGCTCCGTGTCGGGGCTCCGTGTCGGGGCTCCGTGTCGGGGCTTTGTGTCAGAGCTCCGTGTCGGGGCCCGGGGCAGAGCTCCGTGTCGGAGCTCCGTGTTGGGGCTCCGTGTCGGGGCTCCGTGTCAGAGCTCCGTGTCGGGGCTCCGTGTCAGGGCTCTGTGTCAGGGCTCTGTGTCGGGGCTCCGTATCGGGGCTCCGTGTCAGAGCTCTGTGTCAGGGCTCCGTGTCAGAGCTCCGTGTCTGGGCTCCGTGTCGGGACTCAGTGTCAGGGCTCCGTGTCGGGGCTTTGTGTCAGAGCTCCGTGTCGGGGCTCCGTGTCAGAGCTCCGTGTCGGAGCTCCGTGTTGGGGCTCCGTGTCGGGGCTCCGTGTCAGGGCTCCGTGTCAGAGCTCCGTGTCGGGACTCAGTGTCAGGGCTCCGTGTCGGGGCTCCGTGTCGGGGCTCCGTGTCGGGGCTTTGTGTCAGAGCTCCGTGTCGGGGCCCGGGGCAGAGCTCCGTGTCGGAGCTCCGTGTCAGAGCTCCGTGTCGGGGCTCCGTGTCAGAGCTCCGTGTCGGGGCTCCGTGTCAGGACTCCGTGTCAGGGCTCCGTGTGGAGGCTCCGTATCAGAGCTCTGTGTCAGAGCTCCGTGTCGGGGCTCCGTGTCAGAGCTCCGTGTCGGGGCTCCGTGTCAGGACTCCGTGTCGGGGCTCCGTGTGGGGGCTCCGTGTGGGGGCTCCGTGTGGGGGCTCCGTGTCAGAGCTCCGTGTCGGCGCTCCGTATCAGAGCTCCGTGTCAGGGCTCCGTATGAGAGCTCCGTGTCAGGGCTCCGTGTCGTCCGCAGCTCGGCTCCTTTGAATGCGCAAGAAAATCTCTTCGAACAGCGCCTTGTACTCCGGCTGGTGCTGGCTCAGCCGGCGCTGGAGTTTGACGCCTCTGCCATCGCCGCCGTCTCCGCCGCCGCCGTCGCCGCCGCTGCCGCCGCCGCCGCCGTCGTCACCGCTGACCTCCGCCGCCGTCTGCACGGCCGCGTTGGCGCTGCGCCCCGCTCGGAGCGCGGCGCCCGCGGCGGCCGCGGCGACGAAGCTGGGGCGCCGCTGGCGCGCGAGAAGCTCGTCGTAGCGCTCCAGCAGCGCGTGGTAGCGCTCGTCCACCTCGCTCAGGATGCTCATGCCGCCCAAGCCGCCCAAGCCCCTCGCCGTGCGCCCGCCGTCCCCTCCGATGGCGTCCAGCGCCGTCTCGCTGCTGCTCTTCCGCACGCCGAGCCCCGGCGCTCCGTCCCCGCCGTCGCCGGTTCCGCCCGGCGTCGGCCCGGCGCCTCCGCCTCCGCCGCCTCCGCCGTCGTCGCTTTCGGGCACGTGCTTGGCGGCCGCGACGAAGAGGTCGACGTCGCGCGTCGGCGAGGGCCTCCTCCCGCTGGCGCCGGCGGCGGCGGCGGCGCCGTCGCGCCGGCGGCGGGCGGCGGCCCTCGCCCGCAGCTCCCGCAGCTCGGCCTCGAGCGCGGCGGCGCGGTCGCGGGCGGCCGGCAGCTCCTCCGCGAGCGCCGCGAGGGCCGCGCTGCGGTCGCGGTCGGCCGACTCGAGGGTCGCCTCGGCCGCGAGGCGCCGGCGGCGCTCGAGGGCCAGCTCGGAGGCCAAGTCGCGTGGCGGCGGCGGCGGCGGCGACGGCGGGAGGCGGCGACGCTCGTGGTGGCCGCGGTGCCCGGACGACACGGGGCGGTCCGGCAGCGCCCCGCACGACGCGCTCCTGCGGGCGAACGACGCCCGTCGGTTAAACCGGGAGCCGGTCGGCGATACGCAAGACGCATCGGGGGGGGGGGGAAGGATGACAAACCGAGACGCCAACAGCAGTTCTAAACCAAGGAGAACGTCAGCCTGGGAGTGAGCCGTTATCATGATTATGTAGTGGAGTAAAAGATACGCATAGGTAAATTGGCCACATACAGTACATACAGACATACAAGCAGAGTGGGTCACATAAGGTCGAGCAGGTGGTGGAGTTACGGGCGGCATAAACAAACCGAAGTAATTAAAGGAGTCATGGCACGAGGGCTGTGATTGGTCGAGAGGCTGTTAACGTTAAGTGGCGGCGTCGCGAAGTCTGGACCGTTGGACAGGTACGAGCTGGTGGGAAAATGCCAGCGAGCCACGTGGCAATTAATTAAGGCTGATTGGAAAGGGGATAAAACGCTAGGTGATTTGAACGGGGAGTTGAGTTGTTGTTGGGCAGTTGTAGGCAAGAGGTGGAGAGATGCGAAGATAGATGCAAATGATAGGGAAGAATAGATTGGTAAGCCGAACCCAAAGGACGGCAAATAGTGATAGGGAGAGTTAGCGTCAGCAGAGAGGTAGTTACGGGGGAGATAGGTACAGGGAGAGTTACAGATAGAGTCACTGTGTGTGCGGAGATAGCTAGAGTCACTGCGTGTGAATAGACAGGCAAGTCACTGTGTGTGCGGAGATAGAGGAAGTCACTGTGTGTGAATAGACAGGCAAGTCACTGTGTGTGCGGAGATAGAGGAAGTCACTGTGTGTGAATAAACAGACAAGTCACTGTGTGTGCGGAGATAGAGGAAGTCACTGCGTGTGAAGAGATAGAGGAGACACTGTGTGTGAAGAGATAGAGGAGACACTGTGTGTGAGGAGCTAGAGAGAGAACCACTGTGTGTGGAAGGAGCATGAGCGGACGGTGCCGAGGTGAATCGGAGTGTCCGAGTTGGCGGAGCGCGAAGAGGAGAAATTATACAGCGTGTGCGGAACGATGGAAATAAAAGTGACGGTGGATAGAAAGGCGGTTGTCGTCCGAGTAAATTCACGGCACTACAATTATATCACTCTTGTTCAGCCGGAAGAGCCTCGCCAAGCCCTCCGCGTCTCCGTTTGGCGACGCGCGGTGCACAGTGCGCCGTGCGAGTCTGCGTGCCGTCGCAGCGTAGCGCAGGGGCGCAGCTTCCGAGCGTGCAGGCGGTGCAACTGCGCCATAGGTGGAGGTGCGGGCGGAGGGGGAGGTGCGTTAAAAATTGGAGCCGCCCCCCCCCGCATCTTTCCTTACACCACGACCCCAGGCCAATCGCACGCTGCGCCACTCCCGCCGAGTCACGTGGCACGTCGCAAGCAGAGGCAGGTGGGAGGGGGGGGGGGCTCCCGTCGGTCCCGTCGGTCCCGTCGCTACCCCCCCCCCACAACCGCCCCATCCATCCACCGCCCCGCCCCCCAACAAGCACGCGGCTCACCTGCGCGGCACGGACGACCCCCTGGGGGTCTCCGTGAGGTCCCGCGCGTCGCGGGCGTGCGCCCTGCCCGGGTGCGACCCCCTTCCCCGCGCCGACAACTCCTCCAGCCGCAGCTGCAGCTCCTCCACCTGGTCCTGGAGGTCTTGCACGGTGACGGTGAGCCTGCCGGCACAGGGCAGAGACACGGCGTGGGAGCGTGGCGAGATGTTGCCCGCCCTCGGCGGGTGTACAGGAGGTCGTGTGCAACGATTTTAATTGTTTGTGCTTCGTCGTTCGTCTCTCTGTTGATTGGGATTCTTCAGGCTTGGCCACGATCGGGGTCGACGAACGAGTATGCAAAAATAAGAATAGGTGTGGACACTTTCTGGCATTGAAACAGGGGTTGCCTCTTGCGAGGAGTCAAGTTACTGCGTTAACCGCACACCCTCGTTACTTTGTGGCGAACATGCAAACACAAGCGCGCTCTGCTTAATCGACTTGCATCGTCTCTGACACTGCTTGGCCTACACCAAGAGACGGCAGACTTCTTCAAGGTCCAGTCTCACCACCGGCGGTGTCAGAGACAAGAGAGAGCAACGCGCCAAAACGGCGAACAGTGCCAGGACAATTCTAGATTTGAAGCTTTCGTGACTGCACAAATAACTCCACTCATTGGTTTCTTTTTTTCCGGTAAAGTCACGTGCGTGGGAATGAAATAAAAATAGAAATAAATAAAATTAGATTAAAACGAATCACGACGTTTCGAACGCAAGCGCTCATCATCGGGTGGAAACGGGGTGAAACACACAGCGAGGGAACACACAGAGGGACACCAACGCGCATAGCGCACAGAGAACGCCAAACTGCACGGAGGCAAATGCAGCAAGAAGATGGGAGACGTCGAACTCAACCAAACTACACACACAAAAAACACAATGCGAACAGGACAAGGGCAATGCCACACGTAGCAGAGCATTCATAGCTCGCGGTGAGCAGCTACAATCATGGCGATGGTGACGACGGATGATATCATGGGACCCTTTCTCACGCCAGTATCAAAGCAACGAAAAATAAAAAAAAAACCTCTCACCCCCTTTCTGCGGAATCAAACCGGGAGTTTTTGCTCAGACGAATGAACGAATCAACGCAAGTTCAAACGAACGAGCGTTGTTAGCGAGCACCTATTAAGCACCCCCACCACCACCACCACCACCCCCACCCCCCACAGTAGCACCTCTCCACCCGGTGCTGGCCGGCCTTGTTCTCGAGCAGTAGCCGCTGGTTGGCCACCTCGAGGTCGCGCGAGGCGGCATCCAGCTGCTCGTACACGCGCGCGTGCTGCTCGTTCACCTGGCGGAGCAGCTCCGCCTGCCGGCTCTGGTACTGGGACGGGGGAGGGCGTATTGTGGGGGGGGGAGAGGGGGGAGGGGGGGACACACGGGCGAATGTGTTGTTGCGGTGTGTGAGTGCGTGTGCATTGACACGGGTGAACACGTGGGTGTGTGTGCAGTGACACGGGGAACACCTGGGTGTGTGCATTGACACGGGTGAACACGTGAGTGCGTGTGCAGTGACACGGGCGAACACGTGGCTGTGTGCATGGACACTGGCGAACACGTGGGTGCGTGCATTGACACGTGGGTATGTGCATGAACACGTGAGTGTGTGCAGAGACACGGGCGAACACGTGAGTGTGTGTGCAGAGATACGGGCGAACACGTGAGTGCGTGTGCGTCGACACTGGCGAACACGTGAGTGTGTGCATTGACACGTGGGTGTGTGCATGAACACGTGAGTGCGTGTGCATTGACACGGGCGAACACGTGAGTGTGTGTGCGTCGACACGGGCGAACACGTGAGCGTGTGTGCAGTGACACGGGCGAACACGTGGGTGTGTGCATGAACACGTGAGTGTGCGTGCGTCGACACGGGCGCGCGTGCATTTGACACGGGCGCGCGCGCGCGCGCGCGCGTCCGTTGCGGGAGTCCGCGCGTGTTTGTCGAGCACTTTGAAGGCGTCGAAGCGTCAGCTCTGGCCCTGTGCGCGTCAAGTCCGCGTTTGCCGTTCGCGAATCGGCCGACTGAGAAAGCGGCCGCATTGACCACGGGCGGTTGTCGCCCAGAACCTGCGGGCTAAAATAATAATGAGGATCAACGACGGAGGGAAACCAGTCGCACAAAAGTAAAAACCAAGGCGTCGGCTTCCCGCGCCGCTCGTTAAATGTTTCCCGACGACAGAATGCCGTCGGGAAGCGTTTGCGGAGTCCGTGCGTTTTGGGGCGCTTTGTCTTCCTTGTTTGACGTTTTGTTCGGTGACGTGGTCGGACTGCGTGCCTGTTCGGGAACTCTCGTCGCCGGAACAGCGACTTGCCCTCGCGAGAACCGGGCACATTGACAATGTTGCCGCACGTTGACCTTCTTTTCGCGCCGCGCGTAGCCAAGCGCGCTAATCGGAGGCGCGGGGGGATGGGGGGAGAAGGACAACGAATTAAACATGACAACGAACTAAGCAGTCCGTGAGAAATTCGCTTCAAATCCGGTTGATTTGAAAGTGGCTTCCTCAAATCGGAAGAGCGTTCCAGACGGCTGCAGAGAGCGCGCGGTTATGTTTTTGTTTGCGTTCAGTTTGTCGCCGTCACCCCGCGCACTCCGATTAACGCGGGTTTGGCTACGTGCGGTGTGAAAGAAGTTCAACAGTTGTTTTTTTTGTATTATTACAACAACAAAAAAACGATAGTACAATCGTGTTCGGCTAGAGGGTGCGGAGGGGGGGGGGGCGAGTGGTGGGCGTGGTGAAGGACAACAAACTAAACACGTATTCTTAGTTCTTTCGGTAAAGTCACGTTGAAGGGAAACAATAAAATAATAAAATATATATAACAATAAAATAATAAAATATATATAAAACAATACAATTCTCACGACGTTTCTACTGTAACACAAACGGTCATCATCTAAACCAGGGGTGTCCAAACTTTTTTTTCCCGAGGGCCACATACAGAAAAATATACGAAGGACTGGGCTACTCACTAGACGTGAGGTATACTGCCTCACTTCTCATGCACTAATATTGGCAAAATCAATTAAATGCAGGTAAATTACGTTTGATAATTGGACATGTTTGAAGAAAAAAAGCCTCCATCATAGCTCTCCATAAGTAGATTTTCATTTTATTTTTATACAAAAAGGTTGCCAGGTCATTCTCTCAGTGACAGCCTCAGATTGGTTCTTAGGGTGCTCATCCCCCTTCATTGTCCTGCATGAAGGGAGAGACAAGAAGAGAAATAAGGGGTGTGGATATTTCAAGCTTATTACACAAATAAATTATTGGGCTTGTTAACACATCAACTAACGTTTGTTAAAAAATTGTCATCAACTTTAACTGACCGAATTTATTAAGTAATTGGGCTTATTAACAAATGAAAACTGCGTGTATATTTTTAACTCACCTGTAATGGGAAGAATGTTGCGCTCAGTGGGAGCAGTGATGCTGCGCTTTGGTCTGAAGGATAGCTGGCAGGTCAGGAGGAGTAAGTTTGGTGGTTGAGATGCGAAGGACGTCACGGAGATGGCTGTCGAACGTCCTGGTTCTCAGTCTGCTTTTGTTCAGCGTTAACAGAGAGAATGTCTGCTCACAGATGTATGTTGAGCCGAACAGACTCATCATTCGTTTTGCGTGGCGTCTCATCAGAGGCCTTTTCCAAGCTCCGGTAGAAGCCAGGTAGGGAGAGAAGCTGATGCTGATTCTTCAGAGAAGCATCACACTGAATTTCGATCAGTTCTAATTGCAGACTCTCCTCCACTTAAATTTTGATTTAAAGCTTTCGTGACTGCAGTAATTCATATTCTTAGTTTTTTCGGTAAAGTCACGTTGAAGAGAAACAACAAAATAACAAAATATATATAAAACAATAAAAAATTCTCACGACGTTTCGACCATAACTCAAACGGTCATCATCAGGTGTGTCGGTTTGCATAAATTTATTTTGAAAACGGCATATTTATTTATTTATATATATATAAAAATAACGTTTGCGTCACGCGCAACGATTGGCAGTTTGCCAGGACTAGTCCATCTATTTTTTGAAAAGAGGAGGGGGGAGACGAAATTTGTTTTTATGTATGCTGTCTGAAAGCCACTGTAAGCGTGAACAATCAATCAAGAACTGAAATGATTTATCAAATCTTTCCAATGATTGCTAAGATAGAATCCATCTTCTCGGTTGAAATTGTCTCTGTGTTTGTATATGTGGATAGCCTCATGAACGAATCTCTCATGGAAGCCAGATGGCTTACAAAGAACCTCCGTCTTGGAAAAGTCAATGGCATGTGAGCCTACTGAATTAGAACAATGATCTGCTACGGCCGAGGTGTTGGTCCTACCGTGTTTAATGCATCCATTGAAAACGGAGCCGCAAACGGTGTGATTTCCTTCTCAATGAAAGAAAAATCTTGGAAGCGCCGACTGAATTCTGTCATGAGAGATGTGATCACAGACACACATTCTCCCATTTTTGCAGAGAGCTTGGCATTTGGAAATGCGCATTTGATTTGGGTCAGCGTGGGGAAGTGCGCTACATTGAAGTTGCGCAGTTGTGACTCGAAGAGACGGAGCTTCGCACGGAATGCTTTTATGTGCGCATGCAGCTGTGGTACCAGCTGCTCTTTGCCTTGTAGTCTCTTGTTCGGGGTGTTGAGATGATCAGTGAGATCAACTAAAACAGCCAGGTCTGCCAACCATAAAGGGTCACTGATCTCATGGAGAGGTCTGCCCTTTTCTTTCAAAAACTTGTCGATATTTGATCTCAGGGAATGAAACCGCTGCAGCACGGAGCCGCGACTGAGCCAGCGCACTTCAGCATCGACATCAGAGAGGAACGCTTGAAATTCTCTGTGGTAAAGCCCTCGTGCCCGAATTTTTGTTGACAGTTTTCACAACTGTGTTCATCACATCGCCAAGCTGGATTATCTTGGCACAGAGGGCTTCTTGGTGGATGATACGGTCCATTTTGACAGCCTCACCTCCGCTCTCCCGCACCTTGGCACTCACCATAGCGGCCGTTCCTTTGCGCCCGCCTGTCATTGCTGGAGCCCCATCCGTTGTAATTCCACACAGCTTGTCCCATTTAAGTCCAGCCTGGTCAATTGCATCTGACACAGCTTCAAAACATGTCCTTCCCAGTTGTTGTTCCCTTTAGACTCCGAAGATCGAGCGGTTCCTCCGTAATGCAAAAATTATCATCAACTCCCCGCAAAAAAAATTACAGCTGTGCAGTGTCCGTGGCATCTGTGCTCTCATCACATGCAATCGAGTAAAAATCGAAAGCACAAGCTTTATCTGACACTTGCTGTTTTAAGTTCGCCGACAAGTCTTCAATTCGCCGCACAACCGTATTTCTGGACATACTAACATCGTTGAAATCCTGCATTTTCTCCGGGCACATTATTCCCACGACATTAGCGAGGCGTTGTTTGATGAAGGCACCACCTGAGAAAGGTTTCCCGTGTAGGGCAATGAGTTGAGCTACTTCATAACTGGCTATTGTTGTATTTTCTTGAGCTTTGTTAGCACGGAAAAAAAACCCCTGCTGCTGCGTTAGCAGGCTAGCTTGCCATTTGCTTTACCTTCTCTCTCCGCTCGGCGCCAGTGTAGGACGTGAAGGTCTGATGTTTCGTTTCATAATGCCGTCGTACATTCTACTCTTTCAGCACGGCAACACTCTCATTGCAAATCAAACAAACACACTTTCCCCCTTGGTTTCTATGAAAAAATATTGATTTTTCCACCGAGTCCGAAATTTTCTGCACTCGCTTGCAATCTTGCGTCTCTTCGGTTCCGGCATTTCTGGTGACCCTGAGCATTTTTTTTCTTCGATTGCTTGCTTTGTGGAGACGCTGCCTTGTTCAAGACAATAGCGCCACCTAGTTTTAAACTAAGAGGTGCAATACAGTGGGCCATAGTCCATTATATTTTTTAGACTTTGATACGGGCCAATTGAAAATGGATGGCGGGCCGCAGTTGGCCCGCGGGCCGTAGTTTGGACACCCCTGATCTAAACACAACAACAAAGCAATTCGTTTTCAATATCTATTTATTTTTAAGAATCTAAAAACCCTCTTGCAAACACAAAGCAAAGCAACACAAAAAGGGGAGGTGGGGGGTGGGGGGAACATTTTTTTTCGTCTCCCCAGCGGCGATGTTTACTACGCACCGCACCCAGGTACTCATTTGAGGCCGAGTCGACCTAGGCGAGGCCCAGGACCGGCCCAGATAATCGTCACCGGTGTTGGCCGTGAGCAGGGGTCGAACCCGGTTCACCAGGTTGGTAGCGCAGCGTAGCGCTACACCGCCGCTTCCCACTCAAAAAGACAAAGATCTCAAAGTCCGCTAGGAGCCGTGAGAGTCCCTGAGTCCACGAGGAGTCCCTGAGTCCACGTGGAGTCCCTGAGTCCACGTGGAGTCCCTGAGTCCACGAGGAGTCCACGAGGAGTCCCTGAGTCCGCTAGGAGTCTGAGAGTCCACGTGGCGTCTGAGAGTCCCTGAGTCCACGAGGAGTCTCTGAGTCCACGTGGAGTCCCTGAGTCCACGTGGAGTCCCTGAGTCCGTGAGAAGTCTTAGAGTCTGATAGTCCATGAGGAGTCTGTGAGTCCGTTAGTCCAAGAGGAGTCCCTAAGTCCACGAGGAGTCTGTGAGTCCGCTAGGAGTCTGTGAGTCCCTGAGTCCGCTAGGCGTCCCTGAGTCCACGAGGAGTCACTGAGTCCGCTAGGAGTCTGAGAGTCCACGAGGAGTCCCTGAGTCCCTGAGTCCACGTGGAGTCCCTGAGTCCATGAGGAGTCCCTGAGTCCGCTAGGAGTCTGAGAGTCCACGAGGAGTCCCTGAGTCCCTGAGTCCACGTGGAGTCCCTGAGTCCATGAGGAGTCCCTGAGTCCCTGAGTCCGCTAGGAGTCTGTGAGTCCACGTGGAGTCCCTGAGTCCACGAGGAGTCCCTGAGTCCACGAGGAGTCCCTGAGTCCCTGAGGAGTCCCTGAGTCCACGAAGAGTCCCCGAGTCCGCTAGGAGTCCCTGAGTCCACGAGGAGTCCCTGAGTCCACGTGGAGTCCCTGAGTCCGCTAGGAGTCTGAGAGTCCACGTGGAGTCTTAGAGTGCCTGAGTCCACGAGGAGTCCCTGAGTCCGTGAGGAGTCTTAGAGTCTGATAGTCCACGAGGAGTCTGTGAGTCCACGAAGAGTCCCTGAGTCCGTGAGGAGTCTGAGTCCGTGAGGAGTCTGTGAGTCTGTGAGTCCGCTAGGAGTCTGAGAGTCCGCTAGGAGTCCGTGCGTGTGCCCTACCTCGAGCTCCTGCGCCTGCTCCTGGTTGGCGGCGTACATCTGCTGCAGCGTCTCCTCCAGCTCCGTGTTGCGCTCCAACAGCGTCTTTCCCAGCTCGGCCGCCAGCTGGAGGTCTGCGTGGAGGGGCGGCGGTGGCGACGATTAGCGCGGTTGGCCGCTACGTACGGCGTGATAGAAGTTCAACACGTACGCACGCGCGGTCAGTCCGTACGCACGCTCTTTCGTTCTTTCGGTAAAGTCACGTCGGTAGGAAAATAATAGATCACGATGTTTCGATCGCAACACAAGCAATAAACCTGATGACGATTGCTGAGAGTTCGTGCAATAAACCTGATGACGATTGCTGAGAGTCCGTGCAATCACCTGATGACGATTGCTGAGAGTCCGTGCAATCACCTGATGACGATTGCTTGTGTTGCGATCGAAACGTCGCGATCTGTTGTTTTTTCCAACTACGCGACCTTGCCGAGAGAACCAGAGAGTGTGAGATTCCTGCAGTCACGAAAGCTTCGAATCGAGATCGGCTCGTACGCGGTCATCAATTTACCCCGTCGACGGCGGATTGCGATCGGAGTGAGGAGTTTGTTTGCCGAGCCAAGCCCATTGGGCCATGACGCCCGCTTCCAAGGGGTAACCCGGCCGGCCAGAATCACAGTCACAATCACTGGCGATTCGTCGCGCTTGTCAGCAGAGTGAACGGCAACATTTTGCACCGACGCGATCGAACACCAAATCAAGTCACCCCCCCCCCCCCCCCCCGAAAAGACAAACCTCCATCATTGTCACGGGCATCAGAGGCTCAGGGGGGTCCGAGCAATTTGCAACTATTGGGTCGGTGTCAAAGATGAAGGCCTACGAGAGGAAGACATCGCCCAGTGTTTACTTGTCGTCTTGTGAGCTCGGTTCGCCCGTTTAGCTCCTCTCTAATCACCGGATTATTGCCTGGCGCATTGGGTTATGACCTACGTGGGGCGGATTCCAGAGAGTTCAGACGCACCGTATCTGCACCCCCATCTCGCCCCATCTCGCCCCGTCTGTGTGGGAGGAAGGATATGATGACTTACATCTCGAGGAGGAGTGTGATAGTATCAGTGTGTGTGCAGCAGGGAGTGTGATGGTATCAGTGTGTGTACAGCAGGGAGTGTGATGGTATCAGTGTGTGTGCAGCAGGGAGTGTGTATCAGTGTTGATGCAGCATGGAGTGTGATAGTATCAGTGTGTGTGCAGCAGGGAATGTGTTTGTATCAGTGCGTGTACAACAGGGAGTGTGATAGTATCAGTGTGTGTGCAGCGGGGAGTCTGATAGTATCAGTATGTGTGCAGCAGGGAGTGTATATCAGTGTGTGTGCAGAAGGGAGTGTGATAGTATCAGTGTGTGTGCAGCAGGGAGTGTGATAGTATCAGTGTGTGTGCAGCAGGGAGTGTGATAGTATCAGTGTGTGCAGCAGGGAGTGTGTATCAGTGTTTGTGCAGCAGGGAGTGTGTTAGTATCAGTGTCGGTGGAGCAGGGAATGTGATAGTATCAGTGTGTGTGCAGCAGGGAGTGTGATAGTGTCAGTGTGTGTGCAGCAAGGAGTGTGATAGTATCAGTGTGTGCAGCAGGGGGTGTGATAGTATCAGTGTGTGTACAGCAGGGAGTGTGATAGTATCAGTGTGTGTGCAGCAGGGAGTGTATATCAGGGTGTGTGCAGAAGGGAGTTTGATAAATTCAGTGTGTGTGCAGCAGGGAGTGTGATAGTATCAGTGTGTGTGCAGCAGGGAGTGTGATAGTGTCAGTGTGTGTGCAGCAAGGAGTGTGATAGTATCAGTGTGTGCAGCAGGGGGTGTGATAGTATCAGTGTGTGTACAGCAGGGAGTGTGATAGTATCAGTGTGTGTGCAGCAGGGAGTGTGTATCAGTGTTGTGCAGCAGGGAGTGTGTTAGTATCAGTGTCGGTGGAGCAGGGAGTGTGATAGTGTCAGTGTGTGTGCAGCAGGGAGTGTGATAGTATCAGTGTGTGTGCAGCAGGGAATGTGATAGTATCAGTGTGTGTGCAGCAGGGAGTGTGATAGTATCAGTGTGTGTACAGCAGGGAGTGTGATAGAATCAGTGTGTGCAGCAGGGAATGTGTATCAGTGTTGATGCAGCAGGGAGTGTGATAGTATCAGTGTGTGCAGAAGGGAGTGTGATAGTATCAGTGTGTGTGCAGCAGGGAGTGTGATAGTATCATTTTGTGCAGCAGGGAGTGTGATAGTATCAGTGTGTGTGCAGCAGGGAGTGTGATAGTATCTGTGTGTGCAGGAGGGAGTGTGATGGTATCAGTATGTGTGCAGCAGGGAGTCTTATAGTATCAGTGTGTGTGCAGCAGGGAGTTTGATCGTATCAGTGTGTGTGCAGCAGGGAGTTTGATAGAATCAGTGTGTGTGCAGCAGGGAGTGTGATAGTATCAGAAGGGAGTGTGATAGTATCAGTGTGTTTACAGCAGGGAGTGTGATAGTATCAGTGTGTGTGCAGCATGGAGTGTGATAGTATCAGTGTGTGTGCAGCAGGGAGTGTGATAATATCAGTGTGTACAGCAGGGAGTGTGGTAGTATCAGTGTGGGTGCAGCAGGGAGTGTGATAGTATCAGTGTGTGTGCAGCAGGGAGTGTGATAGTATCAGTGTGCGTGCAGGAGGGAGTGTGATAGTATCAGTGTGTGTGCAGCAGGGAGTGTGATAGTATCAGTGTGTGTGCAGCAGGGAGTGTGATAGTATCAGTGTGTGCAGCAGGGAGTGTGTATCAGTGTTTGTGCAGCAGGGAGTGTGTTAGTATCAGTGTCGGTGGAGCAGGGAATGTGATAGTATCAGTGTGTGTGCAGCAGGGAGTGTGATAGTGTCAGTGTGTGTGCAGCAAGGAGTGTGATAGTATCAGTGTGTGCAGCAGGGGGTGTGATAGTATCAGTGTGTGTACAGCAGGGAGTGTGATAGTATCAGTGTGTGTGCAGCAGGGAGTGTATATCAGGGTGTGTGCAGAAGGGAGTTTGATAAATTCAGTGTGTGTGCAGCAGGGAGTGTGATAGTATCAGTGTGTGTGCAGCAGGGAGTGTGATAGTGTCAGTGTGTGTGCAGCAAGGAGTGTGATAGTATCAGTGTGTGCAGCAGGGGGTGTGATAGTATCAGTGTGTGTACAGCAGGGAGTGTGATAGTATCAGTGTGTGTGCAGCAGGGAGTGTGTATCAGTGTTGTGCAGCAGGGAGTGTGTTAGTATCAGTGTCGGTGGAGCAGGGAGTGTGATAGTGTCAGTGTGTGTGCAGCAGGGAGTGTGATAGTATCAGTGTGTGTGCAGCAGGGAATGTGATAGTATCAGTGTGTGTGCAGCAGGGAGTGTGATAGTATCAGTGTGCGTGCAGGAGGGAGTGTAATAGTATCAGTGTGTGCAGAAGGGAGTGTGATAGTATCAGTGTGTGTGCAGCAGGGAGTGTGATAGTATCATTTGGTGCAGCAGGGAGTGTGATAGTATCAGTGTGTGCAGCAGGGAGTGTGATAGTATCTGTGTGTGCAGGAGGGAGTGTGATGGTATCAGTATGTGTGCAGCAGGGAGTCTTATAGTATCAGTGTGTGTGCAGCAGGGAGTTTGATCGTATCAGTGTGTGTGCAGCAGGGAGTTTGATAGAATCAGTGTGTGTGCAGCAGGGAGTGTGATAGTATCAGAAGGGAGTGTGATAGTATCAGTGTGTTTACAGCAGGGAGTGTGATAGTATCAGTGTGTGTGCAGCATGGAGTGTGATAGTATCAGTGTGTGTGCAGTAGGGAGTGTGATAATATCAGTGTGTACAGCAGGGAGTGTGGTAGTATCAGTGTGGGTGCAGCAGGGAGTGTGATAGTATCAGTGTGTGTGCAGCAGGGAGTGTGATAGTATCAGTGTGCGTGCAGGAGGGAGTGTGATAGTATCAGTGTGTGTGCAGCAGGGAGTGTGATAGTATCAGTGTGTGTGCAGCAGGGAGTTTGATAGTATCAGTGTTAGTGCAGCAAGGAGTGTGATAGATTCAGTGATTGCAGCAGGGAGTGTGATAGTATCAGTGTGTGTGCAGCAGGGAGTTTGATCCTATCAGTGTGTGTGCAGCAGGGAGTGTGATAGTATCAGTGTGTGTGCAGCAGGGAGTGTGATAGTGTCAGTGTGTGCAGCAGGGAGTGTGATAGTATCAGTGTGTGTGCAGCAGGGAGTGTGATAGTATCAGTGTGTGTGCAGCAGGGAGTGTGATAGTATCAGTGTGTGTGCAGCAGGGAGTGTGATAGTATCAGTGTGTGCAGCAGGGAGTGTGTATCAGTGTTTGTGCAGCAGGGAGTGTGTTAGTATCAGTGTCGGTGGAGCAGGGAATGTGATAGTATCAGTGTGTGTGCAGCAGGGAGTGTGATAGTGTCAGTGTGTGTGCAGCAAGGAGTGTGATAGTATCAGTGTGTGTGCAGCAGGGAGTGTGATAGTATCAGTGTGTGCAGCAGGGAGTGTGATAATATCAGTGTCTGTGTAGCAGGGAGTGTGATAGTATCAGTGTGTGTGCAGCAGGGAGTGTGATAGTATCAGTGTGTGTGCAGCAGGGAGTGTGATAGTATCAGTGTGTGCAGCAGGGAGTGTGATAGTATCAGTGCGTGTGCAGCAGGGAGTGTGTATCAGTGTTGTGCAGCAGGGAGTGTGTTAGTATCAGTGTCGGTGGAGCAGGGAGTGTGATAGTGTCAGTGTGTGTGCAGCAGGGAATGTGATAGTATCAGTGTGTGTGCAGCAGGGAGTGTGATGGTATCAGTGTGTGTGCAGCAGGGAGTGTGATAGTATCAGTGTGTGCAGCAGCGACTGTGATAGTATCAGTGTGTGTACAGGAGGGAGTGTGATAGTATCAGTGTGTGTGCAGCAGGGAGTGTGATAGTATCAGTGTGTGCAGCAGGGAGTGTGATAGTATCATTGTGTGCAGCAGGGAGTGTGATAGTATCAGTGTGTGTGCAGCAGGGAGTGTGATAGTATCTGTGTGTGCAGGAGGGAGTGTGATGGTATCAGTATGTGTGCAGCAGGGAGTCTTATAGTATCAGTGTGTGTGCAGCAGGGAGTTTTATCGTATCAGTGTGTGTGCAGCAGGGAGTGTGATAGTATCAGAAGGGAGTGTGATAATATCAGTGTGTTTACAGCAGGGAGTGTGGTAGTATCAGTGTGGGTGCAGCAGGGAGTGTGATAGTATCAGTGTGTGTGCAGCAGGGAGTGTGATAGTATCAGTGTGCGTGCAGGAGGGAGTGTGATAGTATCAGTGTGTGTGCAGCAAGGAGTGTGATAGTATCAGTGTGTGTGCAGCAGGGAGTGTGTATCAGTTTCTGTGCAGCAGGGAGTGTGATAGTATCAGTGTGTGCAGCAGGGAGTGTGATAGTATCAGTGTGTGTGCAGCAGGGAGTTTGATAGTATCAGTGTTTGTGCAGCAGGGAGTGTGATAGATTCAGTGATTGCAGCAGGGAGTGTGATAGTATCAGTGTGTGTGCAGCAGGGAGTTTGATCGTATCAGTGTGCGTGCAGCAGGGAGTTTGATAGTATCAGTGTGTGTGCAGCAGGGAGTGTGATAGTATCAGTGTGTGTGCAGCAGGGAGTGTGATAGTATCAGTGTGTGTGCAGCAGGGAGTGTGATAGTATCAGTGTGTGTGTGCAGCAGGGAGTGTGATAGTATCAGTGTGTGTGCAGCAGGGAGTGTGATAGTATCAGTGTGTGCAGCAGGGAGTGTGATAGTATCAGTGTGTGTGCAGCAGGGAGTGTGATAGTGTCAGTGTGTGTGCAGCAAGGAGTGTGATAGTATCAGTGTGCGTGCAGGAGGGAGTGTGATAGTATCAGTGTGTGCAGCAGGGAGTGTGATAATATCAGTGTCTGTGTAGCAGGGAGTGTGATAGTATCAGTGTGTGTGCAGCAGGGAGTGTGATAGTATCAGTGTGTGCAGCAGGGAGTGTGATAGTATCAGTGTGTGTGCAGCAGGTAGTGTGATAGTATCAGTGTGTGTGTGCAGCAGGGAGTGTGATAGTATCAGTGTGTGTGTGCAGCAGGGAGTGTGATAGTATCAGTGTGTGCAGCAGAGTGCAGCAGGGTGCGGCAGGGTGCGGCAGTGTGCAGCAGGGTGCAGCAGGCTCACCCTGTTCCAGGTCGCGTTGATCGTACCAAGGCTCGTCTTCCACAATTTCATACTCGTCCATCTCGATCTGTCTCTCTGTGTCTCCGTGTCTGTCTCTCCGTGTCTGTCTCTTCGTATCTGTCTCTCCGTGTCTGTCTCTCCGTGTCTATGTCTCCGTGTCTGTCTCTCCGTGTCTGTCTCTCTGTGTCTGTCTCTCCGTGTCTATGTCTCCGTATCTGTGTCTCCGTATCTGTCTCTCCGTGTCTATGTCTCTGTATCTGTGTCTCCGTGTCTGTGTCTCCGTGTCTGTGTCTCCGTGTCTGTCTCTCCGTATCTGTCTCTCCGTGTCTGTCTCTCCGTGTCTATGTCTCTGTATCCGTCTCTCCGTGTCTGTGTCTCCGTGTCTGTGTCTCCGTATCTGTCTTCGTATCTGTCTCCGTATCTGTGTCTCCGTATCTGTCTCTCCGTGTCTATGTCTCTGTATCTGTCTCTCCGTGTCTGTCTCTCCGTGTCTATGTCTCTGTGTCTCCGTATCTGTCTCTCCGTGTCTATGTCTCTGTATCTGTCTCTCCGTGTCTGTCTCCGTGTCTGTCTCTCCGTATCTGTCTCTCCGTGTTTGTCTCTCCGTGTCTATGTCTCTGTATCTGTGTCTCTGTATCTGTGTCTCCGTATCTGTGTCTCCGTGTCTGTCTCTCCGTGTCTATGTCTCTGTATCTGTCTCTCCGTGTCTGTGTCTCCGTGTCTCCGACAGAGCGGCCCCTGCTGTCGGCAGATGGCGCGTGGCGACGTGGCCGAGTCTGAGAGACCCTCTGCGATTTCCCTCCCTGCCGCCCGATGGAGAAAGAGGTGGCGTGCGGGGGATGAAGAGGATGGAGGAGGATGATGGAGGGAGGGAGGAGAGAGGAACAGATTGGATTTGTGTCCATGGCCACACCTCCACAAGGGTGGGGGGGGGGTCCCCCCACTGCCCAGTGAACGATGATTGGGGCAGGTCTCGGCACCGTTATGATATCAGACAAAAGATCCCACCCGTGTAGCCTTAGCAGACAGCAGGGGCAAGTGCTGTTAGCGAGCAGCACCTATGAAGGCCGGAACGGCGCACGAGGAGGGTGGGTGGCCAGCACCACCACCACCACGCCCGACCGCCTTTGTCTCCCCGAGTGGCGATGATTTTTACACACAGCACCAGGGTACTCATTTGAGGCTGAGTCGAACTATGGGGAGGCCCGGGACCGGTTCGGATAATCGTCACCGGTGTTGGCCGGGAATCGAACCCGGGTCGCCGGGTTCATAGCGCAGCGTAGCGCTAACCGCTGCGCCACCGCTCCCCAGAGCCACCAACCACCACCCCCCCCTCCCACCCTTCTCACCCATTCTGCCCTTCGACAATCGTCAGACTGACTACTCTCCGTTCACCCCCCCCCGCCCCGAAGGAATCCGATGAGCTACAAAGCTCTTTCGCACGGACGTCCAGTAGAAACGTTCGCCGCTGTGCTCAAGGCCTGTGTTTGGGGAATCGCGCGGTTTGTTAAAAGCTCTCCCGGATGCGTTTTTACAGGCCGGTGTCCGACGTTTCGCTTCGGAGGCCCGATCGATAAGCTTTCACGAACAGGCTCCCCCAGCGCATGGCGTGCGGTGACTGCTACAGTGTCTCGCATCATCCACCAGGTGACACTACCATGTCGTGTCAACCACTATATACTACACTACTATACACTACACTATACACTACACTACTATACACTACACTACTATACACTACACTATACACTACACTACTATACACTACACTATACACTACACTACTATACACTACACTACTATACACTACACTATACACTACACTATACACTACACTATACACTACACTATACACTATACTATACACTACTATACACTACACTATACACTACACTACTATACTATACACTACACTACTATACACTACACTACTATACCATACCGTGTCAACCCGAACGGGCTTAGCCCGTATTCGTGTACACTACACTAAACAGTTCACTACTATACACTACACTATACACTACTATACACTACACTATTATACACTACACTATACACTATTATACACTACACTATACACTACACTATACTACTATACACTACACCACTTTACACTACACTACTATACACTACACTACTATACACTACACTATACACTACTATACACTACACTATACACTACACAAACTACACTGTACACTACACCTATACACTACACTACTATACACTACACTTTACACTACACTACTATACACTACACTACTATACACTACACTACTCTACACTACACACTACATTACACACTACACTACTATACACTACATTTTACACTACACTACTATACACTACACTACTATACACTACACTACTCTACACTACATTACACACTACACTACTATACCATACCGTGTCAACCCATACGGTTTACCCCGTATTCTTGTGCAGGTCCATACGGTGTTCAGACGTTTCAATGGGGGCAACAATTTAATAATTGTCTATTTGTTTGTGTTTCTCCCTTGTGATGGGACTTTGTAGGATGAACGTTGAGATTTATAAGGGACCACGGGGTGACCAATCAGGTCTGAATTGGTCTGTAATAAGGTAGGCACTGATAAGGGGTTGACACGTGTGCACGATGATACACTACACTATACACCAAGGCCGTAATTATAATAAATATTGGGGGTGGGGGGACACCCCCCCCACCCCCAATATTCAAATATGCTCAAAATGTGCCCCCCAAATTTTTGTCAAAAACATTTTTTTATGGTATGTAAATAAAAACAACAATTTGATAAACCTTGGCCACAATATCTGGACTTGTCTTCATATGAATCAATGCATAGATTTATGTTGATATGATTGTGGTTATTGTTGTACTTTATAAATCTCGCATCTCTGCCATTACATACAATGAAACAAGAAAAACTGAGCAATGCAATACAATACTGTACACCATTCTACATTATTGTAAAAAATCCATCCCATGTGTTCGTTAATTTTTAAAAAATATTTTAGGCAGGAAATGAGTTTTCTAATTTAGATTTTTTTTCTGGGTTGAGACCCCCAGAAACCCTGGAAGATTTGGTGGCTACGGCCTTGGTGTACACGACTATACATCGTACATTACACATTCTCCTGCGGAGGGAGCTGGTAGTAGGAACGTTGGGTTGCTCGGTCAATGGCCAGGGTCAACGGCGGCACCACCACGTGGTGTATTCCGCACAATATGCCCGACTGTGAGGGCGGGCACAAGCCGGGGTGAGTAGGTTAAACGTTGAGTTTTATAAGGGCACCACGGGGTGAGCAGCCCCTCCCCACCCAGCCCCACCCCTCCCACCCCCCACCCAGCCCCACCCCTCCCACCCAACCCCACCCTCCCCACCCAGCCCCTCCCCACCCTCCCCACCCAGCCCCTCCCCACCCAGCCCCTCCCCATCCTCCCCACCCAGCCCCTCCCAACCCACCCCGCCCAGCCCCACTCCTCCAACCCCCCACCCAGCCCCTCCCCACCTTCCCCCACCCTCCCCACCCGCCCCACCCACCCCACCCAGCCCCTCCCCACCCTCCCCTCTCCACCCAGCCCCACCCCTCCCATTTTTGGATGCACGACGGACGGACGGACACAACAATAATCCCCTGTGGGCTGGTGGTGTAGTAACCAGGAGGTTCCTACCAGTAAGAAAAAGCTACCAAGTTGCTCCAGGGTATCGAACTCATGTGCCGCATCCCCCCCCCCCCCCCCCCCACGGCGTTTTCAGGCCAAAGTCGTGGGTGCGTCTTATAATCGTGTACGTGCATGTGTGCGGTGCCAAGACAAAGGTCCCCCGTGTAGCCTGTAACAGACTGTTGGGGGCAAGTGCTGTTGGCGAGCAGCACCTTGTGAAGGCCGGCACGGCACACGAAGGGGGTGGGTGGCCAACACCGCGCCAGGCCGCCTTTGTCTCCCTAGCGGCGATGTTCACGGAGGTCGTGAGCGGGAATCGAACTCAGGTCGGCAGGTTGGCAGCGCAGTGCGCTGACCACTACGCTTCCGCTCCCCGTACATTGTATTGGCACCTGCACACCAAGGCCGTAGCCATGCAGTCAACATTGGGGGGACCAAATCTTCCAGGGGGTCTGGGGTTCCCCCCCCCCCCCCCCATAAAAAATAATCTTAATTTGAAGACGAATTTCCTGCCCAAAATATTTTAAAAATTAACTAAACACATAGGATGGACTTTTTTTTTACAATAATGTCTAATAGTGTTATTGTATTACATTTCTCTGTTTCATTGTATGTAATGGCAGAGATTAGGTATTTATAAAGTACAACCATAACCACGATCATATAAACAGAAATCTATGCAATGATTTATATGAAGACAAGTCCAGATATTGTGGCCAAGGTTTAGTAAATTGTTGGTTTTATTTACATAGCATAGCATTTTTTGTAAAAAGTATTGTTTATAAAAAGTATTGTTTATAGCAATATTAGCATATTTTGAATATGGGGGGGGGGGGGCACCCAATATATATTATAAATACGGCCTTGCCGCACACACGTTGACGATTATCTGAACCGGTCATGGGTCTCCCCTAGGTCGACTCAGCCTCAAATGAGAACCTGGTGCGGTGTGTAGTAAACATCGCCACTAGGGAGACAAAGGCGGTCGGGGCGTGGTGCTGACAACCCACCCCACGTGCACCCTTTCCGCCTTCATAGGTGCTCGCTAACAGCACTTGTCCCAACAGTTTGTTACAGGCTACATGGGGGATCTTTCTCTTTGTATTGGCATCGCACACACGTTTTGGTTGAATATTACTTTTCTGGAGCGTCTTACAATCTGGATAAATAGTATAATGTTGCAATACAAGATGATATACATCACAATGATCCAAACATTTAAAAAATATATAGTTTTGTCCCAAAGTCTCTGTCTGGCTGTTGTGTGTCATTGTTTGATACGTGGGTCGGTGTACTCTGCACTGACGCGACCAGAGAAACCCCGCGCTGTTTTCAGACAGATGCGCTTCTGTGGCCGTCTAGAAAGCCCTTCCTTCCGACATCAGAAAGCCACTGGGCGATAAGATGCACTCTTAAGCCTTTATTGAAAACTCCTTTCTTTAGAACCGCTTTTTTGTGTTTAATGTGGTGTCCTTTCCCCGCAACTCTGATTCATTACCACGGTTGGCTACGTACGGTGCGAAATGAGTTCAAATATATATTTTTTTATTATTATTGAAGATACTACTGGTTCGTCGTGTTCTGCAGATGAAGATGCCACTAGTTCTTCACGTTCTGCAGATGTAGATGCCACTGGTTCTTCGTGTTCTGCAGATGAAGATGCCACTGGTTCTTCACGCTCTGTAGATGTAGATGCCAGTGGTTCTTTACGCTCTGTAGATGTAGATGCCACTGGTTCTTCACGTTCTGCAGATATAGATGCCACTGGTTCTTCACGTTATACAGATGAGGATGCCACTGGTTCTTCACGTTCTGTAGATGCCACTGGTTTTCCACGTTGTACAGATGTAGATGCCACTGGTTCTTGACGTTCTGCAGATGTAGATGCCACTGGTTCTTCGCGTTCTACAGATATAGATGCCACTGGTTCTTCACGTTCTACAGATGTAGATGCCACTGGTTCTTCACGTTCTGTAGATGCCACTGGTTCTCCAAGTTCTACAGATGTAGATGCCACTGGTTCTTCACGTTCTACAGATGCCACTGGTTCTTCACGTTCTGTAGATGCCACTGGTTCTCCAAGTTCTACAGATGTAGATGCCACTGGTTCTTCACGTTCTGTAGATGCCACTGGTTCTTCGCGTTCTACCGATATAGATGCCACGGGTTTTTCACGTTGTGTAGATGCCACCACGCCATCTATTGCACGGCGGTTGAACTTACGACTCTCCGTCCGAACGGGGAACTGGAAGTACGGAAAGTTCGTAAGTAGTGGAGTCCATGTATAACGCCTGTCAACTCCTTATCAGTGCCCTACCTTATTACAGACCAATTCAGACCTTATTGGTCACCCCCGTGCCCCTTATAAATCTCAACGTTCATTCTAAAGTCCCATCACAAGGGAGAAACACAAACACATAGACAATTATTTTTTTTCGTGGCGATATTGAAACGTCTGTACGCCGTATGGACCTGAAAACTCAAAATTCCTGTAAAAGAATACGGGGTAAACCGTATGGGTTGACACAGGATGGTATAGTAGTGTAGCGTATAGTGTAGTATATAGTGTAGTGTATAGTAGCGCAGTGTGTAGTCGTGTAGTGTATAGTGTAGTATATACACGAATAGAACCAAAGAGTATGGATCCTTGCAGTCACGAAAGCTTCAAATCTAGAAGTGTAGTATATAGTAGTGTAGTGTTTAGTAGTGTAGTGTATAGTAGTGTAGTGTATAGTGTAGTGTATAGTAGTGTAGTGTATAGTAGTGTAGAGTATAGTTGTGTAGTGTATAGTAGTGTAGTGTATAGTAGTGTATAGTGTAGTGTATAGTAGTGTTTTAGTAGTGTAGTGTATAGTAGTGTAGTGTATAGTGTAGTGTATAGTAGTGTAGTGTATAGTAGTGTAGTGTATAGTAGTGTAGTGTATAGTAGTGTAGTGTATAGTAGTGTAGTGTATAGTGTAGTGTATAGTAGTGTATAGTTGTGTAGTGTATAGTAGTGTAGTGTATAGTGTAGTGTATAGTAGTGTAGTGTATAGTAGTGTAGTGTAAGTAGTGTAGTGTATAGTGTACAGCATACCTATCAACCCCTTATCGGCGCCTACCTTATCACAGACCAATTAAGACCTTATCGATCTGCTGTGTACAGACAGACAGAGTGAGTGTACTGGTACTGGTGGGGCGGACCCCGCACGGTCAAACAAACTTCTGTCAGCAAGTAGCCTCCACGTGTTCACTTCCACAATGACCGTGAAACCCAAGAATCTTAAGCACACCACGGGATTCTTGGGTTTCAATCGCGCGGCCTTCAACCACCACCACCACCACCGCGACCACAACCCGGGCCCCCTTCATCCCGAGCTGTTCCCCCTCTCACCCCGCCGCGGCTTCCCCTCGCTAAACCCCTCCAATGCCCACGCCGCATTCGCGCTGCCCGCTCGAGGTGTTAATCGCTCGCATTTGCATCCTCCCCACCACTCCCTCTCCACGACCGCCGCCACCGCCGTTTCCTAGCCGCGCGGCCGAGCCGGTGTACGAGGAGGGCGGCAGGAGGCGCTAGGCGAGACCGTGGTCGGCTCTCAGGCCTATAGCGTTGATTGGGTGGTGGCGGTTTTAACGACATAGCCTTGATCGTTTTGTTTAAAGAGTTGCGAGTTAACAAGATAAAATATTTTAAAAAACTCCCTTTGACAAGAGTAAAACTCTTAGCGAATGCAACGGCAGAGTCGGCGACTAACAATAATAATAACAACGAGAATAATAATAATATCAGGCTGTTGTCTAAACACGAAGCGATGGAAGGGGAATTGGCGAACGTTGACAAGATGCAGACGTGCGACGAGGATAAGCGGTTACTCAAGACGGCCTTGAAAGGTTTGGCATGATCACAATCAACACCATCATCACAATCATTATCATTACAAGCAACACCATCACAATCGACACCATCATCACAATCATCATCATTACAGGCAACACTATCATCACAATCATCATCATTACAAGCAACACCATCATTACAAGCAACACCATCATCACAATCATCATTACAAGCAACACTATCATCACAATCATCATCATTACAATCAACACCATCATCACAATCATCATTACAAGCAACACCATCATCACAAGCAAAACCATAATCACAATCATCATCATTACAAGCAACACCACAATCATCATCATTACAAGCCACACCATTATCACAATCAACACCATCATCACAATCAACACCATCATCACAATCATCATCATTACAGGCAACACTATCATCACAATCATCATCATTACAAGCAACACCATCATTACAAGCAACACCATCATCACAATCAACACCATCACAATCATCATTACAATCAACACCATCATCACAACCATCATCATTACAAGCAACACCATCATCACACGCAAAACCATCATCACAAGACCATCACAATAATTACAAGCAACACCACCATCACAAGCAACACCATCATCGCAAGCAACACCATCATCACAAGCAACACCATCATCATCACCGCTACAACGCTCACCGCTATAACGCGGTACACGCACCGCTATAACGTGGAACGCCCACCGCTACAACGCGGAACGCTCACCGCTACAACGCGGAACGCTCACCACTATAACGCTCACCACTATAACGCGGAACGCTCACCGCTATAACTCGGAACGCTCACCGCTATAACGCGGTTTCTGAGCGGTCGACAAACTACTCTGAGCTGCGCGGCTGAGCGGTACGATAGATATATATTCTTGGTTCTTTCGGTAAAGTCACCACGTAGAAGGGAAACAATAAAATAATAAAAATATAAAACAATTTCCCTTCTACGTGACTTTACACCACTGTTATATTCTTGGTTCTTTCGGTAAAGTCACCACGTAGAAGGGAAACAATAAAATAATAAAAATATAAAACAATTTCCCTTCTACGTGACTTTACACCACTGTTATATTATTGGTTCTTTCGGTAAAGTCACGTAGAAGGGAAACAATAAAGTAATAAAAATATAAACAATTTCCCTTCTACGTGACTTTACACCACTGTTATATTCTTGGTTCTTTCGGTAAAGTCACCACGTAGAAGGGAAACAATACAATAATAAAAATATAAAACAATTTCCCTTCTACGTAACTTTACACCACTGTTATATTCTTGGTTCTTCCGGTAAAGTCACCACGTAGAAGGGAAACAATAAAATAATAAAAATATAAAACAATTTCCCTTCTACGAGACTTAACACCACTGTTATATTCTTGGTTCTTTCGGTAAAGTCACCACGTAGAAGGGAAACAATAAAATAATAAAAATATAAAACAATTTCCCTTCTACGTGACTTTACACCACTGTTATATTATTGGTTCTTTCGGTAAAGTCACCACGTAGAAGGGAAACAATAAAATAATAAAAATATAAAACAATTTCCCTTCTACGTGACTTTACACCACTGTTATATTCTTGGTTTTTTCGGTAAAGTCACCACGTAGAAGGGAAACAATAAAGTAATAAAAATATAAAACAATTTCCCTTCTACGAGACTTAACACCACTGTTATATTCTTGGTTTTTTCGGTAAAGTCACCACGTAGAAGGGAAACAATAAAATAATAAAAATATAAAACAATTTCCCTTCTACATGACTTTACACCACTGTTATATTCTTGATTCTTTCGGTAAAGTCACGTAGAAGGGAAACAATAAAGTAATAAAAATATAAAACAATTTCCCTTCTACGAGACTTTACACCACTGTTATATTCTTGGTTCTTTCGGTAAAGTCACCACGTAGAAGGGAAACAAAGTAATAAAAATATAAAACAATTTCCCTTCTACGTGACTTTACACCACTGTTATATTCTTGGTTCTTTCGGTAAAGTCACCACGTAGAAGGGAAACAATAAAATAATAAAAATATGAAACAATTTCCCTTCTACGTGACTTTACACCACTGTTATATTCTTGGTGCTTTCGGTAAAGTCACGTAGAAGGGAAACAATAAAATAATAAAAATATAAAACAATTTCCCTTCTACGAGACTTTACACCACTGTTATATTCTTGGTTCTTTCGGTAAAGTCACCACGTAGAAGGGAAACAATAAAGTAATAAAAATATAAAACAATTTCCCTTCTACGTGACTTTACACCACTGTTATATTCGTGGTTCTTTCGGTAAAGTCACGTAGAAGGGAAACAATAAAATAATACAAATATAAAACTATTTCCCTTCTACGTGACTTTACACCACTGTTATATATTCTTGGTTCTTTCGGTAAAGTCACCACGTAGAAGGGAAACAATAATATAATAAAAATATAAAACAATTTCCCTTCTACGTGACTTTACACCACTGTTATATTCTTGGTTCTTTCGGTAAAGTCACCACGTAGAAGGGAAACAATAAAATAATAAAAATATGAAACAATTTCCCTTCTACGTGACTTTACACCACTGTTATATTCTTGGTGCTTTCGGTAAAGTCACGTAGAAGGGAAACAATAAAATAATAAAAATATAAAACAATTTCCCTTCTACGAGACTTTACACCACTGTTATATTCTTGGTTCTTTCGGTAAAGTCACCACGTAGAAGGGAAACAATAAAGTAATAAAAATATAAAACAATTTCCCTTCTACGTGACTTTACACCACTGTTATATTCGTGGTTCTTTCGGTAAAGTCACGTAGAAGGGAAACAATAAAATAATACAAATATAAAACAATTTCCCTTCTACGTGACTTTACACCACTGTTATATATTCTTGGTTCTTTCGGTAAAGTCACCACGTAGAAGGGAAACAATAAAATAATAAAAATATAAAACAATTACCCTTCTACGTGACTTTACACCACTGTTAAATTCTTGGTTCTTTCGGTAAAGTCACCACGTAGAAGGGAAACAATAAAGTAATACAAATATAAAACAATTTCCCTTCTACGTGACTTTACACCACTGTTAAATTCTTGGTTCTTTCCGTAAAGTCACCACGTAGAAGGGAAACAATAAAGTAATAAAAATATAAAACAATTTCCCTTCTACGTCACTTTACACCACTGTTATATTCTTGGTTCTTTCGGTAAAGTCACCACGTAGAAGGGAAACAATACAGTAATAAAAATATACAAAATTTCCCTTCTACGTGACTTTACACCACTGTTATATTCTTGGTTCTTTCCGTAAAGTCACCACGTAGAAGGGAAACAATAAAGTAATAAAAATATAAAACAATTTCCCTTCTACGTGACTTTACACCACTGTTATATTCTTGGTTCTTTCCGTAAAGTCACCACGTAGAAGGGAAACAATAAAGTAATAAAAATATAAAACAATTTCCCTTCTACGTCACTTTACACCACTGTTATATTCTTGGTTCTTTCCGTAAAGTCACCATGTAGAAGGGAAACAATAAAGTAATAAAAATATAAAACAATTTCCCTTCTACGTGACTTTACACCACTGTTATATTCTTGGTTCTTTCGGTAAAGTCACATAGAAGGGAAACAATAAAATAATAAAAATATGAAACAATTTCCCTTCTACGTGACTTTACACCACTGTTATATTCTTGGTTTTTTCGGTAAAGTCACCACGTAGAAGGGAAACAATAAAGTAATAAAAATATAAAACAATTTCCCTTCCACGTGACTTTACACCACTGTTATATTCTTGGTTCTTTCGGTAAAGTCACCACGTAGAAGGGAAACAATAAAATAATAAAAATATAAAACAATTTCCCTTCTACGTGACTTTACACCACTGTTATATTCTTGGTTCTTTCGGTAAAGTCACCACGTAGAAGGGAAACAATAAAATAATAAAAATATACAAAATTTCCCTTCTACGTGACTTTACACCACTGTTATATTCTTGGTTCTTTCGGTAAAGTCACCACGTAGAAGGGAAACAATAAAATAATAAAAATATAAAACAATTTCCCTTCTACGTGGTGACTTTACACCACTGTTATATTCTTGGTTCTTTCGGTAAAGTCACCACGTAGAAGGGAAACAATAAAATAATAAAAATATAAAACAATTTCCCTTCTACGTGACTTTACACCACTGTTATATTCTTGGTTTCTTTCGGTAAAGTCACCACGTAGAAGGGAAACAATAAAGTAATAAAAATATATTCGACACCCATTCGCGCTCGCCTGCGTGACCATCAACCCCCCCCCCCCCCCTCCCCCCCGTGTGCGCGCTGCAGAACCAGAGGCGGTGGACCTGCAGCAAGCCGCCATGACAGTGGTGAACGTGGCAATGAAGGACCCGGCGTTTTGCAAGCATGCGGGCAAAATCTGCCACACCATTATGCAGGTGCCCCCAGACGGCCACCGCGGCCTCCCCCAGACACGCGCACGGGAGTCGCACTCCAGCACCGCGATGGACCGGATTAACTGTGACAATTGACACGTGTCCAGTGGCACGTTTCAGCCATAGATGCCTAGGGTCAGTAGTCAGAACTAGTTGGGGGCGGGGGATGGGGCAAAGGCCAGTTTAAGGAGAGGTGCGTTTGCAACACGGGACGTAAATATATCTCTCGCGACTCTCGGTTGTCTTATTAGCAGTGGCAAAGCGTTGTTCCAAGGTTGATTTGAAGCTTTCGCGACTGCAGGAGTCCACGCTCTGCAGTTCTTTCGGTAAAGTCATCACGTGGGTAGAAGAAGAGTAATAATAGGTCACGACGTTTCGATGGCAACGCAGGCGATCGTCATCAGGTGGGGACAACCACAGCAAGAAAAAAAAAAAAAACTGCTGTCCCACCTGATTGACGATTGCTTGCGTTGCGATCGAAACGTCGTGACCTCATTATTTTTCTTCTACCCACGTGGTGACTTTACCGAAAGAACCACAGAGTATTGTTCCAAGGCTTGGGAGCTGCACTGGCAAAAAAGGCCGATCACCCCAGGAACACAGAGCCTTGATCTCCGAGTACTCCACAGCACTCCGAAGAAGGCAATCGGAAGATCGCAGGGACCTCAAAGTATAAAAAAATGGTTCGGGTTCCTGTCGATATGGCGAGGCTGTAACCCATTGAGTAATCTCAACAGCACTTTCATGGTTTCGACACCTTGGGAGACCATCGTACACGTGTGGAGTCCCCACTTTCACGCACTGGGGGGCCCAGTAGCTTTGCCAATGAGCACTGGTGACTACGCCGTCACTTCTTCTTTCGTACGGCTGCCGATGTCGATGCGGAGCAAGCAACTCACAATTTCGCGTTCAGGTCGTCAAGATCAGATAACCGCGTCAGGAGCAGCGGGGAGTGTCTGTCTCCGTGATGTCTCCTGCGTATTTGTGGGTCGGGCATTGGGTCGTTGTGCGGTGTCTGTTCTGGATGACCACAGTCGCACACTCCTGGGGAGTTTTTTTATTTTTTTAAATTTTCGATTTGTGCATCAGGTATCCTCATCTGCCATTTCCTGTTACTGATGAGTCCTAACGGGAACAAAACGAATCCACGTTCGTCTGTCGGCGGCATCACTGCTGTCGGTCGGTCACATTTGCCCCAAGTCATTTTTACGGTGACCTAAGAAAAGAGGACCACAATGCACCTGTTCAGGAAATGCTGGTGGTTTCTGCATATGAACAGAGGCTGTGTGATCTTTCACAATTGTGCGTGCCGTTTTGACAAGGCCACACGGGGTGTGACTTGTCTCTGTGTTGTTTTTGTTCCTGTGTGCGCGCCTTGGCCCCTGCTCGCGAAGATGAGTAGTGTCGTGGTCAGCGCGCTGCGCTACGAAGCCAGCGACCCAAGTTCGATTCCCACTCAAGGCCAACACCATTGAGGATTATCTGGAACCGATCCTGGGCCATCCCTCGGTCGACTCGGCCTCAAATGAGTACCTGGTGGTGTGTGCAAACATCGCCACCGGGGAGCCAAAGGGCAGTCGGGCGTGGGTGCTGCTGGCCACCAATCCCCTTCGCGTGCACGTGCCGGCCTTCATTGGCGCTACCCGCCGACAGCACTCGCCCCAGAAGGTCTGTGTTAAGGCTTTACGGGGGAGTGGGAATCTTCGTCTCTGTGCTTGCGTCCAGGCGGAGAGTAAGGCAGGAGGCTCGGCCTTGTTCAGACGCCACCTCCTCACGCAGCTGCAGACGGAGTTTGGGCGGCGCGAGGAGACGAGGAAGAACGACGTGCAGCGATGGGTGCTCTTCGTCACCCTCATGTGCAACCTCTTCGACCACGTCAAGGTGACGAGACTTGGGGCGACGTCTCGGAAGTTACCGGAGGGCCGCCGGGGCTCGCACGCGGCACGAGCAGCCGAACCGGCACGCAGGGCCGGTTCGGTGCGCCCGACGTGACGTGGCTGCGGACTGGCACGCCAACTCCGGTCAAACGCGCAGCGGCGGTTTTTGGGCTAAATCGGACAAGCATCAGAATCCGAATATTTATTGACACTGGAGGAATCCGACGAGCTTATAATAAAGCTCTTTTTCACGGACGTCCAGTAGCACAGAGCAAAGACGGTCACCGCGTCGCGCGCCCTTTCAGATGCACTTCTGCGGCCGTCTGGAACGCTCTTCCGATATTAGGAAGCCACTGCAGTTGACAAACTAATTTATTTTAGAACTGCCTCTTTTGTGTTTAGTTTGTTGTCCTTTCCCCCCCGCGCGGTTGGAACGTACGGTGCGAAAGAAGTTCAAATTACACGTGTACATAGTTTTTATTATTTAGCCCACCTGGTGCAGATAAAATGCAAAATTCACCCAGCCAGGGTCTGGCTAAACCGGCGTTCACCGTATAGCTTATTACCATTTTCTGCTCTCCCTAAGTACATGGCAGTCTTAACGATGCTACAAAATCATCTCGGTCTGCATTTCCATTCATACCGCGTTAATTTCATCTCGCCTTAGCCAAGCTTTGGGTTTGCGCTGAGTGGCCACGGTGGACGCTTTTCATCTCCATATATACAAGCTCCCACTCCGTCCTCACTTCGCCACGGCCAAGCGCCAAAAATTCCCACCCCCCCGCCCCCACCCACCCATGGTTCATCTGTCCCCTCTCTCGGAAAGCGTCGCCGCGTTTGAAACACGAGATAATGACAAAGAGATCCAGTTGACGACCTCGGCCCGGTCGCCAAAAAAAACCGCGCGACAAAAATCCTTATCGCAGAGCCTCGCGCTGCCATCGCTGAGAACCCTGGGCTTGGTCGGAATCAAAAGTTTCGGGCCGCCCGCGATGAAAGAAACAAACAAAACAACCGTGACCCTCCCAGGCCTCGCTAGTTGACCGTTCCGGCCACCCCGATCGGAACAACGGATCGCACGACAAACGTTCAGCTCTCCGCGTTCCCCGTTTGCAGGTGAACGGCGCCCCCATGGTCGCGTTGGTGGGGCCCATCCACGACTGCCTCACTCGCCTCGCCCAGCCCGACGCGGTGTGCAATCCCCAAGAGGTATTTCCCCGAAGGCCCCCCCCACCCCCACCCCCCCCCCCGTTTACGAGTTTGTATGTTCTCTCTTGCTCTCTCTCCCTCTCTCTCGCGTCTCCCCACCCACACGTTCTGGGTTCTCCGGTTCCCACCGATAGCAATTAAAAATAAAAATCGGTAAGAAAAACCACGCATCGTCCTGCTGCTCTATTTAAGACAACGAAGCAGGCGGATTGCTTAACTATTCTGGCAAATCGCCCGATGAGATGACGCTGGATGCAGTTACCAGCGAAACGTCGTACTACTCATAACGTAAACGTTGTGGATTTACTCTCCCAACGCACCGGTGGGCTGAAGCGGTAACTAATTGGCGCGTTTTGTTTACGTTGACGAGCCTTACTGGCCGTGTCGGGCGGCGGAGGGTTACGACACCTTTACACTTAACGTGATCTGACCCAAAAACCTTTATCATGAATGGGAGAGAAGGATCGTCACCGACGTTGCCCGTCAGCGGGAATCGAACTCTGGTCGCCGGGTTTCGCAGCGCAGCGCAGCTAACCGCCCCGCGCACGCACACACGCACGGGCGTTGCCGCAAGCTTGGCATCCCTCCCCACCTCCACCCCCCCGTGAGCCTTGCCTCCGGCACGGCAGGTCGACTGCCTGGCTCGCGAGCTGCAGCGCATCGGCGAAGGCCTGGAGGAGGCGGCGGCGGCGGCGGCGGCCGGACCGGCGGGCGACTCTCGCATGGACGAGCTCTTCTGCGGCCTCCGCGACGCGTTCCTGCTGGGCCCCGATCTGCCGTCTCTGTCGCGCCTGCTGCTGCTGGAGCTCATCGAGGTGCGCGCCGGCGGCTGGGAGCTGACCGACTCGGCGACGCGCTACTACTACAGCGAGCTGCCCGAGTAGCCCGACGACGAGGAGGAGGGACGGACGGACGGACGGACGGACGGAGAAGAGGAGGAGGAGGAGGAAGGTGGAGGAGCAGGAGGAGACAGCTGTGACGGTGTTCTCCAGGGCCGGGATATCCGATTGTTTTGAGTGATCCGTTGAAGATGCCGTCTTGACCGCAGCCGTTTGACGCCGCCGCACTCCCGCTCCAACGCCTTCTTCCCCCTCCGCCAGGTCCCCTGCAGCCGCTGCTCAGGCGACGCGCGACGAACTCCCAAGATGCGAGCCCGCGATTGGCTACGTCAAGTTGCCAACCAAATCCGACTTGATGTGTTTCTGCGTGCGGTTTGTTGGTCCCTTGCGGCTGAAAACGGTCGACCCGCCAACCCCGAGAGGACCCGGGTGGTTTTTTTTCGTTTTTATCGTGGGCGGCCGAAACGTTTGATTCCCCACCAGCGCAGGGTTCTCTGTGATGAGGATTTTTATTGAGCGGTTGTTGGTGGCCGGGCTGAGACCATCAGCTCACTGCGTTTGAGAACCCTGTTTTAATCCCAGCTCGGTCTATGCAAGTCTGTGGGTCTCTGTCTTAAGTCTACACGTCTCTATACGAGTCTGTGGGTCTCTATGTGAATCTATGGGCTGATACCATCAACTCGCTGCGCCTGAGCACCCGTTGTAATAACAGCTACGTCGATGTACAATCTATAGGTCTGTTATCTAAGTCTGCAGAGGGTCTCTGCGAGTCTGTGGGACTCTTAAGTCTGTGCGAGTCATTGGTGGCCGGGCTGAGAGACCATCAGCTCAGTGCACTTGAGAATCAGGTTTAACCCCAGGCAGCTGGAACCTGGCTTCACATCGAGGGTCTCAGTGGTGCTGCCGATTGACTGTCTCCGACACGGCCGTGATGAATCCTCCAAAAGCAGGAAAAAAATAACTCGGACTCTAGGATTGAACCTGGAATGCAGGATCCTCAAGATGTAGTGACACGGCCATTGTGAAATCACTCGCCCGTATGTTGTCGACAGAGAGAAATCCGTTTTGATTACACGTGGCCTAAACCTGGATCGAACCCAGGTTCTCAGGAGTGCCAGCTTCGTCCACCCAGCCGCCTCTGAAATCACACTTCCCATCGGGGAGTACGAATTTTAACGGCATCGGCTTTCCGTGAATTTACAAATCGGCAAGTGTAGCCCTTGCCGAATTTTAAGATGCGGTGTTACAGTTAAGTTGCTTATAAATATATATTTTTTAAAATGTAGCGGCGGGTCGCGTCTTTTCACTTTCGTAGTCTGTTTTTAAATAAACGAGCGGGTTTCGTCTGAATCTTTCTTACTTGCCACCGGAAGTTCATTTCCATGGCTGCGTCTGGACCAAAAAAAAAAGAAATCATCAAGCATGACGATCACTCCGACTGCCAAACCAAGACCTTGTGACGACATTAATCCTTTCTGAGACAACTGCACGTTTGCAGGGTGTCCCCGTTCACCCCCGAATCTCGGAGCGTGCAAGCGTCTGGGCGGTAATTTTATTTCGAGGCGTAGTAGCAGCGCCGTTATTCTTAAAGACGTCATTACTCGCCGCAGAGAACCGCAGCGACACGTCCGTCGCCCCTTTATTGCAGCTGGCGTCAAACTGTGCCACGCGCCCTCCCGCATGGCCTTGTGGGAGCCTCGGTACCGATAAAGTGATTTCCATTCCGTAGACGTGCGTGCGCCTGGACGTCATTGAAACGGAAACGGAAGAGGGGAGGAGGAAAAGTAACGGTGCAGGAAGGGGGTGGGGAGAAGCAATGATCAGGCCAAGATGTTGAGGATGATGAGAGGGTGGTGATGATGGTGATGAGAGGGTGATGATGGTGATGAGAGGGTGGTGATGATGAGAGGATGGTGATGGTGATGATGATGATGAGAGGGTGGTGATGAGAGAGTGGTGATGATGAGAGGGTCGTGATCGGGTGGTGGTGATGAGAGGGTGATAATGACGATGAGAGGGTGGTGATGGTGAGAGGGTGGTGATGATAGTGATGATGAGAGGGTAGTGATGGTGATGATGAGAGGGTGGTGATGATGAGAGGGTGGTGATGGTGATGAGAGGGGGGTGGTGATGATGGTGAGAGGATGGTGATGGTGATGATGATGAGAGAGTGGTGATGATGAGAGGGTGGTGATCGGGTGGTGGTGATGAGAGGGTGATAATGACGATGAGAGGGTGGTGATGGTGAGAGGGTGGTGATGATGAGAGGGTGGTGATGGTGATGATAGGGTGGTGATGATGAGAGGGTGGTGATGGTGATAGGGTGGTGGTGATGATGAGAGGGTGGTGATGATGGTGATGATGAAAGGGTGGTGATGGTGATGATGAGAGGGTGGTGATGGTGGTGGTGATGATGATGATAGGGTGGTGGTGGTGATAGGGTGGTGATGATGATGAGAGGGTGGTGATAGGGTGGTGATGATGATGATGAGGAGAGGGTGGTGATGATGGTGGTGGTGGTGGTGGTGATGATGATGATGATAGGGTGCTGGTGGTGATAGGGTGGTGATGATGATGATGAGAGGGTGGTGATGATGAAGATAGGGTGCTGATGGTGATGATGAGAGGGTGGTGATAGGGTGGTGGTGATGATGATGATGATAGGGTGCTGGTGGTGATAGGGTAATGATGATGATGAGGAGAGGGTGGTGATGATGATGAGAGGGTGGTGATGATGGTGAGGAGAGGATGGTGATAGTGATGATGATAGGGTGGTGATGATGATGAGAGGGTGGTGATGATGATGAGGAGAGGGTGGTGATGATGAGAGGGGAGAGAGTAGCAGAAGTGAGTGGCACGGAGGGGAGGGGTTGAGAGAAACCAGGGCCGCAGTCAAACCCGTCGGAGCTTGACTAACTTTTCCCGTTTATTAACTAAACACCGAATAAAACGGTGCATTACGCGAGAACATACAACAAACAAGCATTGCATTAACTTCACGTACCTTTAATATTAACGATGATGACAATGAGATAATGCGGAGGGGGGGACGGGGTGTTGTTAGACGCAGGAGGGGCCAAGCCACCCTCCCCTCTTCCTCCCGAGCCATAGATACGCAACAAAGACAAAGATCCCCCGTATAGCCTTAACACTGTTTCGTGGCAAGTGCTGTTAGCGAGCAGAGATGCCAACGCTCACTCCACCTTTACACAGTGGCGGATGAAGCTAGGGCGGAGGGCCTGTAGCAAAAAGAAATCACACAAATATTAAAAAAACACGAAATTTTTACTTGCACAGTAAAGTAATTGTATTTTTTTTCATTTGCTATACAGCCAGATAATACGACGAATCGCTAAACATGAAACACCCAGTCGATCGATAAAGCTGAAGGGCGGTATAGTACTATAGCAATAGAGCAAGTTTAGAATCACCGAACCGGAGTTGATAGCTTGAAAGCGTTTAGCGCGGGGTCCCTTGAAAGTGCGGGGCACGTAGCATATGCAGCTAAATTTCGATTTAAAGCTTTCGTGACTGCAGGGATTCATCTTCTTGGTTCTTTCGGTAAAGTCACCACGTGGAATGGAAATAAAATAACAAAAATAAAACGTAATACAATAAAAAATATAAAAAATACGTGACTTTAACCGAAAGAACCAAGATCATTTGCAGATACTTGTGCTACTTGGATCATCCGGCACTGGTCGCGAAACCCGATTGCTGGTAACCCTCCGTCGCCCGGTCTGCCGCCTTGTTCCCTGCACTGAAATTCTCCCAGCGCAATCAGTAGATCAGTGCGGTTCTTTTGAAATATTTATCGTCTCAACAAAACTAAAAAGCGCAACACTTCCCTGCCACTGCGCTTACATAGCTGTCAACCCCTTATCAGTGCCCTACCTTATCACAGAACAATTACTGACATTATTGGTCAACCCCCCCCCCCCGTGCCCCTTATGAATCTCAACGTTCATCCTACGACGTTCCATCACCAGGGAGGAACACAAATGCATCGACAATAACCACCACTACACTCACCACTAGTACACTCACCACTCGTACACTCACCACTACAAACCTGTCAACCCCTTATCAGTGCCCTACCTTATCACAGAACAATTACTGACATTATTGGTCAACCCCCCCCCGTGCCCCTTACGAATCTCAACGTTCATCCTACGACGTTCCATCACCAGGGAGGAACACAAATGCATCGACAATAACCACCACTACACTCACCACTAGTACACTCACCACTAGTACACTCACGACTACACTCACCACTACAAACCTGTCAACCCCTTATCAGTGCCCTACCTTATCACAGAACAATTACTGACATTATTGATCACCCACCCCCCCGTGCCCCTTACGAATCTCAACGTTCATCCTACAAAGTCCTAAACAAATATAATTGTTGTGACCCGGATTTGAACAGCGTAAACCGTGTGGGTTGTTGACACGGTATGCGCTTCACCCCGTGATTACGCAAACCGCTCATCATACCACGCGGTCGCGCTGCATAACAGGCGAACGCGCCGCTCCGGCTAAGCGACGTTCCGGGAAATGCCCCTTCTTCATGGCACACGTAGAAATGGTGTCGGCGGGTGGGGGGTGGGGGTGTGCAGATAAACGAGAGAGAGAGAGAGAGATCGTTCGCACACAAACTGCGTTTTATTCTTGGGAGGTAGCGGGCACGTGGGAGCGGGCTCGTGTTTGGCAGTGCAGAGCCGATACAGATTCCGTTGATTTTGTTACAAAAACGAAAAAAAAACCACGGGAGCCGCGAGGAACAACCGACTCAACTTTAGACTTACGTGTAGAAAGTCGTCGTGGGTAACCATGGCAACGGTATCTATATATGTATATATTTTTGTTTTAAACGTGGATAACTTACGGCAACCGGTGTGGGTGGGGGGTGGGGGGTGTGTTAAGGTTGTTATTCTCGCAAACGAAAGTTACACGAACTGTCGAATGCCCCCCACGTAGTCCAAACGAATTGAGTAACCCCCCCCCCCAAATATTCACGTATATTATATAGCGTGCGACGGTATATAATAGTACTCTTTAGTTATTTCGGTAAAATCATCAGGTGGGGGAAGCGTGATGCTTCCCCCACCTGATGATGGACGCTTGTGTTGCGCCCGAAACGTCGTGATTTATTTTAAGTTTATACCTACTACGTGATGACTTTACCGAAAGAACCAAAGCGTATGGGATCCCTGCAGTCACGAAAGCTTCAAATCAAGATTATACTGGTAGTACACCGGCCCACAGGGGATTATTGTGTCCGTCCGTCCGTCGTGCATCCAAAAATGTGAGAGGTGGGGCTGGGTGGGGAGGGGAGGGTGGGGAGGGGCTGGGTGGGGAGGGGAGGGTGGGGAGGGGAGGGTGGGGAGGGGAGGGTGGGGAGGGGCTGGGTGGAGAGGGGAGGGTGGGGAGGGGAGGGTGGGGAGGGGCTGGGTCGGGAGGGTGGGGAGGGGCTGGGTGGGGAGGGTGGGGAGGGGAGGGTGGGGAGGGGCTGGGTGGGGAGGGGAGGGGCTGGGTGGGGAGGGAGGGGCTGGGTGGGGGGGGTGGGGAGGGGCTGGGTGGGGAGGGGCTGGTCACCCCGTGGTGCCCTTATAAAACTCAACGTTTTACCTACTCACCCCGGCTTGTGCCCGCCCTCACAGTCGGACATATTGTGCGGAATGCACCACGTGGTGGTGCCGTTGACCCTGGCCATTGACCGAGCAACCCAACGTTCCAACTACCAGCACCTTCCGCAGGAGAACGTGTTATAATGGTAACCCGGTGACGACGAGGAGGGGGGGTGGGGCAGAGTGAGGGGGGTGGTCTGAGCTAATTAAATAAAGGGGCGTGGCCATAATCCACTTTAGCCACGCCCCCCCCCCCTCGTTGCGCGCAACCACAAGCTCGCGAGCGAGCGGACACATCAGTCGCGCGGGCGGGCGGCAGGGCCAAGGTCACGTGATTCCCAAAGCGGCGATTGATTAAGTTTTTCAGTTTTTTTTTCCAGTGTCATTTATTAGGTACTAGCCGTACTACTAGCCGGCTTCGCCCGGGACTTGGATTCACCACGCGCGGCCGCCTTTGTCTCCCCAGTGGCGATGTTCACACACACACCACACACCAGTTACTCGTTTGAGGCTGAGTCGACCTAGGGGAGGCCCAGGACCGGTTCAAATTATCGTCACCGGTGGTGGCCGTGAGCGTGAATCGAACCCGGGTCGCCGGGTTCGTAGCGCGGCGTCGCGCTAACCCGCTACACTATAAATGCGTTACGCTTCCACGTGCACGGGTCACGTGACAGAGCTGACGTCATAGCTCACTTGCCGTGCAAAAACATAAATGCATTATTGAGCTCCCCCCCACCACCCCCCCCCCCTAAAAAAACCCACAAAAGTCTATTTTTATAATTCCTGCATGGTGTACAGTCTAGAAAGTACCCACATGGCAAATCTCCAGTTTGTTGCATGTCGGGAAGTAACGCTAAACATTTTGTACAGACAACACACATTCACAACTTTGCCTGTTATGTACTGTATGTATATATGGCGATAACCCTGTGAGCCATGCGGCTGTTGACTTGGTTGTGACCGCGACGAAACAACAACACGAACAAGAAAACATCTCAAAGTGACTGCTACACGCAAACAGAAACATCCAGAGGGGGGAAAAAAAACACAGCAAAAGTCTTCCAGCAACAAAAAAAAACACCCACCGCATTTCAACGCTGTGTGCAAAAAAATCCCAGTAGGGATGCAAATCAATCAATCAATGACAACCATAAGACAATGTGGATTAAAGTTACCGGGCTAGCTCGCTCGACCCGAATCCCCTTTCACGCGCTTCGGCGAAACCCATAACCCGGTGGGTCCCCTTCTGAATACAGATCGAAACTTTAAGCTTTAACCATCATCATGATTAGTGTCGTTATCATCATGATTACTACAACCGCCGCCACGGGGCAAACGCCTTAACCATGCCTTAGCGGCTCGCCTGCTCACGCGACGCTAGCCTAACACAGAGGCGGCTCCACCTCATACTTCTACAAGACGCGGGCATTATAGCCCGGCACGGGCGCGTCACCTGGGGGGGGGGGCTTGGAGAGGGGGAGGGAGGGAGGGAGGCAGCCGTCACCGGCAGCGCAGTCGCGACCGCCTTCCTAAATCTCGTGGGGTTCGAATCCCGGCCGAGGCGGTTGGGGTTCGGATCGGCTCACACCTTCATCGCTCATGGGGGGGGCGGTGCGCAGGGTGGTGGTGGTGGTGGGTGGGGGGGTCCATAAATATTGAGAGCCGGCAGTGGTCGTGCCACACCACGGGGCTGACTCCCGAGTCCTCCACGGTGAATGTGGAATTGCCCCCCACCCCCCTACCCCCCCCACCCCTCCACGGGCTCAGGTGCTGGGGGATGAGTTCACCACCGGGGCACGCAAGAACAGTCGGCTGGGATGGCCTCTCGCTGGGGCAGTTCGAGAAGAAAATTTACGGCACGCAGAGGGGACTTCGGACACCCACATTCTTTGGGTCTTTCGGTAAAGCCACGCAGATAGGTTGAATAGAAAAAATGACAAAAGATAACTACTGCCGGAGATCCCCTGTTGTGACCGCGTTCCATGCCACGCTCTGAAAGTGTAGTGGCCTCGGGGTGAAGACGCTCGCCACACAGCCGGAGTCAAAACCTGGTGTGGTCTGAACGCTTAAGAGCTGGAATTTGGGCAAATTTGAGTTAGGATTCAAACACAAAACCGAATTGAATGCGATGCCATTTTATTTCGAGGCCACGATCGATCGCTCTACGCTCGAGGACGGGCGGGTGGGCAGGGCGAAGATTCGAACCCAGGGTCTCGGCAGGAATTCGGCTCAGCAGCCTCTGATCTCTGAGCCACCTCCGATCGTCCACGACCGGTTCTGACCTCGGCGAATTTTTGGCAAAAACAATAACCAACGAGACAACGAATATGTAAATATATATATATATCCCGACATCGATGGCACCCAAATCACATCGGGAGAGACGGGGTAGGAACCACGGAAACTCCGGGGAACGACTCCGATCCCCGATTCACGAAAACGGAGGAGGATGATGAGGAAGAGGAGGAGGAAGCGGAGAGGGCATCGTCACAAAGAGCGGTGGTGATTCACTTCCCGACGGCTATCGCCCGGCTCGTCAATCACCTCGAGGTAACAACCACAGCTGCTGCATGCTCCCTGCATCAACAGCAGCACCCACCGGTTCTAAGAGTGCGGAGAAAGGGGCTGGAACACTTTAGACAGGGGGGGTGGGGAGTGGGAGGGGGGGGGGTGGAGGAGGAGAGGAGGGGGAGGGCAAGGTCACGATTGGCAGCAGCCAGATTTCTTCTTCTTCTCGGAGTTGATGTAGTCCTGGATGCGGAACTTGTCGTTGGGCAGCTTGATGGCTCTGTGCTTCAGCTCCCTGTGGAGACGGGCACACCGGGTGGAGGTGCGGAGACGTCACCACGGGGATCATCGTGCTGATTGGTGAACAGTGTCAGTGGTGAGCGGTGTGAGTGGTGTGAGTGAGTGGTGAGCGGTGTGTGGTGTGAGCGGTGTGAGTGGTGTGAGTGAGTGGTGAGCGGTGTGAGTGGTGAATGCTGATTGGTGAACAGTGTCAGTGGTGAGCGGTGTGAATGGTGTGAGTGGTGTGAGTGGTGAGCGGTGTGTGGTGTGAGTGGTGAATGCTGAGTGGTGAGCGGTGTGAGTGGTGTGAGTGGTGAGTGGTGTGAGTGGTGTGAGTGAGTGGTGAGTGGTGTGAGTGGTGAGTGGTGTGAGTGGTGAGCGGTGTGAGTGGTGAGTGGTGTGAGTGGTGTGAGTGGTGAGTGGTGTGAGTGGTGTGAGTGGTGAGTGGTGTGAGTGGTGTGAGTGGTGAGTGGTGTGAGTGGTGTGAGTGGTGAGTGGTGTGAGTGGTGAGCGGTGTGAGTGGTGAGTGGTGTGAGTGGTGAGTGGTGTGAGTGGTGAGTGGTGTGAGTGAGTGGTGAGTGGTGAGTGGTGTGAGTGGTGAGTGGTGTGAGTGGTGAGCGGTGTGAGTGGTGAGTGGTGTGAGTGGGGTGAGTGGTGAGTGGTGTGAGTGGTGTGAGTGGTGAGTGGTGTGAGTGGTGTGAGTGGTGAGTGGTGTGAGTGGTGTGAGTGGTGAGTGGTGTGAGTGGTGAGCGGTGTGAGTGGTGAGTAGTGTGAGTGGTGTGAGTGGTGTGAGTGGTGAGTGGTGTGAGTGGTGTGAGTGGTGTGAGTGGTGTGAGTGGTGAGTAGTGTGAGTGGTGTGAGTGGTGAGTGGTGTGAGTGGTGTGAGTGGTGAGTGGTGTGAGTGGTGAGCGGTGTGAGTGGTGAGTAGTGTGAGTGGTGAGTGGTGTGAGTGGTGAGTGGTGTGAGTGGTGAGTGGTGTGAGTGGTGAGTGGTGTGAGTGGTGTGAGTGGCGAGTGGTGTGAGTGGTGAGTGGTGAGCGGTGTGAGTGGTGAGTGGTGTGAGTGGTGTGAGTGGTGAGTGGTGTGAGTGGTGTGAGTGGTGAGTGGTGTTGGCGGCTAAGTGTCGAGCTCTCACCTTGCAATGGCCATGAACGCCAACTCGACGTTTGTGCCGGTTTTGGCACTCGTCTCCATGAATGGAACTCCGTACTCCTGGCTCACGCACACACACACACACGCACACACGCACACACACACACGCACACACGCACACACACACACGCACACACACACGCACACACGCACACACACGCACACACGCACACACACGCACACACGCACACACACACACGCACACACGCACGCATACACACGCACGCACACACACACAGACACGCACACACACACGCACACACATACACGCACACACACACACACACACACACGCACACACACACACACACGCACACACACACGCACACACGCACACGCACACACACACGCACACACGCACACGCACACACGCACACACACACACGCACGCACACACACGCACCCACACACACACGCACACACACACACGCACACACTCACACACACACACGCACACACGCAGGCACACACGCACACACAAACGCACACACGCACACACGCAGAGTAACGCTTGAGTACTCACACACGCACACGCCAAACACAAAGTTACCCCGTGTAGCCCACCCAGGCTGCTGAGACAAGGGGGCTGTTAGCGGGGGTCGGCGTGGCCAGCACCGTGACCGGTCCGATCCTAACCGACGCATCGCACCGGCTGCTGAATATTTGAGGCTGAGTCGACCTAGGGGAAGCCCAGGAAACCGATTCAGGGATTTTTAATCACCACCGATGAGTGCCGTGGACGGGAATCGAACCGGGACGGAGCAGTGCGCCAACAGCTGCGCCACCACTCCACCCACCACGTGTGGCATTCCAAGGCAAAGATCCCCCGTATAGCCTTTAACAGACTGTTGGGGCAAGTGCTGTTAGCGGGTGGCACCTATGAAAGCCGGCACGTCACACGAGGGGTGGGGGGGGGGGGGGGGGGGTGGGGTGGTGAGTGGCCAGCACCACGCCCGGCCGCCTTTGTCTCCCCAGTGGCGGCGTTGAACGCACCGCACCAGGCACTCATTTGAGGCTGAGCCGCCCTGGGGGAGGCCCCCGGGACCGATTCAGATCATCGTCAGCGGTGGCCGTGAGAGTCGTGTCGGACTCGGGTCGCCGGGGTCCGTAGCGTGAGGCGCGCCGATCACTGCGCCACCGCTCCCCACACGCGTGTGGGCCTCCCGTGGTGAATCAGAAACGGCAAATCGATGGGAGGCTATTATCAGAGGCCCCGCTTTCAAGAGACAAAAGATTCTTTGTGCACCGAGGCCGTCATTTACGCCGAAGACGGCCTGGGCGTTCTGCCGTGTCCTTGCACGCGTGCACGTACGCGTGTGTGTGTGTGCGTATGTGCGACCCGGTTCGTATGTCAGTGTGTTGAACTTCTTTTGCGCCGTGCGTAGCCATTGGTGGTGCGGGGAAAGGACAACAAATTAAACGTAAAAAGCAGTAGTATAATATAATAATAGGGGGTTTTCCCCTTTTTTTCTGGTAACAAAACTGAAACCTTTTTGCAGGGAATCGTGTGTGCATTAACCACAACGCTCGCGGTCAAAATTCAAACAAAAAAACACGCTCTGATAATGTATGATGCATTGTCCTTGAAAGTGATTGGTCCACACCAGGCCACAAGTATTGTGGTTAATGCACACACGACTCATTGTAAAAAGGTTTCAGTTTTGAAACCTTTTAAGGGGGGGAAACCCTCTATTATTATATTTTGGTACTTGCAAAGGAGGTCTAATGATACAAAAAGCAGTTCTAAAGAAATTAGTTTTCAATCTAGGTTGTTCGTTCCAGTTCATCGGTCCCGGGTCTCCCCTAGGTCGACTCAGCCTCAAATTAGTAACCCTGTGCGATGTGTAAAAAATAAACCAACCCATTGGCACTGGAGAGACAAAGGAGGCCGGGCGTGGTGTTGTGCCGTGCCGGCCTGCATTGGAGCTCGCTAACAGCACTTGCCCCAACAGTCCGCTGAGGCTATAGGAGGGGATCCTTGGTTTTTTCGGTAAAGTCACGTATGTAGAAATACAATAAAATTATATTCAAACAAAACAATCACGGCGTTTCGATCACAACGCAAGCGATCTTCATCAGGCGTCAAGAACAAATCACGGAGGTAAATTCAACAAAAAAGATGAGAGACGAGAATTCAACAAACCTGCAAAAACATTACGTGAAGCACAGCCAGTCATAATGCTTCACATAATGTTCTTCAGGTTTGTTGAATTCTCGTCTCTCATCTTTTTGTTGTATTTACCTCCATGATTTGTTCTTGACACCTGATGAAGATCGCTTGCGTTGTGATCGAAACGTCGTGATTGTTTCGTTTTAATATAATTTTATTGTATTTCTACATAACGCGACTTTACCGAAAAAAAAAACAAAGAGTAATTTTATGCAGTCGCGAAAGCTTTAATACTTTATTGGGATCCTTGGTGCTGAGTGTTACCATCGGCCAGGCGTGGTTGCTGGCCACCCACCCCCTCGTGCGTCGTGCCGTCCTTCGTCGGTGCCGCTCGCTAACAGCTATTTGAGTCTGTCGAGGCTACGTGGGGTAGGGCGGGGGACCTTTGTCTCTGCGAGTCACCGGGAGGTCCTCACCTTCGCGAGACGCTCTCCGTCCTCCCTCTTCACGGACCTTTCTCCGGCCATGTCCGTCTAGATCACGTTCCGGGGGGGGGGGGGGGGGGGGTGGGGGGGGGGGGGGGTCCAGGTTTGCGTTTCGTCGAACCGAGGTGAGAAGTCAAGGGACGGGGCGGTGAGTCCCCGTTACGCGAGATTTCTAAATCAAACGTCTCTCGCACGGTGGAGCAGCGACCGTTCGACCACCCGGGTTGCGACCTTCCACGCCGCCAATTGGTCGACGATCGTTGGCGACGAATCGGGACCGGGGGGGGCGGGTGGCCGCGTGGCCGATGCGGCCCCCTAGGATTGGCACGAGCGGCGCCCGCCGAAGATTCGTCGGCCTGCGAGCGGCGCGGCCACGAATGCCAAACCGTCGACCGCCCGCGTCGTGAAAACTCCGCCGCCGCCGCCGCTAACCTCCTTTAAAGGAGGAATTGGCGGAGATCCACTCTTGCTTCTGAAAAGGCAATTGAGTGGATAGCAACATCTGAGATTATTTTTTTTTTGTATCTGCTGCTATTAATTCATACCAAAGAAGAAGTAGAAGAATTCTTGTTTTTTTTTTTTAAGAGGTCCTTGGGTCACCACATTGACAAAAGCGATAAAGTACAGAAAGAGTTTGACAATGAAGCAAATAAAAATCTGAGCAGAGATTACCAGATAGAGATCAGAGACTACCAGATAGAGATCAGAGCAGAGACTACCAGATAGAGATCATAGCAGAGACTACCAGATAGAGATCATAGCAGAGAATACCAGATATAGATCATAGCAGAGAATACCAGATAGAGATCAGAGCAAAGACTACCAGATAGAGATCATAGCAGAGACTACCAGATAGAGATCAGAGCAGAGACTACCAGATAGAGATCATAGCAGAGACTACCAGATAGAGATCATAGCAGAGAATACCAGATAGAGATCATAGCAGAGACTACCAGATAGAGATCAGAGCAAAGACTACCAGATAGAGATCATAGCAGAGAATACCAGATAGAGATCATAGCAGAGACTACCAGATAGAGATCAGAGACTACCAGACAGAGATCATAGCAGAGACTCCCAGATAAAAATCATAGCAGAGACTACCAGATAGAGATCAGAGCAGAGACTACCAGATAGAGATCAGAGACTACCAGATAGAGATCATAGCAGAGACTACCAGATAGAGATCAGAGCAGAGACTACCAGATAGAGATCAGAGACTACCAGATAGAGATCATAGCAGAGACTATCAGACAGAGATCAGAGACTACCAGACAGAGATCAGAGCAGAGACTACCAGATAGAGATCAGAGCAGAGACTACCAGATAGAGATCAGAGACTACCAGATAGAGATCAGAGCAGAGACTACCAGATAGAGATCAGAGACTACCAGATAGAGATCAGAGCAGAGACTACCAGACAGAGATCAGAGCAGAGACTACCAGACAGAGATCAGAGCAGAGAATACCAGATAGAGATCAGAGCAGAGACTACCAGATAGAGATCAGAGCAGAGACTATCAGACAGAGATCAGAACAGAGACTCCCAGATAGAGATCAGAGCAGAGACTACCAGATAGAGATCAGAGCGGAGACTACCAGATAGAGATCAGAGCAGAGACTACCAGATAGAGATCAGAGACTACCAGATAGAGATCATAGCAGAGACTATCAGACAGAGATCAGAACAGAGACTACCAGATAAAGATCAGAGACTACCAGATAGAGATCAGAGACTACCAGACAGAGATCAGAGACTACCAGATAGAGATCAGATCAGAGACTACCAGACAGAGATCATAGCAGAGACTACCAGACAGAGATCACAGCAAAGACTACCAGATAGAGATCAGAGCAGAGACTACCAGACAGAGATCAGAGACTACCAGATATAGATCAGAGCAGAGACTACCAGATAGAGATCAGATCAGAGACCACCAGATAGAGATCAGAGCAGAGACTACCAGATAGAGATCAGAGACTACCAGATAGAGATCAGATCAGAGACTACCAGATAGAGATCAGAGCAGAGATTACCAGATAGAGATCATAATGCCACTTTCCGCTCGCCCCTCCACTCCTTCCCGTCCCTCCCCTATAACCCCTGTGGCGATCCCAAAGTGCCCCTCTGTCGCTGTCACTCAGTCCTCAATACCGCGTAGCACGCCAACCCCCCCCCCCCCACCCCGTCAACTAAAAACCATCGCACTCTGTCACCGTTTCGCGAGCTATGCCAAGCACCTTGAGTGAAGGGGATCTGCCCTACGAATACCAACTCAGATTTGAGATCGGGGCCATGCGGTCGCAGGCACCGGTTGCCGCGTCTGCAATCTATTTCGTCTCGCCGGTGGAAGGGGGCCTCCGGCCTAAATGAGCCCCCCCCCGCATGCCTCTCTCTCCGCCCGTGCCACAGCGCTGCTTTTTGACTGCCGCGGTCGGATGATGGGGTAGGGAATTGAATCGGCGGACTGCTGAATTTGCAAGTCGGGTGGTGCTGGTGAACAGATAATACAAACTAGAGACCCCCCCGCCCCAAACAACCTTAAGTCAGTTGATTCTATATAGCTGATCAGTCTCTCTTGGCCTTTCCTTATTCTTACAAGGCACCTTGAGACGTGAGTGGAAGGCGTCTTACAATGCATGTAGACGTTTGGAGCAAGTGTTGTGAGCGGGTAGCACATGTGAAGGCCGGCACGGCAACACGAGGGGGTGGGTGGCCAGCACCCCGCCCAGCCTATGTTTACACATCGCACCAGGCACTCATTTGAAGCTGAGTCGACCTAGGGCAGTGTTGAGTCTATGGTGCAGTGTTGAGTCTATGGGGCAGTGTTGAGTCTATGGGGCCGTGTTGAGTCTATGGGGCAGTGTTGAGTCTATGGGGCAGTGTTGAGTCTATGGTGCAGTGTTGAGTCTATGGTGTAGTGTTGAGTCTATGGGGCAGTGTTGAGTCTATGGGGCAGTGTTGAGTCTATGGTGCAGTGTTGAGTCTATGGTGCAGTGTTGAGTCTATGGGCAGTGTTGAGTCTATGGGCAGTGTTGAGTCTATGGTGCAGTGTTGAGTCTATGGTGCAGTGTTGAGTCTATGGGTAGTGTTGAGTCTATGGGCAGTGTTGAGTCCATGGGCAGTGTTGAGTCTATGGTGCAGTGTTGAGTCTATGGTGCAGTGTTGAGTCTATGGGTAGTGTTGAGTCTAAGGGCAGTGTTGAGTCGATGGGCAGTGTTGAGTCTATGGTGCAGTGTTGAGTCTATGGTGCAGTGTTGAGTCTATGGGCAGTGCTGAGTCTATGCGCAGTGTTGAGTCTATGGGTGCAATGTTGAGTCTATGGGTAGTGTTGAGTCTATGGGCAGTGTTGAGTCTATGGGCAGTGTTAGTCTATGGTGCAGTGGTGAGTCTATGGGCAGTGTTAGTCTATGGGCAGTGTTGAATCTATAGGCAGTTTTGAGTCTATGGGCAGTGATGAGTCTATGGGCAGTGTTAGTCTATGGGCAGTGTTGAGTCTATGGGCAGTGTTGAGTCTATGGGCAGTGCTGAGTCTATGGGCAGTGTTGAGTCTATGGTGTAGTGTTGAGTCTATGGGCAGTGCTGAGTCTATGGTGTAATGTTGAGTCTATGGGCAGTGTTGAGTCTATGGGCAGCGTTGAGTCTATGGGCAGTGTTGAGTCTATGGGCAGTGTTGAGTCTATAGGTAGTGTTGAGTCTATGGTGCAGTGTTGAGTCTATGGTGCAGTGTTGAGTCTATGGTGCAGTGTTGAGTCTATGGGCAGTGTTGAGTCTGTGGGCAGTGCTGAGTCTATGGGCAGTGTTGAGTCTATGTGCAGTGTTGAGTCTATGGTGCAGTGTTGAGTCTATGTGCAGTGTTGAGTCTATGGGCAGTGTTGAGTCTATGGTGTAGTGTTGAGTCTATGGGCAGTGCTGAGTCTATGGTGCAGTGTTGAGTCTATGTGCAGTGTTGAGTCTATGGTGCAGTGTTGAGTCTATGGGCAGTGTTGAGTCTATGGGCAGTGTTGAGTCTATGTGCAGTGTTGAGTCTATGGTGCAGTGTTGAGTCTATGTGCAGTGTTGAGTCTATGGGCAGTGTTGAGTCTATGGTGTAGTGTTGAGTCTATGGGCAGTGCTGAGTCTATGGTGTAATGTTGAGTCTATGGGCAGTGTTGAGTCTATGGGCAGCGTTGAGTCTATGGGCAGTGTTGAGTCTATGGGCAGTGTTGAGTCTATGGGTAGTGTTGAGTCTATGGCGCAGTGTTGAGTCTATGGGCAGTGTTGAGTCTGTGGGCAGTGCTGAGTCTATGGTGCAGTGTTGAGTCTATGGTGCAGTATTGAGTCTATGGTGCAGTGTTGAGTCTATGCTGCAGTGTTGAGTCTATGGTGCAGTGTTAAGTCTATGGGCAGTGTTGAGTCTATGGGTAATGTTGAGTCTATGGTGCAGTGTTGAGTATATGGTGCAGTGGTGAGTCTATGGTGCAGTGTTGAGTTTATGGTGCAGTGGTGAGTCTATGGTGCAGTGTTGAGTCGACGGTGCAGTGTTGAGTCTATGGTGCAGTGTTGAGTCTATGGTGCAGTGTTGAGTCTATGGGCAGTGTTGAGTCTATGGTGCAGTGTTGAGTCTATGGTGCAGTGTTGAGTCTATGGGCAGTGTTGAGTCTATGGGTAGTTTTGAGTCTATGGGCAGTGTTGAGTCTATGGTGCAGTGTTGAGTCTATGGACAGTGTTGAGTCTATGGACAGTGTTGAGTCTATATGTAGTTTTGAGTCTATGGGCAGTGTTGAGTCTATGGTGCAGTGTTGAGTCTATGGACAGTGTTGAGTCTATGGACAGTGTTGAGTCTATATGTAGTTTTGAGTCTATGGGCAGTGTTGAGTCTATGGTGCAGTGTTGAGTCTATGGACAGTGTTGAGTCTATGGACAGTGTTGAGTCTATGGTGCAGTGGTGAGTCTATGGACAGTGTTGAGTCTATGGTACAGTGTTGAGTCTATGGTACAGTGTTGAGTCTATGGGCAGTGTTGTGTGCAGTGGGGAGAACGGGGTACGAATGCGCGAAACACCGATGTAGAAGAGAAGAGAGAGACACAAGAAGAGAAAACAGCTAAACAAGTCGCAGGATTTCGCGACCACCACCACCAAAACCACCACAACCACAACCACCACCACCACCACAACCACCACCGCCAGCACCACCACGGTAAACTCCCAAATAGAAACGAATTGGAGGTCGGCAGAAATTAAGGGACACGGGGAGATGGTGGTTGGTGGTGGTGGTTAGCGGTCGAGTTATTCATTTAGAGCTCAAATGAATGTTGCAGATGAGAGGGTAGGGTATGGGGGGGGGTGGCTGGGAAGGGTGTGTGGTGGTGGGGGGTGGGGGGGTGGTACCCAATCTTGAGCGGTTGTCAAGTGGGCCCGCTGTGTTGCCCGGCAACGGCGGCCTCACCTTGTTGCCTAGCAGCATGATGACGACGTTCTGCTGAGCGTACTCGTGGATTTCGGTGAGCCAGGCCTGTGCGACGGGAACAAAATCAGCAGCGGCTCAACATTGAACGGGGTAAAGGCGCAGCCCTGCAAGTGCACGCTACGGAGATTATTTTCGCTTGCTTACGAATGCGCAAAAATGATGGGGCCCACGCATTGTTGAGCCATCATCTGTGGCCAGGTCGCTGTCTGAAAAAAAATAAGTTCGTACCGTAGTGGGGCTTTTGCCTGGCAGGGCGGGGATGGTTTTAGTGTTTTTATTTGTTTGGGTGTTTCGTTTGCCTTCCCTGTACTTTCCTCTGCCGTCGTGATGTTTGTGGTGTTTGTTGTTGTTGTTGTTGTTACGTTCTTACCCCGTGCCCCTGCAGGACACCTGCTAAAAAGAGCTTCATAGCTCATCGGATTCTTCCAGTCGAAATCAATATTCTGATTCTGGAATTGACCAGCTGACTGTGATTGGCTGTGATTGACCAGCTGACTGTGGTTGACTGTGATTGACCAGCTGACTGTGATTGGCCAGCTGACTGTGATTGGCTGTGATTGGCCAGCTGACTGTGATTAGCTGTGATTGACCAGCTGGCTGTGATTGACCAGCTGGCTGTGATTGACTGTGATTGACCAGTTGACTGTGATTGGCCAGCTGACTGTGATTGACTGTGATTGACCAGCTGACTGTGATTGACTGTGATTGACCAGCTGACTGTGATTGACCAGCTTACTGTCATTGACCAGCTGACTGTCATTGGCTGTGATTGACCAGCTGACTGTGATTGACCAGCTGACTGTGATTGGCTGTGATTGGCCAGCTGACTGTGATTGACCAGCTGACTGTGATTGGCTATGATTGACCAGCTGACTGTCATTGACCAGCTGACTGTGATTGACTGTGATTGACCAGCTGACTGTGATTGACCAGCTGACTGTGATTGACCAGCTGATTGTGATTGGCTGTGATTGGCCAGCTGACTGTGCTTGACCAGCTGACTGTGATTGGCCAGCTGACTGTGATTGACCAGCTGACTGTGATTGGCCAGCTGATTGTGATTGGCTGTGATTGGCCAGCTGACTGTGATTGACCAGCTGACTGTGATTGGCCAGCTGACTGTGATTGGCTGTGATTGACCAGCTGACTGTGATTGACCCGCTGACTGTGATTGGCCAGCTGACTGTGATTGACCAGCTGACTGTGATTGGCTGTGATTGACCAGCTGACTGTGATTGACCAGCTGACTGTGATTGGCTGTGATTGGCCAGCTGACTGTGATTGACCAGCTTACTGTGATTGATCCGCTGACTGTGATTGACCAGCTGACTGTCATTGGCTGTGATTGACCAGCTGACTATGATTGGCTGTGATTGGCCAGCTGACTGTGATTGACCAGCTGACTGTGATTGACCAGCTGACTGTGATTGACCAGCTTACTGTGATTGACCCGCTGACTGTGATTGACCAGCTGACTGTCATTGGCAGTGATTTGACCAGCTGACTATGATTGGCTGTGATTGGCCAGCTGACTGTGATCGACCAGCTGACTGTGATTGACCAGCTGACTGTCAGCAGGATATGTCTCGGTTGCGCACTTTTGGCGATCGGTGCTTTTGTTGGCGTGGCACCCAAGGCTTGCCACTTGAGGTCAGGCCATCAGAGTCGGTAGATATATTTAGGCTCAACACGTAGGATTTTGCGACCAATATCATCCATAATAAAGGTTTTTTTTGTTAGATCGCGTAATTACTGCTGAACCGTCGTGTTCAAATTGTAAATATTGTCACTTTAACTCTCCAACACACCGGTGTGCTGTACTAGTGACGAATTGGCACGTTCTGTGTCCGTGACAAACCTTACTACTAATTCGCTGTGTCGGGTGGTAGCGCGTTTACACGATCTGACCTACAAAAAAGAAACCTGTATCATGAAAGACACATTTAAGTCTGCTTTGAAAACCCATATATTTAAACTAAACTTTAAATTAACAGCTGCACCACCGCTCCCCGCCTCCACCGGTTTCAACTCAACCTCGAAACGCGGTGCCACAGGGGCTCCCCCAACCCGTACCACCACCACCCTGCCCACTAACCAACCCCCCAATCCGCCCGCACATCCAACGGTGTCATCTCACGGCATCAATCAGCCAATCGCACGCAGAGCTCCGGCCACCACCACCACCACCCCCGCCCCCCAGAAAGTTGCCGGCCACGACCGGCTGTCGCTCGGAATAGCGGCGCGTGGACGCAAGTGGACATTGAAGTGGCACGCGTCATGACGCACACCGCGCTTGGGAGCGGTGGCGCAGCGGTTAGCGCGCCGGAGCCTAACGAGCCCCCGTCGCGGACAATGGAGCGGTGCTGAGCCTCCCCTTGGGTCGAATCAGCCTTGAATGAGTTCCCTGGTGCCGCCGTGCCCGATTCCGTAGGTGCTCGCGAACAGCACTTGGCCCAAACGCCTGCGTGGGCTATACGGGGGGGGGGGGGGGGGGGGAGCTTTGTCTCTTCCGATGACGCTGATGTGTGAGTGACGGTGTTGATGGGGAGCGGTGGTGCAGCAGTTAGCACGCCGCGCCACGAATCTGGCGATCCGAGTTCGATTCCCGCTCGCGGACAACGCCGGCGACGATTATCTGAACAGGTCATGGGTCTCCCCTAGGTCGACTCAGCCTCAAATGAGTACCGGGTCCGATGTGCAAGAAAAATAAGCATTTGCACTGGGGAGACAAAGGCGGCCGGGCGTGGTGTTGTGCCGTGCCGGCCTTTATAGGTGCTCGCTAACAGCACTTGCCCCAACAGTCTACTGAGGTTATACGAGGGGATCTTTGCCTTTGTTGATCGTGATGGCAGCTGTAATGATGATGGTGGTGGTGGCGATGATGATGATGATGATGGTGTTGGCGATGATGATGATGATGATGGTGTTGGCGATGATGATGTGGTTGGCGATGATGATGATGATGGCGTTGGCGATGACGATGACGATGGTGTTGGCGATGATGATGATGGTGGTGGCGATGATGATGATGTTGGCGATGATGATGGTGGTGGCGATGATGATGATGGTGGTGTTGGCGATGATGATGATGATGGCGTTGGCGATGATGATGATGGTGTTGGCGATGATGATGATGTTGGCGATGATGATGGTGGTGGCGATGATGATGATGATGGTGGTGTTGGCGATGATGATGATGATGATGGCGTTGGCGATGATGATGATGACGGTGTTGGTGATGATGACGATGGTGTTGGCGATGATGATGATGATGGTGTTGGCGATGATGGTGTTGGCGATCATGATGATGATGATAGTGTTGGCGATGATGATGATGATGGTGTTGGCGATGATGATGATGATGGCGTTGGCGATGATGATAATGATGTTGGCGATGATGATGGTGTTGGCGATGATGATGATGGTGTTGGCGATCATGATGATGATGACAGTGTTGGCGATGATGATGATGATGGTGTTGGCGATGATGATGATGATGATGGCGTTGGCGATGATGATGATGGCGTTGGCGATGATGATGATGATGGTGTTGACGATGATAGTGTTGGCGATGATGATGATGATGGTGTTGGCGATGATGATGTTGGCGATGATGATGATAATGATGATGTTGGCGATGATGATGATGATGGTGTTAGCGATGATGATGATGATGGTGTTGGCGATGATGATGACGATGGTGTTGGCGATGATGATGATGATGGTGTTGGCGATGATGGTGTTGGCGATCATGATGATGATGACGGTGTTGGCGATGATGATGATGGCGTTGGCGATGATGATCATGGTGTTGGCGATGATGATGATGGTGTTGGCGATGATGATGATGATGGTGTTGGCGATGATGATGATGATGGCGTTGGCGATGATGATGATGATGGCGTTGGCGATGATGATGATGGTGTTGGCGATGATGATGACGATGGTGTTGGCGATGATGATGGTGTTGGCGATGATTGTGATGTTGGCGATGATGATGATGGTGTTGGCGATGATGATGGTGGTGGCGATGATGATGATGATGGTGTTGGCGATGATGATGATGGCGTTGGCGTTTATGATGATAGTGTTGGCGATGATGATGATGATGGTGTTGGCGATGATGATAATGATGGTGTTAGCGATGATGATGATGGCGTTGGCGATGATGATGATGATGGTGTTGGCGATGATGATGATGGCGTTGGCGATGATGATGATGGCGTTGGCGATTATGATGATAGTGTTGGCGATGATGATGATGATGGCGTTGGCGATGATGATGATGGTGTTGGCGATGATGATGATGGTGTTGGCGATCATGATGATGATGACAGTGTTGGCGATGATGATGATGATGGTGTTGGCGATGATGATGATGATGATGGCGTTGGCGATGATGATGATGGCGTTGGCGATGATGATGATGATGGTGTTGACGATGATGATGATAGTGTTGGCGATGATGATGATGATGATGGTGTTGGCGATGATGATGTTGGCGATGATGATGATAATGATGATGTTGGCGATGATGATGATGGTGTTAGCGATGATGATGATGATGATGGTGTTGGCGATGATGATGACGATGGTGTTGGCGATGATGATGATGATGATGGTGTTGGCGATGATGGTGTTGGCGATCATGATGATGATGACGGTGTTGGCGATGATGATGATGATGGTGTTGGCGATGATGATGATGATGATGATGGCGTTGGCGATGATGATAATGATGTTGGCGATGATGATGGTGTTGGCGATGATGATGATGGTGTTGGCGATCATGATGATGATGACAGTGTTGGCGATGATGATGATGATGGTGTTGGCGATGATGATGATGATGATGATGGCGTTGGCGATGATGATGATGGCGTTGGCGATGATGATGATGATGGTGTTGACGATGATAGTGTTGGCGATGATGATGATGATGGTGTTGGCGATGATGATGTTGGCGATGATGATGATAATGATGATGTTGGCGATGATGATGATGATGATGATGGTGTTAGCGATGATGATGATGATGATGATGG